CAGCTCTACTACGAATGCAAACCCTACTGAACTCGAGACTGAGTGTGAGTCAAGCTCTACGTTTAGGCCTACTACAAGTCCAACTTCAACAGCGGCGGAGACTGAATGCAATTCCGACTCAACACGGCAAACTGGAAGGACCAGCACTTTTCCCAAAACAGAGTATGCGACGAGTTGGACCAGAAAGCCCTCCACAGAGCGCGATCCGTCCGATATCGAGACCGAATGCGAGACGAGCACGATGAATCGACCGAGTACAAGTCCATCCACAACAGAAATCGAAACTAGCTCAACTTCTACGGCTAGGCCATCGTCAAGAACCGAACCTAGTGAGTCGGAGACAGAGTGTGACAACGACCCAACTGCGCCCAGCCCGAGTTCTACCGATCCGACAGAATGTGAATCGAGCTCGACTCGAAAAATAGCTAGCTCAACAGCTACGACTAGACCATCAACAAGTTCTGAATCTGTTCGGCCGGAGACTGAGTGCGACTCAACTAGGACAAGCCCAAGTCCGGTGGAACAGGAGACTGAATGTGAATCGAGCTCAACACAAAAGCATTCGACGACTCAAAGAGACCCAATACAGCGTAGCACTAGAGTTCCGGGCAGCAGCTCGAGTTCGCCAGAGCAGAGCTCAAGCGGAACGCATTCTACAAGTATGAAGACAGCCGATCCCGAGACCGAGTGTGACGACGGCACGACGTCGACAAGTACAAGTTCAAGCACGTCAAGCTCGACCCAAAAGCCGCCAACAAGACCCACTACCGTAGAAGATGAGACTGAGTGCGATAGCAGCTCTACCGAACAGCAATCCACAAGCTCACACCCGACAAAGACCAGTCGCCGCTCGGGCTCTACTCCTTCGGCTTCCACAGCCGATCCCGAGACGGAGTGTGACAACGACACGACATCGACAACTGCAACCTCCACCGAGGCTGTGACCGAATCTGAGTCGAGCTCGACGAAAAATCCTTCCACACCGCAAAGCCCAATGGAAGATGAAACTGAATGCGATAGCAGCTCAACGAATAAGCAACCTACCACATCAGGTTCGACACGAGCGGAAACAGAATCTATCTCCACACGCACAGGGCCCACGAACAAAAGTCCAACCGATGCCGAGACCGAGTGTGAGAGCGACTCAACGCCGGAGAGCACTAGCTCAAGCTCCACGAAAAGACCCTTGACGACGCCGAGCCCAATACCTATAGATGCGGAAACAGAATGCGATAGTAGCTCGACTCAAAAACACCACTCGAGCTCGAAATCGACACCTCTGACTAGCGGAACTGCCACAACCCCTCACCCAACAGAGGCGGAGACGGAGTGTGAGTCGAGCTCTACATACGCTACGACTGCCACTCGAGGTGGTTCCACTGGCAGCTCAACGACGAGAACTCAAACTTCCGCTCCTGAGGAATCCGAGACCGAGTGCGAGTCGACCCCAACAAAACCGCCTTCAACAAGTGCAAGTTCGCCGGAAGCCGAAACCGAGTGCGATTCGACTTCCACAACCGGGTCTTCAGGACTGCCAAGCTCCACGAGCCGTTCGACGACGAACTCAGGTTCTGATGAAACCGAGTGTGAATCAAGTTCGACAGCCCGGCCTTCAGGACAGCCAAGCTCAACGAGCCGTCCGTCGACAAGTTCAGCTCCTGATGACGAGACCGAGTGCGAGTCGAGTTCAACAAGTCGACCTTCGACAAGCTCTCGGCCCAAGGTGGAAGAAACTGAATGCGACTCGAGTTCGAAATCGACATCGTCAAGAAGTTCCAGCACAGCTGAAGCGGAGACCGAGTGCGAAGAAAGCTCGACAACCCGGCCCTCGACAAGGAGCGGTTCGACCGAAACGGAAGCCAACGAGTCAAGCTCAAGATCGAGGCGCTCGACAAGTTCCACCACCAGTGAAGCGGAAACCGAGTGCGATTCCAGTACGGCGTATGATACTGATGAAAGAACAACCACTGCGCGCACTACAGCAACAGACACACCAAACCGTGGAACCCCGCCCGGACCTCGGGATCCAGCTACGCAACGCTCCAGCTCGCGAGCTACGAGCTCCACCTCGAGAGGAACAACCGATACCCCGGATCGGGGCACCCCACCAAGACCATCGAAATCATCAAGTGTCAAATCATCAACGACCTCGCTTGATGTCACCCCGATCTCGAAAGGTACAACAGAAGAGATGGAAATCTCTGAAACGGAGTGTGATCCCGACAGTTCCACCTTATTACCAGGGAGTAATGAAGAGATCCCAGTCCCGATGCAAGAACTGCAGGTTGTCCCAGATTGTTGCCCGCCAGAAGGCGTCTGGTCCGAGTGGACTTCGAATGAGAAGTGCTCGGATTATTGTGGGGCCTGCGGGAATGTGACGTCGACGAGGAAATGTCTTTCGAGGAGGAGGGGATGTCCTTGCAAGTGAGTTCCATATAAGGTTAACTGTTTTTAGTACAGTGGGTTCTTGTTATAAAATTTGTTGGTTGGTGGCTTTGTTTTTTTTTTTTTTTTTTTTTTTTTATTTTTTTTTTTTTTTTTTTTTTTTTTTTTTTTTTGTGTGGTAAGTCGAGTAGCGCTGCAGACGCCCCCAGCCAAACCTGAACTACCGTATCACCGCTCCCCATTGTCCTACCGGGTGTAATGTATGCCAAAATGCTCGCCAGACCAAGAGGAACATTTTGGTATATTTAATATACACATGTAGTACAAAAGGAAGCCGAGATACAAGAGTTTGGGGTCGGCTGACGTGAGAGTATCTGCAGTCTCACCTAGTACTTACAGTTAGCGATATCTGCATCTCTAGCTATACGTTGTAATAAACCTGATATCCCTTCGTAATCGTTTAGGGGTTCATCCTCCAAGTACGCCGAATGTCACACCGAAGTCTGCGAACTACCCCGACAGCCCTGTTGTGCCGGCCACGAGCCGGTGTTCAGCAACAACACGCTGGCTTGCGAGAAAAGGGTATGTTTCCTTGAGCGAGGTCAAGCTAGATTAAATTTAGAAGTTAAAGACGTTGCCTTGCGAGCCGAAATGTTGCCCGGCGGAGGGTAAGGGCAACTTTGCCGGTAAGGCTGGGGTTTTTAGGGATTTGGTCCGAGTGGGCGAGCATTGGGGCGTCCGGACAAAAATTGGAATCGGATGCTAACAAGGAATGTGGAATGTGCTCGTTCCGAAGGGAACTGCGACGATGTCTTTCTGAGGATTATGGATGTGCTTGTTCGTAAGTATGACGACAGAGAGAGAGAGAGAGAGAGAGAGAGAGAGAGAGAGCCAGAGATAGAGAGAACGCGAGGTTTTCTAATTTTAGCAATGAAACTTCCTATCGTCACGTCCACTACGGCAATGAACCCTGTACGACTCGAAAAAATCTCACAACAGCCCCCTATTGTTGCAAGCCATCAAAATTAATGGAAGCGGATAATGGTAAATATTTGAAGTAGCTAAGAACTCCAGGAATCTCCTGTTTCCAGGCACGCTGTTCTGCATCCCAGAAAGACTACTACCGGTCAAGCCAAGGCCAGATCGCTGCTGCTTGAATGCGGGTCAGAAATCGACCCCAAAACGCTTCGGATTTCGTTTTATTGTTTTCCAAAGTGTCTCATGCTTGTTAGAGGAAATCCTTTGGACTGCGCCATTTTAGAAAGTGGCGGCATTTGGGAGAGCTGGAGCTCGTGGTCGACGTGTACCCGTGACTGCGGTTTGTGCGGTTCTCGACAGCGTACGAGGCTGTGCGCATCCGAAAAGTATGGATGCCAATGCAGGTAAGTAGTAATAGGGGGGGGCGCGGGGATATGGGGGGGGTGCTTTCCCCCCCCTCCCCCCCCCCCCCCCCCCCCCCCCCCCACAAACCCAAAAACCCCCAACCAAAAATAAAACTATCTTTTTCTTTTTTTTTTTTTTTCTTATATTAAATAAAAAATTTTTTAAAAAATTATAAAAAAAAAAAAAAAAAAAAAAAAAAAAAAAAAAAAAAAAAAAAAAATAAAATAAATTTTTCCTTTATTTATTTTTTTTTTTATTTATTTTTTTTTAATTTTTTTTTATATAAAAAAAAAAAAAAAAAAAAAAAAAAAAAATTCTCCCCCCAAAACCCCACAAAAAAAAAAAAAAAAAAAATTAAAATAAATATAAAAATAAAAAAATAATATAAAATTTATATTATAATTTTAAATTCTTCCCCACCTTTCCCTCCCCCTCAATTTTCTCATCTTTTATATAAAACACCAAATTCCCTCACCCCAAAAAAAAAAAAAAAAAAAAAAAAAAACCCCCCTCCCAAAAAAAAAAAAAAAAAATTTTTATCCAACACACAAAACAAAAAAAAAAAAAAAAAAAAAAAAAAACCCCCCCCCCAAATTTTTTGGAAACATTAATACGTATAAATTATTTGTCTTTACGTTTTGGTGGCTAGAATTAAAATCTAACCGGCTTAAAGGGATCCGTTAGACTCTTCAGAAAAGGTACCGCAATTCTTCACGCAGTGGATTTCGGTCGCGGAAAAGAATATGAAGCACGAAGAATCGATAGTCATGCCTTGTCTGCTCCTTTAAAACGGCTACATCTGTCTCTTCTATGTATCTTGACGTCAGCTCAAGATCATAAAAAGATGCCTAATTTTTGGTGCTCTCAAATTCCGAGCATACTTTGCGATCTCACCTTCCACATTTTCTACCACAGGGATCCCTGGTTGAAAATAAATTCCATTTAGCATCGGCAAAAAGGAAGAGCTCTCGCCGTGCGGAAGTCCGGTCTGTCTGAACCCCCGTGGAGCCCCATTCTGCTGCCAAGGAAATCTAACCATCGCCAGCGATCGCGTCTCCAAATTCTGTCAACTTTAACGAGTGGGTAACCATAATAAATATTTATCCGGTGGTCTCGAATCGAGTGTGTTAAGCAGATTATTACAAAAGCAAAGCACTTGTGAAGCACACGAAAAAAGAGCTAAGTAGATATCACAAATTCACAGAATAAAAAAAGAAGAGTGAAAATGACTATTCCTGTATGTATTTTTCCCGATAGCACTCGCGCATTAGTTTGTCGAGAAGCTGGGACCCGTCTCTGAAAAAGTCGAAAATGGATTAATCAGAAAAAGTGAAAAATAAGAAATTAAACTCACTTGAAGGTATAATCACTGGATGAGAAGTACACTGTACATAGGTTGAACATGGAGGTGAGGGGTTGGTTTTGCTGAAAAAAATAGATGTAACTACAGTGGGAGCGAGAGAGAGCAAGAGAGAGAGTGAGAGAGAGAGAGAGAGAGATACAGCGAGACAAAGACGTAAAAAATACCTTTTGCCCTGCCAACTCTCGCAAGGCCCCAATGCGACTATTCATAATCGGCTCATTTGGGGCGACCCGTAGCGGATGATTGGCGTTGGCAGCTTGGTGCTGCACAAAAAGCTCGAAGACGGCGACTAGAGTGCAGAATCTAAAATTATATCTTATAGATGCAAAAAATACGGGTCTACTTGTGACTATATTGATTTCGTTTGGCGGTGATAATTCCGGAGAAGAGACCCTGCTTCTCCTCGATTTTGGCCTTGGATAGCCAGCGTTGTAGTAGCTGGACAGGTTCTGGAAATTCAAAAAAAATTAGGACCAGCAGGGAACCGTAATTACCAGTTATTGTAGAAGCTCCACGCGCCACCAACGGACACAACCATTGGAGTACCCGGTGTAGCAGGACAAGTACTGTCGCCTCGTCGTCAACATACCTGTAAATGCGGTTTTTCTGCAGTAATTACACTTAATCGAAAAAAGCTTCGTTGACTCCAAAATTTGCTATGTAAATGTATTCACCAAAAATGAATAAAATCGTCAGCTAATAAAATCCCGTACCCGATAGCAATATTGTAAAAGCCAAATAAAAATCGAAAATTGAAAATTATGAAGACCTCAATAATTTTAAAACCCCACCATCCATCAGTTGCAAGCAGTAAACTGAAACTAACATCTCCCAAAATTCAGCAGTTCCAAAATCTCGGAATAAAAGCCTACTTTGGCTTTAGCCTGTCTAAGTAGACGAGCACAGCGTGAAATCGGTCGTCCGCGTGCACGCCGTGGTCAAGCAGGGCTCGGAGCGTGAGCAACAGTGGTTGGACTTTGTTGTCGCTGCTGAAAAAGTTTGCTAATCTCTATATCTCCCTCTGCTTCTACAGGAAACACCAAAAAAAAAACTATAATAATACTCACTTGGGAACTGTCAATAAATAATGGAATATGGAAGGGATCTGCTTGGCAGGGAACATGCACCACTCCAGCAGGTCGGCCCAGCACGCGTCGGTTCCTAAAATTTCAATGGTAAAATGAAAATACAAGTGAAATTCATACTTTTAAAATACGCCTGAATGGCCTTCTCCATCACTTTCAACGCTGTCGTCAGTTGGTCGATGGACAATGAGTCGATGATGGTGGACGGAACCTGGAGCGTCAGCGGGGAGGTTGGGTTTGCGGCCAGGTAGGCGGTCAGTCCGTTGACGAGGGTTTCTAAACGGAATTGAAAATGATCAGATTTAAAAGCACAGAATCCATTCAAAGGAAGTTCCATCAAAATTTAGATTGAATCCATATGCCTTGTCCTTTAAAAAGACCAAAATCGTACCTCCCGTTTTGACGTCCGGAATTTCCGTCCAAATCGCGCTCAACTCTCGGCTGACCGTCGAAAATGGCTTCCGGTCGCTAGGTCCTAAAATATCATACATTTCCAAAAAAGATGTGTAAATTAAATTTTAATTTAAAAAATTTCCACGTTTTTTCAATCAATAAAACCCACGATGCGCCTTTGCAATCGCGTCACAGTCGGCAATCAAATTGTTATAATGCACGAGGACTGCCTGCTCATTTCCCCTGAATAACGATGCCATAGAACATTCAAAAATTAAATATACCGTAGCATCAATCGAAGCTCCGACCGCACGAAGGCCCGCTGTTTCCCAAGCACTTCATTGCTGATATTCTTCTCCTGGACCGAAAAGAGGCAGATCTTGCGCCAGAGTCTAGAAAATCCAGGGTTTTTTCGCACTTTAAGTCCTACGGTAGATAGACAGAGAGGACATCGGTAGAATTCGAGAGGCAATCAGCAGGGAGACTTTCACTGACCAGGCGAGATATCTGAAACGGGTCGGAATTACCTTATTAATTCTATCATGATTTTCAATTAATAGTAATTAAAATAACGAAGCCGGCAAAGCTAAAACGCTAAAAATAAATCTTACCGCTTCACAGTCCTCTGGTGAGATCGTCTTCCACTCGGGACGAGGCGTCAATTGCTTCAGAATTTCGCAGAGTGATGCGCGGACCTAAAAAAATCGCGGACATCAGCACTTTCTCTCCTTTTTCATGCCATCAAAGAACTTTATAAACACACCATCGGAGTTTCCGCATAACGACACTTTTTCATGTGATGCACCCCAAAATGGTACCTTTGTATAATTCGCCGGTTTGGCTACGATTCGCGTGATGACGTAGAGCAACGTGGCCAGGTACTGGGGTTGTATTTCGGGTGGCACCTAAAAATAAAATTTTCGAATCACTATTACTACTCGCTTTACAACATTCATTCACCTAAATTAGAGCATGGATTTCTTTTAATAAATTAAATGAAACTAAATGCAAATTACATTTTGAGAAAGCACATCCATCCAGGGGACCCGGACAAACACTTGGGTGACCAGGTGGAAGCAGTCTGGGGAGCGGGAGGAGAGCACCTAAAGTCCGTAGGATTTGAATTTTAATTAAGATAAATTCGACTAAAATTGACAAAAAATTAAAGTATATTTTTGTACCTCATTCATCGCCGTGAGGGCCCTCAACGTCGGCCAGAATGAGGGCCAGTGAATTCGCATCAAATTTGTTTCCTAAATTCCGACTTACAAGCGACCACAGGCAAACGTACCAATACGCTAAAGTACGGCCCGGTGCCGTGCGTGATCTTGCTGAGCTTTTCGCAGAAAAATTGCCATGTGAGTGCTTGCGTGTTTTGTTGACCTAAATGGATATTTTTGGGATGATTTTAAAATGTGGCAAAACATCGATAACACCGTAAAATTAAAAGCAAATCTCAAAAGACATACCTGGTGCCAAGCAAGCATTATACGGAAGCGCGTTGATGTGCTGCACCATCCGCTCGACGCACATGTTGGCTTCGGCGAGGTGCGACTGCGAGAATGGAGGTACTGAAGGGGAGGGAGGGGCCAGAAGTGGTGAGAACAACGCGACGATTCGCGAGAACGCATCGACGAGCGCTAAAAATGAGGGTAAAATGGCTAAAGGTCCCCTTACATTTGATAAGTATACTTTCCGGGATCGAACCATCGAACGTCTCGCGGACGGCGGTGTTGAGGAACAGCTGCGCCAAGCGGGTGACCGGATTGATGTATCTGGAAACAGGCGCATCACGTACTAAGTGAGCACTATCCCACCTTGACCAAACCGAGAAGAAATTTGCCCCAAGTAGCACCCGAGCCTCCGCCAAACGTCGTGTCAGCACCACGCAGCATTCCAGCGACTAAATTCCGTGGGGCTCCAATATATGCTCACTAGCTTACCATGCTACCATTAACGACAAATTCCCCTTTCGGTTGTTCCCAATGCTCAGCATCAAGCCGGTCGGCGATCACCTCGAAGAGGTGAGTTGGGGCCGAGCCGGTGCTGCATCCTGGAAAATTAGGGGAATTAACCGAAGTCAGAAGTACTACCTCCAAGTGACGTATCAAGCCCGTAGACAAAATTGAGCGGAAATTTGTGAAATATGAAAGTGACGAGGTGTTGGAGGCACAGTTTGTGTAGATCGGAGTTTGGGTCGGGTTGAGAGGCTACCTGAAAAAATTGTTAGAGAGAGAGAGAGAGAGAGAGAGAGAGAGAGAGACAGAAGGATGCCTGAAAAACCCGAACTTACGTTATTAAAAGCCAACGGAATAAGCGAAGCAAAGTGCTGAGCCGGGAGTGTAGCTGCCGTTTGGTCGATTTCAAGACGTTCTAAAGGGATTGGTAACTTAAAATCGTCTCCGAAAACTCACGCAAAAGCTTGAAGGCGCTCTGGCTCTGCTCCAGGTTTCCGACCTTTTCGCTCAGCCGGCTGTAGCATTCGGAGAGTTCTTGCGCGCTCAGGCAAGCTGGGGTGAAGGCCTGAAAGTCGTAGAAGAATTGAAATTGTGCAGAATGTGTTTCGCTAACAATCACTCCCTTGACGTTTATCTAACTCAGCTTACCTCAACCAACGGCCCGGACAGCACAAATCCATCCAGCACCAGCCGCATCACTTGGAACTGCTCCTCCGGTGTCATCCTGACGAATTGCTGTCCCAACACCTGCAGCACGCTCTCGAAGCTGGCGGTGGCCGCCGGGAAGAGCATCGCCTCGTTCGTGATGCTAAATTTTCAAAAGTTACGCTGCGCTCATAAGCTATACCTCGAGGTCACCAAATAGAACAGACTGCGCCCAACAGCTTGAATGCGATTCCGTTGCAGACCTTCCATAAACGACGCCGAGCTGGCGACTTGGCTAAAAATAAATACTGTCAAAAGTAGTGTGGACGAACAGTGCGATAAATTCCATGCTGGCTGTCTGCGTGGCCGCCGTGTCGAGGAGGGAGGCCTAGAAGAAAAGTTTCTGCAATAAATCTCAGTCTTACCTGAGCTGATGCAATACTTGTCCCGCGTCGCTCTCGGTTTTGGGTCATTTCGGCGTCGCAGTGGGTGCTGAACTCGGTGGCGGTCACCTGAAATTACGGCAAGTCTCTAAAAAGCACCGGAACTACCGTACCTGAACTGTAGCCTGGTTCGGACGTTGACATCTCGTTCCGCATTGGACCATGACGGTGATGCTCCTCGCCACTCCAACATACAGCCTCGAGATGAGCTCGCAATATTTTTGGTCGGTTGTCTCCAGCTCGTCGGCGATGGTGACGAAAGAGCTGGAAAGGATGTATACGAGAGCGAGATAGATAGATAGAGAGATAGAGATAGAGAGAGAGAGAGAGAGACACTTACTCGCTGAGTTTATTAACGTTCCGTAGAATCGGCTGGAACAGTGACATGACGACGTTTTGATCCATCATTTGTAGATCCAGCTAAAAGATAACTTTAATCAGAACATACTACAAAACATACCCTCGGTGCCGGTGGCAATCCCGGATGGGTGGGTATCGTAGGGAAAGTCACGGCTCTGATGACACGATCCCGATCCGACGGCCCAGTCCATCCGTTTTGCACGGCTCCCTTGCGCTCCTCATGACACACGACGTTGTAAAGCTGAAAATACGTAAAATTTTCGATTTAAATAACTAGAAGTGTGTTGCTGTCCCTTTAATCACCTTCATCTCCTCCTGGGCTGCCTGGTGGATCGTCGACAAATCCAAGAAGTCCATCCACGCCGACTTGTCCCCGGACAGAATAAGCTGGAGCAGGTAGTCGAGGTCGAAATTCGAGAAATTGACGTTCGGCGCGTTCAGGTCCTTGTTGCTGCCCATCCAGCCGGCAACCGCCTAAAAGAATCAACACAATAACATAAAAAAATCGTCATTACTACCTTATAAAATCCCTTGGGGTGTGACAAGATGTCCAATTTTCTTCTACAAGTCGAAAAGGTCGCTGCGGAGATGGTGGAATTGGAGAGCCGGGACGCGAAAACATGGGTTTTCCTGAAAATAATTTGTTAGAACCTATTTCCGTGCTGGTTATTCGATTATTCTAGCTACATTCAAAAGGAGCCCTCGGAAACTGCAAAATTTAGTACATTAGGATTGGCAAGGATTAAAAACAGCAAATGCGTTACATTAATAATAAACATTCTTTACCCAGGTAAGTCCTCCGGATCTCTAAAATTCTATGTGTTTTTGCGCAAAAATTTGGCAAACAATTTCCGCTAGAAAACCAACCCCAAAGACGGTCGTCTCGAAAAGAGGAACGTTGCGAGTTGCTGAACGAAGAGGGGCAGGATCTAGAATAAAAATTTCCAGCCAATTTTAATAAGTTTACAGGGCTCTCCGCACACAACACCACTGCTTCCGCCCACCGCGCGCTGGCTATTCGCTCAGGCCCGAGGTGGATTGACGATTTTTGCGCGGCTTTCTAAACTTTGGATTTTTAAGCCGCAATTTAGAGCTCACCTTGCAAGCCTGATCCACCGGAACTTTGTCTTTCTTTGCGAGGGCCTCCCAGAGAAAGGTGTAGTACGTGGGGAAGGAATCCTAAAAATTATATTGGATAGAATCATTGATTCGTTATGATGTTATGGCGTTACGCTGTTGTCCGTTATGAGTCCTAAATTACCGTACCTGCTCAACGAGAAGCAACAAATACGTGGCCCAAGGTGATACGGGATAAGAAGCCGGAAGGATGAGTTGAGTTGGGGGCGGTTCGCCGGATAGAAAACCCAGAAATCCTTTCGACTGCTCCTTGGCCGTTTTTTGGAGCTTCTGGAAAGCGTTTACATTAAGTACTAAAACACTGTAATTAAGTTTCAAAAAAATTCGTCGAAAAGGCCAGAAAAATCTACACTTACCGCATAAATATCAAACAGCGTCTTCCTGAGCCCCAAAAATTGCTCGTTGTCCCGTTGGAAGGCGATTTGAGCGATAGTTCCCAGGATTTGCAGCGATACCTAAAATGGATAATTAGTCATTGGATTAAACAATTATTTTCTAAAATATTAAAAACTATAGACTTCATAAATTAATCATAATCCCAAAAACATCGCTAAATCTACCGTACCTGATCACTATTCCAGTAGTAGACCTTCTGGGCAGCCAGCAGCTTCACCCAGGCGCCCAAAAAGGACGGGAGGTCTTGGATCGTTTGGGAGACCACCTAAAAAAAAAAAAAATCCGTTAGGCTCCTATGCACGTACCAGAATGTGGGCGCGGAGTATTCGTACTACAGGAGTTGGGGTGGCTGAAGTTCCGGCAACGAGTTGTACGGCATACGAGCATTGGTCCGAGTGTAGCACTCGTTCGGCCATTTCGACAAAGCTAAAGCTCACAAAATTAGAGAAACTTTCAAGCCTAAGCTCAAGAAGTCGAAGCCAAGCCAAAGCAAAGCAAGCCAAGCCTCTTTAAGAAAACCAGCCTCTCATTGCACCACAACTTGTTCGCTTCCGGGTAGAAGCGCAGCAGGATCCGGCCCAACAGTACGGCACTGGCCACCGTACACCCCGAGTTCACCAGGTCGTTCATCATCGGCACGCCCTTGTCGAGCAGGATGTCGAGCCTGAACGTCTTGAAAAGACCGGGATAAGGATGCCTACTTGGCGATGGCGTGTTTCGTCACGTACACGAAAAATGCGGCCAAATCTTGCTCGCAGGGCACGGTTGTGAGCTAAAAGGTTGATAAAGACGTACAATGGGCTAAGTCTACCTGCGTGGTCAGCTTCAGCTTGATCAAAATGTCCCAGACGAACTGGTTGAAGTGGGTCTCGTAGTCGGGGATCTTGCTGACGAGCTTCGATATCTAGAGCAAAACACAATGACTTGAAAATCTTCCAAAAATAGAAAACTTAAAAAGTGTGCTTTAGAAAACTATAGAAGTTGTGGTGCACAATCGACATTCCTTAAAGCGTACGGTATCAAAAAGTTGACGTACGAACGGAACCTTACGTAGCCATGTCAAGAAATAATTTTCCTAAATTTTTGACCGTCCCAAAAAAAAATTAACGAAGCCAGATGAACTCCTTGAAAAGCTCGGTCTACGCGGAAAGATATTCGTAAATGCTTTTGACGGCCCAAAAAGACGTAATGAGGCTTTTTGAACGTCTTGACAAGCTCAGTCTATAGAATTGGATACCTTATTAATGCTCTTCGCGATCATGCCATTGCTCTTGCCACAATGCGCCGTGTGAGCTTTCACGACGGTAGCTGCACACATGTCATGGATGCCGGTGTCCATCCACAGCGACCCGTCGGGACCATATCCCCAGTTCAGCGACGCGAGGATACGGCGAGCCAGTCGGTTTGCAGCGTGGTCGGGCGAGCGACTGATCAGCCACTTGCCGATGGTGCTGCCGAGAACAGCCTAGAAAATAGAAGTCACCGATGATGGCTAAATCATCTTATTTTACTTTCTTAATTCTAGAAAGTAGAAAATTACCTGTGATACCCTGCACGACGTCAAATCGCAAGAAGCCAGCGTATCCACTGCGTAGCTGCCCATATGGTCAATCATCCGATCCATGGTGGCTAGTAGTTGATCAAGCAACTGCGGCTTTCGGCCTATCATCTGCCCAAGCGCCTCGCCGCCGACCTTGTACAACAACGGTGCCGTCGTTTCGTCGCAGAAGCATAGCTAAAAACTGGGTATTAACGTACTACGTATCCCCTAACCTGGAAAACCTCTCGAATAAACTTGGTCGGGTCCGCCGTCGACACGCTGGTGATCATGGCCAACGAGTTGATCAAAAAGACGCTGTCCGGGTCTTCGGGGTTGGAGATCTTCTCTTTCAAAGTGCACTTGTCGATCTTGGCGGGGAGTTCGCTGACGGGGATATCGTAAATCTCCTTGGCTGTCAGCGCTGCGGGACTTCGGACGAGATACTGTAGCCTTGCACGGCAGTCTTCCGACACGAACTCGAACGGGAGATCCACCAGGAATTGGTAGAGGCCGAGGCTGAACCCCAATTTTTAATAAATTTTTGGCTCCTACCTTTTGTGGAAGGTGATATACTGCACGGCCACTATCATGATTCGATCGACCTCACGCTGTAGCTGCTCAAATTCTGGTGGGAGCAGCAGGGATTTGGTGGTCTGCCAGAGGTGGCAAAGTTCTCGCACGGATTGTCTGAGTTCAAAATAATTTTGCATTCTTAAACCTATACCTCAAGTACATCCCAATCTGCTTGCAAAACAGTTTGTATGACGGCCGACCATACGTGTTCAGCCCCTCGTTGAGCAGCTTCATCAACAAGAGCTGGAAGGCCACCAGTGAGGTAAAACGCGGACCATGTTCCGCCTGTTCTGCAGAAAATTGGAGATAGGCCAGGGAGTAGAAATCAGCGGCCGGTAGTTGATCAAGGAAAGCGACAAGGTCCCGCTCGTCGATCGTCACGAACGAGAAGTTCGGGTCATCTCCATCGTCATCACTGAGGATGGCCCACCCTTGGTCCTCATCTTCGCCCTGTCCGACTTGGCGTAAGAAGGCTTCTCGGGCTCTGATCGGCGACATTAGATGCCCGAGCATCGCCACGCTGTGGTCCACCTTCAACTTGTTTGGGGCGGACGAGGCGGAGAAAGTCTGAAAATTTAAGCAAATAAAAGACGCCTGAGCTGTTTGAATACCTGTATCAACGGAGTCGCCCACTCCAAAACTGGCGACGGCAGGCGCAGTAGATGTAGCAGTATAAACTGGGCATCCTCGCTGCTGCACTTCTTGAAGAAGACGGCACAAATCTCCGTCAGCCACCCGGTGACCACGTCGATGAATCGGCGCGGGAGGTTGAGGAATCGAAGGTGGAAGCATAGGGCGGATACGGCATCTCGCATCAGACGCCATGACGGGGCCGGCGAGTTGGATGCCAGCACTGGAATTGTTTGATTTTTACAGGGATTGTAGATGAACACTCACACACTGGCGGGCTGTTCAGCGACAGGGTGTGCTCGCCCATGAATTGATTGTTGATGGCCAGCACTTTCCATTGGATTTGCAGCACCAGCGAGCTGAAGCAGTTCAGTGGGGAAATTTCGGGGAATTTCTTACCGGATCTCGACCTCGTGGTTTAGGCGCTGATTGAGGAGGACGCTTCGATTTTTGGAGAGTAGGCGCTTCATGTCGGCCACTTTTGCGCCGGATAGGGTGGCTTTTTGGTAGCTCGCGTAGCCTTTTGCTTCACGATCATCACCACATCGGCCCTAAAAATTCGATTTTGTTGCGTTAATTTTTGTCGTTATAATTATTAAAAATTTTACACGTTCGCTATTTTTAAATAGATAATAAATTTTATGTAGGTATATAAATTCGCCGACACCATTAATTATCTAGGTGAGTTAAAAGTGCTCCATTAAGTTGTTAAAAATTAAAAGTGAGATTTGTTAGTCGTTAAGCTATAAAAAAGTTATAATTATAAACCAAGTCTTTAAAAAAAACCCTCGGAATAAGCAAAAAATCGCAATAATCACCTGAAAAGCAACCGGCTCCTCGTTGAGCATCCAACACTCGTGCAGGCATCTCGTCAACGCTTCAGAATTTTCCTTCTCTTCAATCTCGCCCAACACGGCCCTTTCACACAGTTCCTTCAGCCTTGCGAGAAGCGGGAAAAGGGGCCCCGAGGGCAGCTCTTCATTCTGAAAGCCAGATTTCATAAAAAAAATAGATGGCTAAAACCTGGATGAATCTGGTCGTCATCTCGTCGGCCAGCTCGTGGAGCGGGTTGTGGTAGTAGGAGAGCAAGTGTTCTTCGGTTAACAACCCATGTCGTGTTTTTTCAAACAATAGTTTTGAAGCTGCTGGGTACATTGGGGGAGCCATGGCTTGAGGGGCAGAGACGATGGACGGTCGAGCTGAAATCGGATTTGAAATGAGATTTTTTAACATTCTTGATTTTTCGAATATGATTTAAACCCTTTAAATTGGTTAAAATTTTTAAATACTCATAAGGCATATTTTAAATACCGTACCTGCTGTCCTGGCTTCTTCCAAAAGTTCCGAATATGCTGGCGGCGGTCGCATTGTCGAGATCGGGATGTCATATTCCAATTCACGCGGTAATGACGGATAAGCGGAACGAGGCGGTGCCTGGAAAAAACTTTCGTATTTGAACAAAAACCTACACTTTGTCGAACAGCCGTCTGAGGAGGAGCTTCGGCAGGAACGGGCGTTTTTTCGCTAAAATTTAACGTATCTCAAAACTCTTCCAGTCTGATACCTCGCCGTTTTTGGGAATATATAATTTATTGGAGGGGCTGTGGATGTTGTTGGTTGCGCAACGGAGGGTGTAGGTTGGTTGAAGACGATCTCCCTGAAAAGAACATTTTTTATGGACGATACGAATCGATTTCAAGCTCAAAATTTCCACTCACTCTGGCTCCGGCGAAGGGGATCTTGATCTAACGGCTGTCGATACCGATGCCGAGGGCTCAGGTAACGTATTTTGGCGTGGAGGTAATGGAGGAGCTTCTCGAACCGGGGTCAACTCTCGGGGAGGTGCCACTGGAGCCACTGGAGTCTGAATCGGGGCCACGCGGGGCTTCGGTTTAGGCTTTTTCTCCCGAACGGCTTCCATCTAAAGTAAAAATTTTTATAAATGAAAACAAATACAACAAAAAATAGAATTAAAATGTATATAAAAATAATGTCTACCCAAGCAATGGCATCAAATAGATCGAACCAAAAAGATATGCTACTACCGGTTTAATGATGAAGGAAAATCGCTCAGACATCCCGGGTGTCACGTAATTTCTTGCGCAATCAATTGGTCTCTATTTGGTTTTGCACCAGATTCCCTTTGAAGGTCAGCTAGCCGATCGATAAAGGTTTTCCCCTATGCTAAATCGCATGTTCTTTGATTCTGGAGGAAATGGGCTCGAAGATTCGAGAGCTGAATCACTTTTTGAAAGATAACAAACAGATTGATAACGTGACCAATTTCATTTTGATGGCGAAAGCAAACAACAAGCGAGCGCTGTGTGTAGGGTGTACACAGTAGCACCCCGGAACGGGCTACATCTGGACCTTGGAAAGTTTTGCACTTCGACCTCAATTACTAATACTTTAAAATTTATAAAATTTAGATGCCACCGAAATTTCGTGTCGATCTTTACTACGACATCATCTCCCCATATGCTTGGATCAATTTTGAGGCCTGGCTGCGCTACGCAAAGGTTAATAATATTTTGTATTTATCAAGGAATTCTTTTTTAGAAATGGCCTGTCGACCTGAACTTAAGGCCCTTCTATTTGCCGGGGATTTTTCAAAAGACAGGTACGTCTTTTATAAAATTCGAGAGCCTAGATTTAGGCAATATTCCACCAATCTCGATCCCCCACAAAAACGAGTACCTGGAGAAGGACCTCGAGCGTCTGAATGAATACTGGGGCACTGGGCTGGTCTGGCATGAGGTGGAGATATTTTTTGAAACACAGGAATTATGGTTTTTTAGAAATTCCGCACCGAAACTCTGAAGAAATCTTCGATTTATGCTCAACGCTTTTTGGGAGCCGTGCAGCTGTATGAACAGGATAAGGTGGGGTTTTGTTGAAGGTCTTATTCATCTCCGCGGATTTTTATTTATTAATATTTTTCAGTTTTTATCTATTGATTTCTGCTAATTTTCAGCTAATCCCGGCGAGTCGAGCTTTCTGGCGTCGTGGTTGGGTTGACAAGCAATCGGTGTATACGGATCAGGATGTCCTTGAGGTTTGTAGCTTTCAATTAAAAGTTAAAATCCTTCCGTCTAGGTCGCTAAGAGCATCGGCCTGAAGTGCGAAAAGCGGATCCTCGGCTCGCTGAAAACTGAAGAAGTCAAGAACCACATCATCGACAACACCAATCATGCGCTGGCTGATAAGGTCGGAGCATATATTCACTTGCACATTAATGAGTCTATTTTTCAAAAAAGTTTTCAGGCGTTCGGTACCCCGTGGCAAGTTGTCACATTCCCGGACGGGCGCAAGGAGTGCTTCTTCGGGTGTGATCGCATGCACTTGGTCGCTCAGGTACTGAAAAATCGTTCAAAATCAGTCAGTTCTTTAGACCCTGGGATTGCCGTACCACGGCCCGCTGAAGGAGCTCGCCGACAGCACTTGAGGAAATTCGTCTAGCTGTAAATTTATGTATTGATCGATTATCGCTGGTATTCGCATTGTTCGTATGTATCGATTGTAGATAGTTTGAATAAATTATAGCAATGTCCATTGAAAAGAGTATAATGAGAATTTGTTTGGCAGTAAACAGCCATTTCAGATGTGAAGTCAAAAAAGCGAAGGGCAAAATCGCGACCCATAGCAATCGGCCCGAGTTGAAAACTGCTTTTTTGGATTAGGGCCGGTAGTTTTTAGCGGTCTAGCTCCGGCTTCTCAATTTTTTTAACGGGACGGACATGATCGGATCGGTTTTGGCCGCGGCCGCGATACGCAACGCGCACGCGGTCCGACCGGCCTAAAGTGGCCGTAATTGTACGCAATGGAAATTCGCGAGTGTAAATTATGCACTGGGAGGATGGGGAATCCAGAGTTTTGTTTGTCGCGGATCTCCTTAAATGGACTGGACCAAGGCTTATAATATTTTTAGAATTTTCTAGGAATAATCAAGCCGCATGAAGGCGTGTCGGTTTGATGGAGGGCCGGCTTACTGGTTGCGTGGCGCGGTGCGGAAAAATCGAGGACAATCTACGCAGCCTTGCCCATCCCTTTAAAACCAAATCGTCGAATTTCCGCCAGCTCAACCGATTGACAATGAGTATGCGCGGATCACCCCCCTGCCACGTCACGCCTCCACCACTTCTCAAGCGGCCGAAATGGTTAAAGGCATTGGGTTGTATCGAGGGAGGGGACCGTCAGTCGCATTCCGGGCAAAACCGCAGCCACCTCGCCTCGGGGCTGGACTCGAAATGGCTGATTGGGGGTGGGCTGAACTCGATCCAGGTTGGCCGCTCCGGGCGCGGAGGCGCCGGGGGCGCCCCGTCGCCCCAGGCCACATTTCAGTTTTCCGGGATTTGGGTGTGCGCGGTCGGCTCGGTCGGCTGCGGCTCTTCGTCGGCCAAGCCCCCCAGGCCGGACTCATTCCCCCCTTTTCTGCGGCTTCACCAGTTTCAGGCGGCTCTTTCGGGAGGGCTGTGGACGGTAGCGCGGCGCGTATACCGTCGGGGTTCTCATTTCTTCCTCGGCTCCTTGGATTTGGCTTCAGCTAGGCTTAATTTTATTTACTAGGTTTTTAGGGGCGATTCTAGACTCTTAGTAGGCTTCAGTTTGACCTAATTTTGGTTACTAGGCGCCGTAGTATAAATTAAACCTACTTTTGGCTTTATATTGGCCTTGGCATCTAATACCTTAAGGGTGAGTTTAGTCGTTTTTTTTGGCCTGAAAATGTCTTAATTTTACCTTTTAGGGCTTGTATAATACTTTAAGTATGATTTTAGCCTTCTTTTTGGCTTCTTCTTGACTTATTTTTTGGTTATTATGGGTGTATAGTCACTTTAGCTTCATTTTAACATCATTTTTTGCTTCATCTTGACCTGATTTTATTTAATAGAGCTTGTAAACTACGTTAAAAATAGTTTAGGCTTTATTTACAAAAGTCAGTGGGTTGACTTTTATTATTATGGTTTTATAGGAATTACAATTCAAATCCGGTCTTATTTTTGGTTTTCATGCTTCTACAAAACCAAATTTAGCGTTTTTAAGTCTAGGATTTAATTTTTAATCTTCCTTTTGTATACTTCTTCCAGGTTTAGCAGAAAATATCTAAGATTCCCTTGCAGGTGATGGAGACGGCGGAGCAGCGAGAGTTGCGTCGGGTCGCCTTCTTCGCGGTGGTCGTCTCGACGGCCGCCGCCATCGCAGCCATCATCACGCTGCCGATGTTGTACACCTACATCGCCAACTTCCAGTCGCACCTCATCATCGAGACCGACTTCTGCAAGGTGCGGCAGCGGGCTGGACTCTGTATCAATTCGGAATTTCTAGACCCGCTCTCGCGATATGTGGGCCGAGATGCGCCAAATCGACACGCCGGTCAGGCAGAAGAGGCAATATGGCGGTGGCTCCGCACCCGGTAGGTTAGCGGAGAGAATTTAGGATTTTAAGGGACAGGTAGAGAGCGAGAGAGAGAGGGAGAGAGAGAGCGTGCGCTAGAGACAGACAAATAGCCCAAGCTATAGATATTTTCACAAACTCTATTAGAACGATTTAGGCAGGCTAGCAGAGACCTTTAGGGAAATCCGTTTTCGAGGTCAAAGCGAGATCTAGCATGACCATGCCAATCTTACCCCCAATTTCAGGTTACGGAGCTGCCCCCGTCGTCAACTCGGAGCCTGCGCCAACCTGCTGCGGATGTCAGCAGGGACCTGCCGGCCCTCCTGGTCCTCCTGGTAAGTCAAAGCATCAAGCTTTTCCTGGCATTTTCATTACAAAAATATCGAAAGCCTGACAACCCGAACTTCTAGGTGATGACGGTAACCTGGGAGAGGATGGTATCAACGGAAAGGATGGAGACAACGGAAGAGACGGAGAGATCCTCAGCAATGCCGTTCCGGTAAGTGGGGGGTTTCACTTTTTGGGGTGATAAGAGAGGGAGAGAGAGAGAGAGAGAGAGAGAGAGAGAGAGAGAGAGAGAGAGAGAAAAAAAAAAAAAAAAAAAGAGAGAGATAGTGCGCGTAAAATTTCTGGAAAACTGAAAACCAGCGAACAGCGCAGCGCTAGACAGTTTTTCTAGTCGCCCCAGCTCCTTGGCTACCTTTGATAGCCCTAGGGGATTTTGCGTAAAAGACCAGATCTAGGGAAATTAGAGATAACTTTTTAATTGATAAAAATACCTATTTTTGAGAGAGTAGAAGTTCTAAAAATGAACCTGTCTACCATCCAACCGCCTACCGTAACCTTTCATCAATTCCAGAGCGAACCATGCATCATCTGCCCGCCCGGACCCCCAGGACCCCAGGGAATGTCTGGTTCCAAGGGACCCAAGGGCCCCAAGGGCAAGGACGGCGAGAAGGGACCCGATGGCAAGCCCGGATCTATGGGAATGGCCGGAAACCCCGGTATGATGGGACCACCTGGACGACCCGGAGTACAAGGACCCAAGGGAGGACCCGGACGTGTCATTCAGGTACTGTAACCCTTCCTAGTCCCTTTAAAAAACCTATATTTCAGGTCAACGGCCCGCCCGGCCCTGTCGGCCAGCGCGGTATGCCCGGACCCCCTGGACCTCGCGGAGAAGCTGGAACCGACGGAGATTCCGCCGATGGCCCAGAAGGCCCACCTGGTGCTCCCTGGACAGCCTGGACCCGCTGGAGAGAAGGGAGAACCCGGCCCACAGGGACGACCCGGATCCGTCGGCGAGAGCGGAGGATGCGAACATTGCCCGCCTCCCCGCACCCCGCCCGGCTATTAGATGTGAATCTACAGCCGCCCACAAACCACTACGATCACTCGCCCGCACACAGGGTGTTCAGCCACTACTATACAAAAATGCGCGAAATAAAGATATTAATAATGAGTGCACTTTTTTAAGTGAGTACGTTTACGCACAAGACATGGATCGTAGGATCCGTTAAAAATCCTAAGAACGTATAACTAAAAATAAACCTTACAGGAATTACTCTTGCTACGCAATACGTTTCATACTCGATACAAAACATTAGATACCTCTCAAACTCTCAAACTTATTTGCTTTTTAGGAGATTAACGAAGCAATTTATGGCAATTTCGATATTCAGTATACTTTACCTTTAATGTGGGTCCTTATTATTTCCAGTTTTCAATTAATTACGACTATATAGTGAATTTAATCTGTAAATGTTTGGCTAAGACAGTGCCTACTGTACTTTTTGAACCGTATAATCCGCGACTGGCCTTTCAAACGATTTTTCGGTCTTTCGGTGGTCTAGACTTTTGTAAGGTTTGATCAATCTCTAATTCTTTTTTTTCGAAAATCAGCTTCCTAGACCTTTATTAAAACTACCTAAATAGTATTAATTTTAAAATAGCTTCAGCCCACCACAGCTCTTTTCTACTGGCCTAATCTAGGTCGAGAGTAGGATATAGCGGCCTGAAAAAGTATCTAGCAGTGAGGGTCGTTCAGAAAATCGGAACATCGCCTAGCTGAATGTGTCTCTAGTCATAGCCTCATTGATCGTATGACTAAGGAGAACATCCAGATGGGCAAGGCCCTAGTTGGGGGGAGGGGAATTAGGCTTGGGAAGTGGATTTCCAGGATTCGGTCCTCGACCGTGGACAGCAAGAGACTGTGATATGAGCCTGTGAAGCCACATCCGCAGTTCTTGGTGTCAACGGTCGGAGGACCAATCTGGGGAGGAAAGGGTTTTAGGACGGTTAGGCTTCGGCTTAGGCCTAAACCTAAGCTCAAACCCCGGGGGTTCAGCGAGTTCAGGGCGCCGCGCTGGATGAATGTTCACCCGGTGAGGTCGGGCAGAGTCGGCCCCACCGAGGTGACATCCATCCAGCGCAAGTCCTGGAGATCGGGAGCGGGTGGTGGTGAAGTTGTAGCTGGTGCTGCTGCTGGTTCAGGAGTCGGGATGGTTGGTGATCCGCTGAACCCCAGGGGCCCGTATTTATACGGTTTTCCAGGGTGCCCAACAGGGCCCGCCCCCGCCCCAGGCAACGCGCGCCTTCTGCCCAAAATGCCTGGGGCGCGCAGGCGGCCTGGGGCGCCACGGAATTTGGGTCAACGCGTGCCCCCGGGCAACATGAAGGCCCCGGGCAAAGAATTATGTTGATCTTGTCACCCATGATCGCCCGGGGCCATTTTCGATGTTTGAATTGAGCGCCGGCTCGCTGTGGGAGGTTGACACCGTCAAGTTGTGCTTTATGTGACACTGATCTCCCGCTCAAAAAAAAACTTGTTGTTGTATGTGATCACTGATCAAGCTAGACATGATAGTGTAGCTTTGTAGTATGTTTTCTTTAGGTAACCATAGTTTCTTATAAATTTTTGTTTAGTTTTGTTTGTTTTAATAACTAATTTTGCATATTAGACAGTTGTTTACGTATTTTACTGCATTTTCTTATTAATAAAACGACAAAATACATAGTTTTAGCTAACTACCTTAATTTTTTATCTATATCCACAAAACTATTAGACTTTTATAATTACTTTTTGAATATTCGAGTTTAAAACGTTCTAATTAAAAAGTAGTTTTGTGGCCGTCTAGACTGAAAGAACAAGCCATTGAATATATTTCAGTGTCAGATTTAAATACTTAAATAAACTATTTAATGCAATTCATCTACGTACGCCTAAACGTTTTACAACCCAAAAACAATAATTTTTATTAGCTATGGCGATAAAATTTTAATATCACTTAGATATATAGATACCCGTAGTTCAATCACCAAAAAAATGGGCTAGATCTTAAAATTCTCAAAAAAATTTAGGCCCACTAAAAATTAGCCGTGTTGGCTAGCGAGCCCGTTGGCCGAATGAAATGAGCGCGAGCCTCTTCCTTGCGCGCTAGAGACGCAAATCTACGAATGGCACACGGCGCCAAAAGGCCCAGACTCGAAATAGCCGCAAAATGAGGAGGAGCAGGAGGTACAGTGCAGGGAGGAGCAGCAGTAGCCCCACGGGAAGCTGGCGGGAAAATCGCGCGCGCCCCTCCCGGCTTTTGGCGCGAAAAATTCGAACGGAAAAAGGGAGGAGGACGAGGACAAGCAGCCGGCCTTCCACCAGCTGGCACGACGGATGATAAGCCAAGCGCGGGGCTCGCTCGCGCTCAACCCGCACCGGCCAGCGACCCCGAAAGCCCGCTAGAAACCGTTTTTTCGGCGAAAAACGAAAGAGGGAGGCTGCAGGGCGATGGCGAGCAAGAGAACGATTGAGGGATATAATAGCAGTAATCCGGAAATAGTCTATACTAATAAAAAAAACCCGAGAAAATCTAATTAATTTTGAACAAGCCATCGAATAACCTATAAAGATTCTAAAAATAAGGCTAGTCAAACTTTACGTTTTGCTTCCGTAGTTTTGAAAATTTGGATTGTGTTTTTAAAAATCGTGAAATGTGAATTTTAACCCATTATGGACCTTATTTTTGCTGGCTATTATTGAAAGTGGAGCAATTTAATTGAGAACAGCTTATCTAATTAACTTTTTAATTATTGAGAAATTAACTTAATTGCTTATCTAATCGAGAAAAACTTAGTTTACAAGTTTTTTACAACCATAAGGTTGTTAACAACTTTACAAAAAACCGTAAAGGCGCCGAATCTGCAGTCCAAAGTTACCTGGAGCACTTACTAGAAAAAATTGATCTAGTCCCAGCGCTGAATTCTTTAAAAACTCGGATTTGCGGCCTCCTTTTAATATTGCAGAAATGTTAGAAACGAAGAAAAACGTATTGAAGTACAATAGGTTGAATCACAAACGGCGAAGTCCGGCCAGAAGGCCCTAAACTGCTCGAGCAGATCTCGCAATGTCCCCGTGCCCTGAAGTACCAATTTTACGGCCCGGGATCTCGGCGATAAGATCCGGCTAGACACTGATAGCATCACGCGCAAAAAACGATGCTTTGATAGGGGGTCAGTTATGAAAAAGCGGGCATTCTTATCCATAAAAAAAATTCAAAAATTAATTTAATGCGCCCTAAATTCATCATAGAAATCCAATTTTTGACAGCGATTATAGCCCTCCAAAATCCACCGTTTAGAAATTCCCTTTAAATAGACATATTTACATTTATTGTTAGTTCCAATCAAAACTTTCTGAAGCGCCATTACTGTACAAGCCGGAAAAGTAAGCGAAACGTCTTTGATCTACAGATAGCACGCGAAATATCACAAGGCAAGGATGCGCACCGGGCCCAAAACGGACAGCAGCCATAGCTTTGGTCGTGAATTTGGACAAATTGTTTTAGATTTTCCGCCTGGTGGCCGTGTAGCGAAGCTGATAAGCGTCGTAGCCGGGCAGATACTGAAATGGAAAACAATCGTCCCAAAAAAGCGAACACGGAAAAGCTGGGTTCTGCGGAGTAATATAATTTTTCACAAGTTCAGAAGCGCTTAGTAACGTAATAGAAAATTTTTTATCGCGTTTTTAGTAAATGTAACAATATTTTAAATGGCAAACCTACCTAAAGACTTAAACATTGGTCATTCTTGGCTAACAAAAAAATATTTTCAATAAAATTTTGAACGTTTTTACGTTTGGAATTAATAAAAAAAAACAGTTAGAAACAACACTTCCTCTGTTCATATTAGAAAAATTGGATAGTAATTAAGAAAGGAAAAAGTTGTGATTGCAATGCGAAAATGCGAAAGCACAGAATTTGAAAGCCAGGTTTTTATTATTATTGCCGAAACTAGCCTTATGCAACGTTAGTCATTGAGAAGCAAGGCAAACCTGAAAATCTTTGTCCTGGAACAAATTGCCGGCATAGGAAATAATGTTGATCGTCGAATCTTCCAAAATTTGCTTTGTAAACGCCGTCTTCTCAAGGCAATTCTCCTCTACCCGCAGGACCTCAATAAACAATACAACTCGCTTTTAAAAAAACTCTACCTTCAAACGGGGGCAGTATCCAATTTGCGGCGATATCCGGGACAAACGATTACGATTCATGTTTAGTTCGCTGACGTTGAGGCTGGCAATCTATATAAGGTAACAGTGAAAGGTAATCTCCAGATGCGACCCACCTCGTCCGGAATTTCAGTGATCCCGTTTTGAGCCAAATTGAGGAGGTCAAGATCACCTAGCTTGACGAGGGACAATGGGAATTGTTGGAAGGAGTTCCCCTCCAGGTCCAAATTCCGCAACGATTCCAGGTTTGGAAAAGACGAGGGCAAAACGGTGAGCCGATTATTTGCCAGGTTCAGCACCTCCAACGAATTCAACTGGCCTATTTCTTCCGGTAGAGATTCGAGACCTGGAATTCATTAATCACCTCAAGTTACACTCTTATGCGTTTCAAGAAGATTACAACTCACAATTATCCGACAAATGTAGCTGCTTCAGCTGTGAAAAGTCGCCGATGAACGGCGGCAGCATCGTCAGCTTGTTTTGACTGAGCTCGATGTTCCGCAAAATATCGACAAGCTGGAAAAAGTTGCCTTAAAAATTAAAAGCTACGCATACCTCAGCTGCATTCTCGGGGAATTTCTTGATGCCAGAGTTTTTCAGCTGCAACACACGCGTCTTCTGGGCCATTTCCATATGTTTTGTGACGGTGGACGAGGAGGGGCCGCCCTAAAACAAAATTAAACTTGAAAAAGCATAAAACAAACCCGAATTCCATTTAGCGTCCCTTGGATCGTTGTGCCGGATTTGGATTTGCCCTTTGAGCCCTCATTGCCCATGCTGAAATTGGTGATTTGGTTTGAAGGAGGCGCAACATGAGAAATTTGAGAATAAAAGTGAGATCGTAGATTAAAAAAACGAGTCATGGCCGCGCTAGTATAATAGAAAACCGGAAACATCAATTCCGGGTTGAAGAGCTTTTCAGGATGAGCCTTCCATTTCAGGAAAGGGGGGTATCGACCGGGATACAAACTACGAGGGTGCCCGGCAAATTGGTTTTGCATTACTAGTAGTTTAAAATTATAGCTAGTAGTTTAAAATTACAATTAGCCTTTTCTAAACTTTCGACGTTTTTTTTTGACAATCGATTATGCGCTGTAATTAGTAAGGTATCGGCATGTTATGCTAAATTTTAAAAATTACTCTTTCTTGCCCTTTCAATATTAAAAGAGTATAAGCCAAAAACTACTTTAATAAATATTATTTTAAGAAATAAAAAACATATGACTTTTTGGCAGTTATTTAAACCCTGTCGTTAGTTAGCTCTTGGTTAGTTATAGTGCTGTTTCAAAATAAATTTCTGTGCGATTTAACAGTAAAAACGAGAAACTTTAAAAGATACAAAAATAAACATTTCCTTCTGCGTGAAAATTTACGCCATGAATTCTGGAGGCGAAGCGGCCCACTTTTTGTCCTCATCACTTGCCCTATCCCTCCTTGTAAGGACTGATAACAAATCTACTAGGCTCCGAGATGGGCATGTCCGACAGGTCTCTACGGAAATAGAAGCATCTGGACAAGGTTTGGCTTTTATGATGAATTCAATTACGGGCCGATCATCATTTAAGACTTTTGACACTTGTAGGTACTTCCAGAATGCGTCGTCTTTCATCAAATCGGGTCTACCGCAGGGAAACGGGTTCTTCAAATTCCACGCTCAGCACCAATGAATCGCGGACGAGGTCGTCTAGTCATCGGCATTATTGTGAGCCGTACTTTTGAAACTATGATGCGTAATATGGTTATTTTTATTTAGTGGTATTTTTGGTTCTTTGCAATATATCAGAAAAAGACCAACTTTTTCTATAATTCGAGAATTTAATGGTGTTTTGAGCAAAATATAAGTATTTGAATCAGAAAACCCATCTCCAAACAACTAAGAAAATCTTTGTAAGTCTAAAAATTTTTAAATTGGTATTATTGACCGAAAAATCGAGATATTTGCGATTTTTCAGTATACGTTTAGGAATAGTAAAACTATTTAGATATACTTTCCGTATTTGTTGAGGAAAACTGGGCTTAAAAAGAATAAAAAAGGGGTGCCACCTTGCCGGAAAGCGGAAGCACCTTATTCTTTTTTAGTACGCCGCCACCTACTCACCAGAAAGAAGCGCACCAAAGAGTTGGACAAGGTGCAGGCCATCTTGAATTGCGATGTGGAGCAGCTTTTGTATGAACCGTAAGCTTTCATTAACCCTCTATAGATATTCTCCTTACAGCCATTCGCTACTCGCCCAATTTATGAACGAGCTGCAGGGAGCGGTTTTAGAAACCGATCCCGCAAACCTAGATGATCCCGACTTTTTCGAGGTATTATGTAAAAAGTAAGTGAATTAAATAAATTTAGTAGTTTTCAAGAACTTACACATGGTAATGCCCCTAATTTCAGAATGCTAGTCCTTCTACGAAGCGATTCGGATTGTGTCCGAGCTTCCGTCTTTCATATCCTTCGCCTGTCCACATTCCAGCAGCGCAATTTGCTTTTTATGCTCACCAGTCATGTCGATATTTATGCGGTTAGGTATGAGAACCATACTAAAACTTACAAAGTATGATTCAGGGCTCTTGATATCCTTTCTGAGAGGACAACCGAACGGGAAGCGGCCTTTCAGTTAATCTCCAAGATGTTGAGGGTTTATAGGTTTGTAAAAGCGAAATAATTTTAAAGTATAGTTTCCAGAGCTAGTCCCCAATTGAAGCAACTCCTGATGGAGCCGAGGAATGATCCATCGTAAGTAAAAAAATCACTTTTTTGAAGTAGATTAAACATTTAATAAAGTATTTAAGTATATTATTTAGGATTTAAGTATATTTAGGCATATATTTTTTTAGTAAAACACAATACGCATTCCCGAAATCTATAATGCAACCCGTGGTGGCGATAGCGCTCCAACAATTGAGCAGAATGGATGAGGTCCCCGTGAATTCACCGCATGATCCGTAAGTTAGAGAGAGAGAGAGAGCAAACCTTTACAGCCTGAGCATGCCGTGCGTCTCCCTATTTTTGGAGCTGGCCGTCACGGAGAGCCAATTTATTCTGGAGATGGCCGGGACCGACTGGATTGTATCCGCTCTAACAGGTGGGGAATAAGCCTCAGCCAAGCTAAGGCAGGTCTAAGCCAAGCTTAAGCCAAACCAATTCAGCTTCAGTTCTAGCTATACATAAAATTACCCCAGGTACCTCGAGCGTCTCCTCAACGCTGGCCACCCACATCTCCCAGGTGCTCGTCTACTGGCTGGACGACCCCGAGATGCGCAGCATGGCCAATTTGCACCTGGTTTTGCAGGTAGGAAACCAGAAATTCTCTCTCGAAATCAAGCACTTTAGCAAATCTTCGCCCCATTGATAGAGTACGGGTTTTTCCAGACTTCAAACATTGAAAGGTGGGTTTTTTAGAGTATTTATGCGTATTGCTGGTATGAAAGTATTCTGCTCATTGACAAGCTATTCTGAACTCTAAACGGCATCCCATCGCTTTTACCAACGTCAATTGTGCGTTCTTTGTCCGTTCTCTAACCCCACCCCGAGTCGCACCCCACCTGGTCCACTGTCCCACCGTATGTGTCCCCCAGTTGATCCTCAGTTACCTCTGGTTCGTGTGCATTTGACCGAGAAAATCTTTCGCCTTTTACTAAAGATTTCCGTGCACACGAACAATTATGAGTATTACATAATTTTTGGAGCCCCCTCGAGAGAGCGGGGCAAAAACGAAGGAACTAAATTTCAAAAAGGGTAACTTCAGTCTATATATTTTTAGCAAAGACCTCAAGCCACTCGAGCTGCCGCTCGACAAATACTCGAGCTCCTTCCTGGCCATAATGCGATCCTGGGCCGGAATCTTTGCTTGTGCCTCCGTTGACGGCCAAGGGAATGTGATGTCGGGCTCGCCGCTGAGGTTCTAAGGATCTTTAACGCAAAAGCTGGTTCTTAGGCTTCTCGACTACCTTGGAATGGGTGTGGTGGTTGGGGAGAATTTGCTGAAAATTCGGGACATGGTCGTCGACATCGCCTGCGAGTTTGTCGACCGCCCGTACGCGCATATGAAGTTCAGCTCGTGGCCCGAAGCTATGGATTTTTATGGTAAGTGTGGTCAAGGATAAGCTTAGAAGGATTGGGCTTAGGCTTAGGCTTATATCAGAACTAGCTAAGGCTTACCCTAGACTTAAATTAAGCTTGGCTTAGGCTTAGCTTGCTTAGACTTCGCTTAGGCTTAACTCAGTCTTGGTCCAGGCATGGTTAGTTTATTCTTAGCTTACGCCTTGCTTAGGCATAGCTCAGGCTTATCTTGGGCTTAGCTTTGGCTTGGTTTAGCGTGGCTTAGGCTTAGCTGAGACTTTATAAGCTGCTTTCAGCCAAGCAATGCGTCACCAACATGTCGCGCGGCCTCCTTGGAGACGATTTTATCTTAGCCGAATTCGAGACGCATATCTACTCCAAGCCGGTGAGTAACCACGAAAGTTTTTATAGGTTTTTCAGGGCTACTCCGACTATATGGATTTCTTGATGGCTTTTCGCGCGGTGGCCTCATTCGCGTTGATCAGCGCCGGGTTGGCACAGGTAGATTTTTATAGCAACTCTGTGAACATGGTTTTTAGTCATTGGCTCGCCTAATCGTGGCTCATCCGGAAGATTCGAGCTCGTTGAAAGCCACTCTGCTACTTTCGGACATTTGCTGGATTGTGAGTCTCGCCATTCCCAGTTTAGAATAGTTTTAAGAGCTCGACTTTTGTGCCTACCGAATGGAGAAAAGCCATTTTATCGCTGCCAACGTTGGTGCAATCGGCAGCGGAAACGATTACGAGGGTAAGTAAAGTTGAGGTTAAGGTTGGCTTCAACTTAGGTGCTTATGATAAACGTGGCAATCCATAAATCTCGTTTTAGAACAGTGCGCTGGGGAATCCGGGCACGGCTCCGCAAGAAACCACTTTTCTTAATGCCGGGTAAGCTACATAAAATCCAGCTCGTTTAAAGGGATTGGTAAGAGCCAAAATCGACCCTTTTTGCGACGACTAGGTCTCGACAGCTAACGGATAAGCTTGGATTTTGCGCTTTTTTTCTAAAATTTCCGGAAAACAACCGAAACTTTCTACCATGTATTGGAGTGTCGCGTAGCTATCAAGAGATAATAAAAGAAAGCATCGTCTTGGCCACTTGCCAGTCCCTTTAAAATACACGCCGTCTAGAAACGCCATGCTTGTCCTCTATCGAATGGACGAGTTGACGCGCATCCGACAACTCTATGATGGTCGCCTACCTCCCACTTCCAATAGCGTGCTATTCATCTCCTCCCTACGACAGCAGGACAAGAATTCGGGTGGGATTTTGCTAAAAAGGCACGGTATCGACAGTATAGACACGCATTACTGTATCTCGGAATCAAGCAAAGAGCGCCATTTAGGGTGCGAAATGAGCGCACTGAACGCGACAATCCAGGCGGCAATCGGCGGGAATTCGGGGGAGATTCAATGGAAGTGCGCGCTGTCCTCGTTGACGACGGCGCTCCGAGAACCAGCGAAAACGGCGAAGAGCAGCGGGGAGAAGCTGTTCAACCTCGTGCAAAAGGTACGTACGTGACAATAGTCATCTCTCTCATTCTCTCTCTCTCTTTATCTCTCTCCCTCTCTCTCTCTCTCTCTCTCTCCCTTTCACTATCGCTCTCTTTTTCTCTCGCTCTCTCTTTCTGTTTTAATAAAACGTTGCTAAATCATTGGTCGATGACTGTCTAAATTTTGTGAGCTCCTGCTTCTCTTTTAATTTTCCGGATAGAAATTACGGTAAGCCATGCCTTTTCAACCCCAAAATTCATATAATTATATTTTTATGGAAAATCCCCTTGCCTCAAGGCATCGGGTTCGATCGCCAACCCCTCGAAAATCCGGCGAAACGAAAGCCCACATCCCCCCTGAAAAGCCAACTGTATCCCATGCCATCCCACGGCTCTCGGCGGGTGAAACTCGTTTTTCTACCCGAGCGAGGGAGAAGCGAGAGAGAGAGAGAAGAGAGAGAACCCTCAGGGAAACAGTCAGATACTCGATTCCTTTTGACTCGCCAAGGGGAGGGGCATACGGATTATGCTAATTTTGGAGGGGGAATGGGAAGGGAAGCAACTTTCACTATTGGAGAACCCCCAAGGGTTGACTTAAAGAGCTCTTCAAAAAACAGGACAGTGAGCAATAAGTTGCTACTTTGAACTCGCCAAAAAATGCTCAAAAAAATAAGCTAAAACTTTTTAAAATTTCGTCAAATACTAAACAAACAAATTTAGATCTTCAACTGGGCCTCTCCGCCCGAAAAGCGCTTCCGGCAAAACGACCGTCTCGAGGCGTTGGCCTGCAAGAAGGCGTTCAAGTACGCGCTGCACTTCTCCGGCGACGAGTACTACAAGGAGATGCTGTCCAACTACGCGGCAAAGTGTTTCCACGAGCTCGGCGAGGTCGGTTTTGGCTTGGTGTTGTCTCCAAAAACGTCTCTGCTAGCTTGCCTGGTGGTCGGGGAATTTGGAAAACAGTTTTTGGGTCATTTTAAAGGAACTTGTAAGCGCGAAAATCGACTCCAGGTAGCCACTAGGTCTCGACGGCTACGCGAGGCTCCGAAACGCAATTGAAGCGGCATTTGGTGCTAAGGCGAAATTGACAAGCAGCCTTGCGTACTCTGGCTTAGGCTTGGGTTTCGGCACATGAACTTGCTGCTGTACTTTAACTCGCAGCTACTTTACTTTAACTGTAACCTTCAGCTGTCGATACCTAGTCACCAAAAGGGGTCGATACCTGACTTCCCTGTCCCTTTAAAATTCACAAGTTCAGGAGCGCCTCCCCAGCGGAGCATTCTCCACGAAACAACTCGTCACGTCCGGCGCCCCCTACTATTTCATGCTCCTCGGGCTGATGAGCTCGCACTCGGTCGGCCTGGAGACGCTCAACACGATCGGCATCTTCCAGAGGTATTATTTAATTTTGTTTATTCATTACTTATGCACAAAAGGTACGCAAAACAAGCACCAAAAATTGAAAAAACAATGATTTCAAAAATATGGGGCAATTCAGGGGGAGCAGTTGAAGGCACCGGTATTCGAAGTGGGGGGCAGGGCGTGGTAGCCAAAAGTTCTGTGTGGGGTTTTTAATATTGCAGCTAGGAGGATGGGTTGCACAGTTTTGTGAATTTAACTACGTTAAAGACACAGTTAAAATGTTTAAAGGGTTAGGAAATGTGAGAATCGACCCACTGGGTTGACTAGGTCTAGACAGTTGCACATTAAGACATGCAAAAAAAGGCTCCTAGGCTTGAGATTAGGCTTAGGCTTAGGCATAAGCATTCTTAGGCTTAGGCTTGGGGTTTAGGCTTAGGCTTAAGCTTAGGCTTCGACTTTGTTAGACAGCTACGCGATGCGTCAAATGCCGTATTCAACGTCTTTTTAGCGTCATAAAAAATGCCTAACCGCGTCATCTTTGCTTCTCGTACTTGTCTAGACCTAACATAACCAGGGTCGATTCTCACGCTTTTTAGCCCCTTTAAAATCATAAAAAAAGTTATTTTAAAGATCTGACACTACGAAAATTGTTCTTCTACGGGTTCTGGGAGACGTAGAAGCATTGCTGGATGAAGGACAACTTGGCGAGACACTTGTACTTCTCGGAGAGGAGCCCGCCTTCCGGAAGGCCACCGGCCGGGTTGCAATATGGTCGGCAGTGCTCGAAGCCAGGCTCAAAGACGTTGTACGCCTGGCAGCACTGGGTGACGTCCTTGTAGCCGGAGGCGCAGATCATGATGTCGCGAACTTTTTGGAGGGGGCAGCGACCGGTCAGGACGGCGAGTTGCATCTGGAGATGGGGGAATTTAGATACTTAGACGCACGTTCTAGGCTTCGGATTAGCTTAGGGAAGCTTACGCCTAAGCAAACTCTAGCTCACCGTGGCGAGGTTCGCGTCGTAGTTGCACATCGATTGGCACCCTTCTCCAAGCCGCGCGCAGCAGTTGGAGAATCGCTGATTGGCCACCTCTTTCGTGATGCACGGCTGCCAGCCGGGCTGTCGGGGGCACTAAAGGAATGTTGAAGTCGGGTGCTTAGGCTTGAGCCGCGACTTACTTAGCTAAGCTTGGCTCAGGCTTACCTGTCCCATCTCGGCTCCCTTGGACTGGGCTGCTCCGGCTCCGGCGTAGAAGGGTTTTTCAAAAGTCTGAGGAGCTGAGTCGATCGAGCGGGCCACAACGGTCTGAAAATGTTAGGGTAGAGAGAGAGGAGAGCGAGAGACTGAGAGAGAGGCCTATAAAAAAATCCCCACCTGTGGCTGATTCGAGGCGTAATTTTGCTGCTGAGGCTGCTGGGGTTGTTGGCCTTGTTGAACTTGTTGGATGGTGTTCGTCGCTACCTGCGCTTGCACCTGAAAAATTATCGTGAGCTCTCTCTCTCTCTCTCTCTCGCTCTGTCTCACTCTCTCGCGTTCTCGCACTCTTTCTCTCGCTCTCTCGCTCTCTCTTTATCTCTCTCGCTCTCTCTCTCTCGGCGGACACTTTCGCACCCGTCAAGCCAAGCCAATTCCGCAATTTTTCTACCGTACCTGCTGCCCGAATCCGGGGTACTGCTGCTGGGGCTGGAGGCCGTAGGGGGATTGCTGTTGTTGCCCGAAGTAGGGTTGCTAAAGAGGCGGATTTTAGCCGGGTTGATGTTTTTCTAAGTGCCACCACCCCTTTAAAGGGACGGGCAAGGCATGGTTACGATTCACTACGAATTTTTCCACAGCTTGCTACATGGAAAGAGTACGCGCGCTTGAACGGCTTGGAAACGTCGGCAAAATCGCTACGAAATCCATAGATGAAAATTGCCCCTCCCCTTAATTTTCAATTAACTCCGCATGAAACCCACCTGTCCCTGTTGCGGCTGTCCCGCCGGCACCGGGGCCGGGGTGGTGAAGAACGGATGGGGCGGGAAGGTGGGCAGGTTGAAGGGGTTGGACTGGTCGGGGACGGGGAGGCCGAGCTGCTGGAGGAAGGGTTGGAAGGGGTTGAACATGGCACTCGTTGGGGCCGGGGTGACGCCAGGTTGTTGTTGGAGACCCAGCTGGGATTGGACGCCGACGGGGCCAAGGGGGTCGGGGGCTTGTTGGGCCTGGGGGACCTGGCTGTAGAGGCCGTTGGTCATCAACCGTTGTTGCTCGGAGAGCTGCACGTTGAGTTCTTCTGCGGATGGCATACGGACTAGGGGGGCCAGGGTGACGGCTTGTTCACGGGATGGGGTGACATCAGGTGGGGGTGGCGGGGCGGTGACCACGACTGCTTGATATTGTTGCTGTTGCTGCTGTTGCTGCGGGAGATATTGGGGTTGTACTTGTTGCTGAGGCTGTTGGAATTGGAAGGGTTGTTGAAGTTGGAATTGTTGTTGTTGGGGGTACTGTTGCTGCTGGGTGTTGTAGGTGGGGAACTGAACGGCTTGCTTTTGTTGTTGTTGGGCAAGAGGTGGGGCCACTTGAGTCGAGAGGATTGGCGCAACCTAGAATTTTGTGCATAATTGTAGTTTTTATGAGTTCTGAGTTTTTAAAGGGGCTGGGAAGCGGAGGATTAAGAGAGAGGGAGAAAGAGCGGGAGAGAAAGAGAGAGAGAGATAGAGAGAGAGAGAGAGAGAAAGAGAGAGAGAAAGAGAGGGAGAGAGGAGAGAGATGGATCTCCTCTAATCACCAACCTGAGCATTAGGTGCCGCAAACTGCTGTGGCAGGAAGTTCTGCTGTGTCTGAGGCCTAGGGGGCGTCTGTAGCTGAGCAATCTGCTGTTGTTGTTGCTGGGGTGGCTGCTGAGGCAAGAAAGTGGGCTGCTGCTCGGCTTCCTTCTTATTCCGGTTGGGCTGAGGCGCGAAGCCGGTGGGGCCCTAAATATTGGAGTTTATAGGAGAACAATTTAAAGAACGATTTTTTAGGGAACAGCGGCAGGCGTACGGTAGAATTTAGTGCGTAATGTAGTTTTCTAGAACTGGCCGACTAAGGTTGTGTTGATTGTTACATTTCTTAGTCCCTTTAACGGTAACTTTCCAAAAAACTAGCCCCTCCCGCTAGCCGCTAAATGGTCAATGTGTTTCCGCATCAACTGCCGCCCCTCAGCCAGCAGCCGGTCGCCCTTTCCGGTCACTTGCGATGGATGCGCTTTTAAAAATTCTGGTCCGGGAAAATGACCGGTTGCCGCGATAGGGAAATCTATGGAAAACTGGTTCCTCAAAAAAAGTCACACATTTTACAAGGGTGATTGTTTTCGATTAAAAAGCGATGAACTAGAGATTTGTCGCAATCGATTTATGGATTCAGTTCAAAAGGCCAAAATCCCGATAGTCTCGATTAACCTTGCATCTAAACAGCCGATTTTGGGTCTCGGGGTCTCACTACGTTGCCCTGAGCTACACTACGCAACGTTACGTCACACTATTACGCCAATCAATGCTATGCTAGGCTATGTTACGCAACACAACGCTACGCCACGCTACGTTGCGCTACGTTACGTTACGTACAGTTACGCCACTGCATGCTATTCCAAGCGTAACGTTACGCTATGCTATGTTGTGTTACCATACCCTACGTTACGTTCCTTTACGCTACATTACGTTCAGCCACCCTACGTTACGTTACGTTCAAAGCTCCTAACAAACCTGCGCCTGAATAGTGCCCTTCCCCGGGCATTTCGAGCACACTTCCGGGCACATCCTGGAAATGAAGTCAACTTGACAGTGCAGACATCTGGCCCGGCTGCAACTCGGCAAATCGGCCAACCCGACGCCTATCAAGGCAAATACCCAGAGTGCGGCGCGCATCGTTTGGTGCGCTCGGCCTGAAAGGGGTACGGTAACTGTCATAGTTTTTGAAATCAAGAGACATAAGAGGAAATGTGTATAGTATGTATATGTACGTAGTAAAGAAGCGGAATGGGAGCCGGCCGGTGCGGACTAATAATAATTATAGGGTGACCAGCACGGGGGTGGGTCCGAATTTCGCTGACCAATGGGAGGGAGCAAACAAACAAAAATAAATAAATAAAAAGCTTGAATGGGCTTTATTTTTAGATTTTATTAATGCGCATGATGTAGTAAATTATCTACATTAAAATTTGTTACTAGCAAAATTCAAATTATATGAAAAACGCTAGATAGAAAATAGCAGAAAATTTTGAGCAAATCTGAATTTTAGCGATTTTCCAAAAATAATGCAGAATAATGCAACACAGTTTTGAGATTTTTTTTATTAAATTAATTAGAATTTCAAATTGTTCGACCGTCGTCAAAAAATTTTCGTATTTTCGCGATTTTGCAAATTCACGAGGAGGGGGTCAAGGACGTGAGTTTTTGAAATTGGCTTGGCTTACGTTTGGGCTTCATCTTAGCTTAGATTTCGCCTCAAGTGTAGGCTTATGCTTAGCTTAGTGGTAAAACTTCAGATCCAGATTGAAATGTCATTGAGATTTGATGATCAAAAAAAAACAGCTGACAATATTTTCGAAACGAGCTTCTTCTCGTGGCATGGGGCCTCCCCCGACTAAAAACAGGATTTAATAACCGGATCTAGCGGGCATTTTCGAGGGGAGGAGGAGGTGATGCAGATCCGGAGGAGGAGGAGGAGGAGGAGGAAAAGGAGAGGAGGAGGAGAATCTCTAGCGAAAGGCATTCTTGGGGATCGAATCAAATGGATGGCGGTGGTTGAGGGGGGAGGTGGTGGTGGTGATGGTGGTGGAAGGAGGGGGAACGGGTTTCTGAAGCTTCAAGCCGACACACACACAGAAGGACAGAGGGACAGACAGACAGGCACATATCCCCCAACCCTGGCCGGGGGATGAGGCTAACGGGCAGCGAGGGGAGGAGGACAGGACGAGTCACTACTATCCACGGCATCCAGGGTCGGCAGATTGTGATAAATACACAGTGGTCAGGCTGGATGAGGGTTCAAAAAGATGAACGAGTCAAAAAACCGCTCCATTCGCGAAAAAAAAGACGAAAAATCCGTTCCGCGTTACGCGGTCAAAAAGCAGCGCGTTGCGCGTTGCGGTCGCCGACAAATTAACAGCGAATTCACATTAATGTCTTCAAGGGGCTGGCAAGTCTGGTCTATGGATTTTTCCATAACCGCGATACGCGACGCGCCTCGCACTCTCGCTTTAAATATACCATAATCCATTACGCAATGAAAAACCAACGCGCGCTGTGTGTCGCGGAGCAAACAAGGGATGACAAAAAGGGACTCCCACTTCAAGGACCATTGAAGGCGGACCGCGACACGCAACGCACACTCAACGCAGGTCTTGTTGCATTACGTAGCGAAACTTCGAAAGGTGCGTTGGGTGCCGCGGCCCCATTAAAGGAAAGCACTGCACTCCTACGGAACTAGGAAAGTAACGAAAAAAGAGAAATAATAAAAACACTTGCCTTAAAGGGTGCCGCTAATCGTCGCGCTGAAATGTCTCTGCGCCCTCCCCAGGGCGCGCCTCTGTCCTGTGGCACTGCCAATTTGTTGTGGGGGATCGCATGCCGTCCGCAGCCCTTTAATGATGCCTGGCTTCATATTCAAGGTGCTGTTCAAAAAGCTACATCCCCGATGGGATACCCGTCGAATCTCCCCAATAGCCCCCTCTGACCGCCCCCCTCCACCCGCTAGCCAAAACGGGATGCGAAAAACGGATGGCTGCCATTGTGACACTTAACATAGCGGCCTCTTATACAGAAGCCGTCATCAGCAAGCTGGTTAAAAAACCCGATCGGCAATCCTTTAATGTTATAACGTCATCATCATCAAGTCAAGAAATAATCATTCGGAGACAGCTATTTATTAGAAATGATAGCATAAACCTTGAAAAAACCATCAGGGAAAGATTATCTGGAATATTCAGCTTTTAAGGACCCTAGAAACATATAGTAGTCGAAAGTAAGAGTCATTGGTCAAAGTTTTATGGCTTCCAAAGGTCTTTGAAGGCACACTGACAGCTAGGAGCGCGCAACGCTTTTCGTAACGCGTAACACACGAACGCAACGCAGCCGTACGCGTCCGCAAAATCAGGCTGCTAATGGCTTAGACTTCCTGGCAATAGGGTTTGGGGCTTCGGCGTATACTCAGGCACAGGCTTGGGCTAAGCTTTGTAAAATAAATTTCCCTGGAAAACCTGATGCTCATTGCCAGGAAAAGCACTCCCGAAAAAGCCCGCAACGGCACCCGCCTATAAAAACAAAATGGGCTTTGCCCTGCCCCCCATATGGTGGATATCGAGGATCGGGCAACGGATCTGATGGCTATGGCAGCCTCCCCCAACCGGAATCTCAGGCAGCCGATCCAATAAGAACTTGCCGCGCCGCGCCTCCCGCTGCTGCCCCCCACCCACCGATGCTTTTGGAGATTTTAGAAAAACAGGAAGGGGAAGACTAGACTTTTCGGGAATTTGGGATTTACAGATATTGATGAGGGTAATAAGGGAATTGAGCCATAATCCCGACAGCCATAATCCCGACATCGATAAACCCCACAGCCATAATCCCGACAGCCAAAATGTGATATTTCCGGCCGCTTTACCCCTGGATGGTTTAAAAACCTCGTGTTTCTGGCTGTCGGGAGTTTTGTTGTCCGATTATAGCTGTCGGGATTTTGGATGTTGGGATCATGGCTGTCGGGATTCTGAATGTTGGCATTTTGACGTTTTATCGACGGGTAGATACCGTAATCCTTGGCTTGCTGAAAATGCGATCAATGGTGTATCGTCCCGCGTATCGCAAAATTCATTGCCAAGACTTCGCTCGTCATGCCGTACCGACCCCTTTAAAGCACCATATTCCAGGTTAAACTCGCTGATGAACGAACGCACCGGACTCGACTATATCAAGGCCATAATCCCGTGTCTCGACTATACCATTGACCTGAAACGTTCGAAGGCTCGGCTCGTACTCCAGAGAGCGTTGACGGCTACTTCTGAGGTGGGATTTGTTGACTTTACTGGGACTTTACAAGCTTAGGTTTAGGCTTGGGCATACGCATACGCTCAGGCTCAGGCTCTAAAAATGAATTTTAATTCTGGAAACGTTTGATCTCTAGATTTCCCGAAAATGGTGCACGCGCTTCCTGCTCGTGCTCGCCAATATCCCGGAAGTCGATTTCAGCAGTTGGGGCGTGAAACTGATGTTGGCACAGGTAGTAAACACTACGTTTTTTGCATGCAAAAATTTTTAGCTTGGAGATGCTTCCCCAAAAGTTGTTCGGCATGCTATCAGGATTATTCTACAGAATGCGCAGGTACGAATTTCAGGCGGATGCTTTTAAGGGTACTGGAAAGGCTTAGCTTGGGTTTAACTTGGGCTTAGTCTGGACTTAGCTTAGGCTTAGTTTAGGCTTGATTAGTTTATGCTTAAGTAAAGCTCGACCTAGAACTTTGGCCAAGCCCTCGGTCTCCTCCGCTCACCCCTGCTCGACACCTTCGGTGACGCGGGAATTCTCCTAAAAGCCGCGCTTGCCGGCCAAGAGTCCTTCTGCACTAATCGACAGGAGATGTGCACGCAGATTCGCTTCTGGTTGCAGGTACTGAATCGTCTTCCGCTTCTTACTTTTATTTCAGTCATTCTCACTACGGTACGCCGAGATGGTGGAGGAGGAGATGCGGATTGCGTTGCTCGGTGTTAGGCGGAATATTACTGGGGAATTCGCGCGGCCGACTTCTGATCGGTGGGTTATAAATTTGAATCGACCAACGGCAATCTAGCAGAGATATTTTGGGAAATTTAGAAAGTAGCACTTCTATCAAAATTCAAGTTCTTTTAGCTTTGAACGCTACGGTGTCCGTGCGCAACCACATCTTTTTGGCGAATTGGCAGGGCACGATTTAGGTAAGATGATGCTCAAATAAATAAAAAGAACAATTTATTATACATATCATAGCATTTTAGGCAAAGAACTCCTTCAAAGCGAGGCCGTCGTTGAGCAGCTACTCGAAGGGCTAACCGACGACACCGTGCTGGTCGTCAAGGCTTCATTGCTAGGCCTTGGTCATATCGGGTCAAGAGGTGTGTTTTGGCTCATAATTAATTATACGCGTTTAGCCCCCGAAATTCTACCCCTCGAAACCGTTCCTCTAATCGTCCGACTCGCCGAGCAATCCGAGGTGCTCTCCGTACGGGGCACTGCTCTTTACGCGCTGTGTATGATCGGCGGGGCGAAGGAAGGTAAGTACCATACAGTATATTGTAGAAGAAATCACGGTTACCTCAATTTCCTCCGATTTTAGGCGCTCGTTCGATCGCGAGACTCGGATGGGAGAGCACGAGGCATAAAAATGTGGTCAACGAGGTGAGAATTAGGCTTGGGCTGAGGCTTAGGCTCGTCTTGGCCTAGGCCCGGCTTGCTCTCAAGCTGGGGATTAGGCTTGGCTTGGCTTGGGCCTAGGCTTTGGCTTAGGTTCAGGCTTGACTCAAGCTTCACGGAAGCTTACGCAGCTTACATAATTTTAATAAAATTTTCCAGGTACGATTCGAGGAGAAAACTACAGCTCCAAGGCCAACCATTAATTACGAGCCGACTACGGTAAGTTTGATGTCATTTGGAGCTTTTCGGATTTTTTGGACATCCATTTAAGGCCTATTTCCAGTTTCGTGTCGAGCGGAGACCATCGCTGCTCTACGTTGATTATTCCCCTTGTCCTTCTCCATCTCCATCAAGACCCAGATCTCGATCCCTGGCTTCCATCGACGGGACCGGGCCATTTTTTTCGAAAAAGCGGCAAAGTGCCCCGGCTTTTGCCATCGAGGCTGCGTTGGAGCCGAGGAGTTTGAGGTGGGAAAGAGAAGTCTATCGAGAGAGCAAAAGAAAGAGAAAGAGAGAGGGAGTGAGAGAGAGAGCGAGCATGAGTGACAAAGTCAAAGTAAATGAGATCACGAGTAAATTTTAGCCCTGCCGGCTACCTATCCCCTCGAGGAGATCGATCGCTAACAATCGAAAGTATGGCAGGACATCACGGGTCCTCGAATTGTGAAGATAGAAGGCATAGGGCCCTCTCGAGAGCAACACTCGAAGAAGGGGACGATCTCCTCAGTCGGTAGTCTACTAATGAGCCCTTTTAACCAGCGTAACTGGTTCAGAACCTCGACGATTATCACCGCCTGCAGTCATCTACAGCCGAAAAGCAAGCTTGAGCAGGAGATGGAGAGATTGGTGTGTAGAAGGAAGGGTTTAAAGGGCTTGGGAGGTGTGAAAATCTACCCATCCCGTTGATAGGGTCTCGACAACTACGCGCTACGTCAAATGACGCCTGTATTACGGTCATTTCAAATGCTCAATTTTTTTGTGCGTGCCATACAGCTTCTAAAATTGCTGCTCGGACCTGGCCGCGGTTAGACGTCAATTTTTGAGATTTTCCCCCTTTTGCCCCTGATCACAGGCTTTTTCTCTTCAACCGGGAACAAGAGAAATTTTTTCAGCTTCTCGCAGCCCCGCAGAGCGACCACTTTTCTTGTCGAGCTCGAGCCAGATGGCGACTGCGAGCCCCCGCTCCGCCAATGCATCCAGGTCTTCAAGACAGTCGGCCATCCCGTACGCTACAATCTGATGACCCGGGAACAGGTACGGTAAAAATTTGGGGTTCGCCACTTTTGAATTTTTCTAAATTTCTCAAAGGCACTTTCTCGTTCAGCTCTTCGAATTGGGCCACTTTGAAGCCGAAGCGTTTGGGGATGATTGTGTCCAAAAGGTATGGAGTATTCTATGGGTTACGGTAATAAGGGCAATTTTTAGGAGTTAGAACTATGCTTCGAGGATCCGCCACCGACCTACAGCCCTTTGCCTTTTATTTCTTTGCCAGTGGAAGTCGATCTGATCGCTAGGGTGAGGTTTTGAAGGCTTTGTACTGTAGCGTATCGTAATGTACTTCATGTGTAACCTAGTGTACCGTTGCGTATGAGGGCCAATTGTACTGCAGCGTACTGAGCCTTACTGTATCTTAGGATTAGTTACTGTAGCGTACAATGCCAGTGTAGTGTTTGGTATCATACGGCTGCGTACAGTTGCGTACTGTTACTACTGGAATGTACTGTGGATGCGCGTCTGTAAACCACCGTAATTTACTGTTGCGCGCCGTCATGTTTTGTAGCGTACCATCTCATTCCGTTACGTTCTGTGTTGTGATGCTCAGTAACGTACTGCTGCGTAAATGAAGCGTACGGTAAGGTAAGGTACCGTCCAATACGCCTACGCGATACGCGACTATCGGGATCCGCTGTACTATTCCATAGCCTACCGTACTTGCTCCAAAAAAACATCACTTAGACGATCTCCCCAATTTAGAACATCTTCAACTTCAACCTCGAAATCCTGGACGACACCGTCGAGGATCGTGGCGCCAAAAGTGGCTACGGCAGGGTAATTTGCACGCAATTGCACGTGATAATCGAACTTTTCAGCTCCGACTTGATCAAGTGAAAGGCCACGACCGGCTCCGCTGCTTCTACTGCTCAATCCCGGAGTCGAAAAGTATAAAAATCATCCACAAAATGACTAAAAATCCTTCAGAACCTCCCTTCCAACCGGGACCCGACTCGGCAGCGCTTCGACTCGAAGTTCTGCAACTTATCGATTTTCTGGAGGTGAAACGGGTCGTGCCGGAAAATAAACTTCTCAAGTGGGTCACTGTAGACTTGGACAAAATATTAAAAAATTAAGCTTGAGAAAACAGCACTCCTGGCTGTTCACTTGGCCCTGTTTGTATGCGGATGTTTTGGAGATGTTGGATCAATACAGGTTTAAGGTATGAAAAAAATTATAAGAGGCTGAGGCTTAGGCGTAGCTTAGGATTCGGCTTAGGCGTAGCTTAGGATTCGGCTTAGGTTTCGCTTAGGCTTAGCTTAGGCTTAGCTTAGGCTTAGCTTAGGCTTAGCTTAGGCTTTTAGCTTAGGCTTAGCTTAGGCTTAGCTTAGGCTTGGCCTAGGCTTAGCTTAGGCTTGGCGTCGACTTGGTGTTAGCATACTCCTTTTCAGGTCCGTTCACGGGTATTCCTGCAAGAAATCTTCTACGAGGCCATGAAATTGTTGCGCTAAAAGTTCTAATAAATTCAAATACATTTTTCTCCATTTTTTGGCATACTACTGCATCAACTTTATTCATTTGCCGCCCAGCTTCCACATCGTCACCTTGATCCAGGGCCAAAAGGCGGAGATCTTTGAGTAGACGCCCGGGCGCCCCGGTCGGCCACAGCCAATTCCCCAGCTTACTAGGCCCTGTAAAGGCATTAAAAATGCAGTGTTTTTGGGAAATCGATACCTTTTCTTTAAAGTGTTCGTTAACGTAAGCTTTTACAGGAGGGTTACGAAAGTTACGAAATAGATTTCCATACCTGAAGCTCCCATTTTCCCTGCCGCAAGCACATCAGCGGACCGCCAGAATCGCCCTGAAAATGGGTTTTGTAGGGATGAGGAGGGCGAGAATCGGTGATACAATGCGATAGAAACAGAGAGTGAGCAAGAGAGCGAGAGATATATGGAGAGAGCGAGAGAGAGAGAGAGAGGGAGAACTTACCTGACAAGAGTCAATGGCCCCCTGGCTGTACCCAGCGCAAAACATGGACGGCGAGTGCACCAATCCCCCATAGTGGGCCATATTGTTGCAAACATTCGCGGGGAGTACGGGGACGTGGATCTCCTGGAGTACCTGGGAGCGAGTCCCGTTTTCTTGGGTTAGGCCCCAGCCTAAATTTTTAAGTTGCAAGGAGCGGTATTAGGATTAGATTTCGGCTTAGCTTAGGCTTAGCTTAGGCTTAGACTTGGGCTTAGCTTGGGCTTGGCCTTAGGATTGGGCTCAGGCTTACCGGCAACGGCACAGACTTGAAAAGGCGGCGGTGCCAATGTCGGGATACAAACCGGACTCGCCTTTTCCGACAGCTTCACCGGCGGAGTGATTCTGTAAACAGGAGCCTAGTGGAAAACAAGAAACATTACTTCAACACCGCCACATCCCACGAGCTTGGCCAGACGAGGTTAAAGGTTGGGTGGACGGCGAGCGCCTCGACCTATCAAGTCTTTTCAGGCTCACATGCTAGGCTTAGGCTTAGGCTTAAAGGAGACGTTGAGTGTTATTTGGGACAAGCCTATCTATGCAGGCGGTTCCTTTTTAATTTGATTATGACGATTTAAACCTACGCCATACGGCTACTTTCAATAGTCATAAGGCTTCAAATTTTTAGGCAAACCATAGTATTTTGTTCAGAAAAATTCTCTATAAATGTACCATCTTTTCCAAAATCATTGAAAAGTTGGAAAAATTTGATAAATTGGGAGATCCATAATTTTACAAATATTTTCAAATTTCCAGCATTTTTGAGATAAGTAGCTTGTATTATAGAGAATTTTTTTCTGAACAGGATGCACTATCAAGTTTTGTCTAAACCTATTCCGAAGTCTTTATGACTATCGAGTAGCCGATTTTGGCTGTTTTGAGGTTTAAATCGTTCATACTTTCGAGAAATTGCTATTCCGCAAACGGTTACTATTCGAATCAGCGTAAAATTTTGCATATGATAGGCTTGGTCCTGTGCCAAAGTTGCGACGACACTCAAAAACGTCTCCTTGTTAGCCTAGTAGGGGGCTCGGGCTTCGGCTTCGGCTTGGATTAGGGCCGTACCGTACGGAACTACGTCAACTCTAAAGATACCCTAAAAAACTCACCCGATGATACTGGCCGCTTCCGGTCTGATGCGAGCCCACGATCACCGCATAATTCTTTGCAATCCGACTGAATTTATATAGTTTTAAGGGGTCAAATATTATTTCTGATCCCATAAAACCGCATGGAATTTTACGGGGTACTATCTTATCGGGGTACGATTCAAAAAATGAAGTTTTTGCTACCTGGCATGGAGACAATGCGCCGCCGTCAGCACCAAATCTTCCGAAATCAGCGCCCCGCCGCATTTTGATGAATTTCTGATAAATTAATTGTTTTCTAGAAATTACGAAAGTTTAGATACCTAAAGAATAGCTCAACAACCCAGGGCCACGAATGGGGGACCGTTGGCTGGCCGCCGACGATACGGTGCTCGGGGAACTAAATAAAAATTTTTGATGAGGTACGTACTACTCTAGCTTAAATCTTATATCAAATCTTAACATGTAGGTTTTACAGTCCAGAAAAAAACACTAAAAATATAATGTCCGAGTTTAACCGACCACAAAACTCCTCGGCGAATTCTCGTCAAAAATCTGGTTCTGAACCGTTGAGACGCCGCATGGCGGATCGGCGGCGAGAACTTTAAAAATAATACTTTAACATCTAATTATACTTAAAGCATACCTATCCCCAAATAAATAGGAATCAATATTCGCAAAGCCGCCATTTGATTCAGATTTTCCGGCGAGCGGGCTCTGTTTTAAAAATAATGCCTCGAAAGCTGGATGACGCATGCCTGAATCGTTTGCATCAACGTTTTCCGAGAACAAAACATCGAGATGCTGTTCTGGTGCCTGTTTTGTAATCTTTAAAACTTATTTTTGGCTTACACACAAAGGTGCAGGATCTAATGCCCAGAAAATAATTTACTGGCTATTTTATGCCAGAATTTTCAAATTCCAGGGTCTATGCTCGGCAAAACTACGCCTAATTAAAGGGAACGCAGCTATTTTTATTTTTTCCGAGCTGAAAAGCTCCGTTTTGCGCCTTTTTCCGGCCGGCCTGTTGGCTCCCTTTTGCTGTTTTGTGGATCCGACCCCCGCCCACCGTACCCGCCAGGCGATTACCCCTCCAAATTCCCTCGAGGGCCGCCCGACTAACAAAGTGACTGGCTTGTTCGACTCATAAAACCAAAAATACCGAAAAGATCTTGGTCTAAATGCTGTCACTGGAAACCCAACAGGTATATTAACATTGTGTTGTATCAATTCAGTTGATTTTCTAGAAACTAGACGATGAGGAGCGAAACGAAGAAGAAATTTATGAAAACCTGATATTTTGGGTGAGTTTAGGGCTTTTTGGTGATATTAACTGATGCATAATGGCCACCGAGTAATGCTGCAAAAGCGAGAAACTTCCGATTTTTAGATGAGAACCGTTCATACCGAAGAAGACGTTGACTGGAATGTTGATGCCCTCGCAACCGGGCGCACGATTGCTGAATTTTTAAACAAAATGTGCGTTATATTTTTACGAGGATTGTTGAGTATCGTTTTAGAGACCCAAAATTTTTCTCAAAGGATGGCTTCCTAGAGAAAATCTCTTCGTTTACGCGGGCGGATTCTGCATTTGGGGTCAAGGAGGTTTCGCTACGAAAGGTGAGGAAAAACCATCAAAGAGAGCAAACCAAAAATAAATATAATGATTGATTGTATAGTTTTAAGCTACAGGTCGCGAGAACTAATGTTCAGACCGAAACCCCTTTGTAGATTCGCATGAGGCTCACCGAATATTACGAAACAATCATCCGCCGAAATCTGGAACCGCTCGCAGATTTGACGGAGATCTCACGCGATTTTAGTAAGTCAATCAAGAAAAAACAACAGAACAACTTTCAGTCCGCGGTGATATGGGCGCGGCTGTACTTTTCCTATCAACAGCGATCGCTGCAGCGTTTTTGGGGCCTCATCGTGAAGGTAGGCGAAAAAATGACAGCGAAGAATGATAAAATTGCAGTATACATCAATGGGCTGGCGGCAGTCCCGAATAACGTGATGAAGACGCTCGCCGAGCAGATTCAGAGGATTCAGGATAGGACGCCGGCGCTATCACCGCCAAATTCGGTATGTTGAAAAGCGTAAGGTTTCGCCATAGTCAAATTTTCAGCCCAGTACCTCGAAGGAGGTAGAAGCCGAGCCGGAGCCGCATGACGATACTTTGGAGCCGGATGAGGAGATAAAGAGGCAGGCCGAGAAGATTGAGAAACTGAACGAAAGGGTAAGCTAGTTGAAAAACTACCACATTTTCGCTTTTTAAAAACTTTTCCATGGATTTCCGGTTTAAAAAACTTATATTTAGGTCAAACGCCTCATCGGGGATAAGGAACGTCTCGAAGGCGAGGTCACCGGGCTCAAAGAACGGCTTCACGATGATGAAGCCGGACCCCGAAGCTCTGCACTTGCCGAGCAAAATCAAGAACTACGGGTGAGTCTAGAAATTATTTTTTCATATATTCAATTTACAGCTTAAAGTCGGCGTCCTGATGGACGACCTGACGGTGGCCGAGCTGGAGAAGGGGCAGCTGAAAGAGAATGAGCGCCAGATGGCTGATAAGCACCGCAAAATGGAGGAGCGGGTGAGTGCGTGGGGAGCATGGCTATTTCTCTCGTTTCTCTCACGCCGGGGCGGCCTGTAATATCAATCACCACTTTTCGCGGTGCCCCACCTCTCAACAAAATGTTTGGTTTTTAGAGCTTTTTATTGTCTATGTATCTTTTTATTGCATATTTAGTATTAATTTATATTTTTTTATTTCAGCTCCGCGAAATGCAGGGCGAGGTGGACAATGTGCAACAGTTACGCGATGAAATACAGGTAAAATTTAGTGCTTTATCAGAAAAAACTTTTTTCTTCTAGGTCCTAAAAGAATTTGAGCGGAAATGCGAGAAAAACGAGTCCCAGATCCACCAGCTCAAGTCGAAGCTCGACCAGCGTGAAGGGCTAATGTCAGATGTAGGTATTTTTCGTTTTGTATGGTATTTTATTACTTTTGTTGTTGTTTACTTTACTTTTATTTACCTTTTCATACTCGCATTATTACTTCTTTATAGAATAAACTTCTAAACGAACGCCTGCAGACCTACATGAACGCCCAGATGGACTTTGAGGATATGCAGAAGCGGAATCAGGTATTTTCGACCAATAAAAATGTTGCAAACCCAATTTAGGCCCTACAACAACAATTAGCGATGGCCAAGGGCGAGCTCGACGCCAAGGAGAAAGCGCACAGGGAATTGACACTGAAGATTGACAAGGTTCGGACTTTTTAATTATGTTTTAAAATAATTTAGCTCGACTACGAGCTGGGCGTTGTCCAGGAGCGCAAAATAGCGCTCGAGGAGGAGAATCGACGAATTCGGAAGGAGAAAGATACATTGGAAGAAGACATGATCCGTCATAATGGTAAGAGAAGCACGGAGGATTTTCCAAAAACGTTTCAGCATCGATGGGCAGTCAATTCGATGAGAGTACCAATAGCCTCCACGACGCGATGGCTTCGGCTATGGCCACCGGGGGGCCGAGTGATGCAAATGAGCGCGTTTCGTGAGTGTTTATATTTGGTCTTAATGTATCAAAATATGGCTTTCGATATTCTAAAATTAAAAACACTTTCAGGATGCTAGAAAAGATGATGAGGTTGGAAATCGAAAACAGCCGCCTGAAAGAGAAGACCGTGTCGGCGGAAAGCGCAGAAGAGCTTAAGTAAGTATAACAAGCACAAGCCTCAAAAAAAAGCCGATTTCAGGTCTCAAACGGAATCGCTGAAGCGTACGATCGTTGAGCTGACCTCAGACCTTCGGATTTCAAACTTGAAAAATAGCGAGTTGCAGGTTGGTCGGTTAAAAATGATTTTAAAAGAACAAATAGGAGAAATCAAGAAAAGAATAAATTTTAGACAAAACTCGACACCCTGGAAAGAGATCAATGTGACCAAGGTGCGCTCAATGGATCGGATCGCGAGAGGAGAGTGGCTGCCGAGAAAATGGACATCGAAATGGCCAAGCTGCGTGATAGGGTAAAAAATAATTTCTGGACACAATTTACACTGAATATTTCTAGGCTGTAAAAGCAGAAGCCGCCCTAACGGCATACACAGAAAAGGGCGGCCAAGAATCTGATGTGTTGACGAAGAGGGCGGTCGAGGCAGAAGCACAGGTATGGAAAGAGCCGTAGTTTTGACCTTTTTCTAGCTCGAACACACAAAGCGGATGATGAACGAGTACTTGGAGAAGGCGAAGCTCGTCATCGCCGACCAGGAATCCCGCAGTCAGGCCATTGATGCCTGCGGGCTGTCTCGACATGAATTTGACTCGTTACGCCGCGAAATTGAGCAAAAGGAGAAGCGGTAAGGCTATTTTAATCCTCGATAAAATTTAAGTTATATTAAAAGAATATATAACCAAATTTTTTTGCTTTAGAATCCGTTTCCTTGAGACGAGAGCCGAGCAGATGTCTATGATGCACGAACAAGAGTGTCGACTGATGACGACCGCTTGGCATAAGACGGTAAAATTTGTATTTGAATTACGATAACTATGTCATTTTTAGGCCAGTGACCTCATCGCTTTCCAACGAGGCACCGATTCGCTGACGGACAGCTCGCGAGAACGCGGCTTTTTGTCACAGCACCGAGATCCGCACCTTCATTTTAGGTACGGCTTTCAAATGAAAATTTTTAAGCTATTTTAAAAATTTAAAAAGCTATTTTTATTATGGAATTTTGTAAATTTTATTCGTATTTTCCAGGGAACCCGACTATCCACACGCAAACTATCATCACGGTGCTTTTGATGGGATGTAAAATATTTTATCATCTGATTTGCGAATTTGTATAAACTCGACCATAATAATATTCACTTATGACCCTTTGTACAAACCTTGTGATTCGTGCAATGAGCTGGTGATGATAATAATCATAAATATTTATTTTCATTTTTTGAATCGAAATATTTGAGAATTTGGCAAAGCAACGAGCAATATCTATCTTCCAAGTTTTGACAATTTCTTGAATAACTTAATTTTTCATTATTCAGGCTATGCGATGCTTGGTACGGTAGCGTTGCGTCGATTTAGCCGCGAGGCGCGTGCTCGTTTTCTTGAGGTTAAGCTTTTTTCAAAATAACTGAATTCATTTTTAGTTGTCAACAACATCCGAGACCAAACCACACGTGCCATCGGCAGAGACTAGTGAAACTATTAGTAAGTTTTTACCACGTCGGGGCGGCCTAAGAAATCGTGGTATTAAATTTATTGTTTTTAGAAGAACTGACCGATGAAGTTCCACCACCCCGACCAGCGAACAAGCCTATTTCGAAGGGGAGCAGCGCCGTGTTGATTCCGCTAGTTTCGAGGGCTGACCATGGGGATTCCGTGCTTTTCACTAAACGGTAGGAAATTTCTATATTTAATTCTCTCTCTCTCGCCCTTACATCTTTAAATTCCATTTTCTAGCTCGTCCCTTCTGAAAGATCACCGCGGCGAGATCTGCTTCCCAGGAGGGCGCGTGGAAAATGACGAATCACTCGAGGAGGCGGCTACCCGCGAGCTTGAAGAAGAGGTTAATCAATTTCTAGCTTTTAGACCTTTCCCATCTTCAGATCGGAATCCGGGCATCGATGATCGACATTTGGGGCCAAATGCATTCCGTACCAACGCGACAAAACGGCCGTCCGGTGACCCCAATTGTCGGCGAGATCCGAGAAGAGCACCTCAGCTCCATAAAGCCCAATCATGATGAGGTAAATTTTTGAAGGGAAATGTAGAAAAATCCGATTGTGTACATTAAATTCATTTCCAGGTTGATTCTGTCTTCACCGTACCCATCGACGAGCTGGTCCGCTCGACGGAATATACCGTATTCTCGCACAACAAGGTCCTCTACACGATGCCGATTTTTCGAGTACGGAAATATACGGTAAGTTGGTAGCTTTTTCCCCGATGAAACTCTGCTCGTTTGCCTTGTTTCAGCGAAAGAGAGAGAGAGAGCGAGAGATCGTGAACGAGATAAAACCCCACTATAAATCGCTGATTACTTCAGATTTTTGGTGGAATTTTGGGTTAGAAAAACCCCAATCGTTTCAATTCCAGGCAGGGACGTAGCGTAAGGTGGGGCCCCTGGGCCCGGGCAAATTTCATAAGGGGGACCCTTATGATTTTTATTTTCCCAAAAATTTTGCTGCCCGCGGCGCTATTTTTTCACGTTTTTACGGCTATTTGTAGAGCTATATAGCCTTGTTTCTAAAATTTTTGCCTGCGGCGCTGGTTTCTTGTGAATTTTTTGAGTTTTTGGAAAAATTTTTCGGAGCCCCCCCCCCCGAAATTTTTTTCTGACTACGCCCCTGATTCCAGGTACTAGCCAAAACTCAAGATTCTCGACTCGTAGAAGGACGTGAAGTTCGTGTCTGGGGCCTGACCTCCGTGATGCTCCACTTCTTCCTCCTCCACATGTTTCCGGGCCAATACTCCAACCGTTTAGCACCCGCAAACTTTTTCCGCGTCCGCCGATTGTGATGATTACGATTCTTTTATCCAAATTTCTGTTCCTTAGAAGATCCTGAAATTCCTAAGGAATCACCGCTAGCTTGCCCGTGTAGGCCCAAGGAGGAAATCTGCCTTCGAGAATCACTTTTGAAGTGCCTTTGTACAGAAAAACTTTATTAAAAACTTTATCAAATTTCTAATATATGTTTATTAGCACCGAATAAATGTATTTCTATCACAAAATGGCGACCATATCGAATGTTTGAGAAAATCACAGGGTTTTGGGCGGATAAGCTGGTGGGGTTTTGGTCAAGGCACGGCTTTTTAAAGGCTTATTGAAGGCAGGGAAGTAATAGAAGTTTCTAGAAGTAATTGAAGTTTCTAGGGCAAAACAAATTGAACAAATTGAATTAAAAAAGTTATTGCTACAATGCGAAAAAAAACGCAGCTTTAGAATGTTTAGGAAAAAACACAATTATATTTGTATGGTTAGAAATTCCTTATAAAAATGTAAGGGTTATAAAACAATAAAAACTAATTTAAAATCTATATTTTAAGTGATAAGCTCCTTCAAAATCATTTGGACAACGCTGGAATCGATTTTTATAGGCCTTTTTTTGAACGATTTGAACTGTTTACCGGTATTTTCAGGGGGATTGATGGCTAGTTGGTGGGCGGGCTACGGTAAGCCAGGCTTTTAAATAGCTTCTTCTTGCCGTAGCTGAATATAGCCCTCGTTCAGCTCGCTGTCCTGCATCTCCGCGGCGAGCGGGTTGTCAAAATCCAGCACGTCGTAGTTCTCGCGAAGTGGGTCCGGGCGAATTACGCTGGAATTTTGAGGTTTTGAGGGTTGTGCTTGCGCGTAGGCTTAGGCGTACACTCGGCTTTATTTAGGCTTTGGTTCAGCCAAAATTACTCACTTTTCAATTCGCAACACCAGAATTGCCGTGAAAAAGTAGCCGAACGCCGTCAGGACCTCGACTAAAAGTTTTTTGGATTTTTAAAAGCTTTTTTGGCGTACCGAAATGGTGCAGCTTCCAGATGACATTCAAATCCTCGCCGGTGCCACGGTAATCGAGCTGGGTGACGATCTAAAAAGTTGCGTTGAGGTAAATTGAATGGTTTTAAGCCTACGTTGAAAAATTGAATGGCGGAGAGGATTAGCAGCGCATGGCGGGCTACTGGAACTTCGTGGATCACCTCGGAGACGCAGATCTGAAGGGTAAATGTTTAGGATTGGAAGAATTTCTATCTCTCTCTCTCTCTCTCTCTCTCTCTCTCTCGCCAACGAACCTGATACAACGGGAATACGATAAGCGAAAATGCGACGGCGATATGGTAAAGCTGCAGATAGATGACGATCAATGGATGCATGGCGGTGCTCGAGAAGACAAAGCTCAGGATCGAGCTGCCGATCACGACCAACGCAGCCGACGCGTGCACTACGCCGATCCACTAAACTAGCTTATATAGCTTAATGTGATTATGCTAACTTGTAAGCTACGCATACGCACCCCCTCCGCCCTTTTTTGAAAACAAAGGGCCCCATTTTTTTTTGAAAGTACATTTTTCTTACAAGTCTAATAAAATAAAAAACGCCACCAACCCTGATCAACGCCTGCGACTTTGCGGTCCTGTAGTGGACGTCAGTGTTCGAGACTTCCCGCCGGAGATGTGCCACTCTAAACCGAGACACGGGATTACGCAGACATGGCAATCCCGGCCGGCCCAGCCGCCCGGCCGAGCCGCCGGCCTAATTTCCATAAAAACCCGGCCCCATACGAGCCGCGTTAAGACTTACATACTCCGAAACCCGGCTCCCGGTCCAGCCGGCATTTAGTTGCGGCCCGGCCAAGCCGGTTCGGCCGAGCCGGGAAACCGGGTTGTTCATTTACTTATAGAATCCGTGTATCCTATGCAAAATTGTGAATGGAAACGACAAACTTTCTTTGGTGGAATAGTTTAGCCCTTGCCATAAAGCCAATTATTGATTGATCCGCAATTTGCGTACCGGAAAACGAAAACCTATTTGGTCCGGCTTCCGCTTTTCAAAGCCGGGGCTTGGCCGGGGCTCCGGCCTCAAACATAAAAGCGGGGCGGACCGGGCTCGGCCGCCGCGCGGCTCGGCCGCATGCTAATTTTCCGGCCGAAAAAAGCCGGCGGCCCGGCCTTTTGCCATGTCTGGGATTACGGTATTTAAAACATAAAAAGAGCCTAATTGATTAGGGTTGGCGTATTATACAGAACCTCATTACGATCGCGGCCAGGAAAATCGAGGCAACGGCGGCAGCGAGGTGGATGAACGCCTCGAACATGTGCAGAAAGACACCGCCTGCAAGGAGGGAAGGTAGGCTCAGGCCTAGGCTTGGGCTTTGGCTTTGGCTTAGTCTTAGACTTTGCTTAGGCTTAAGCTACGGCTTAGGTTTCGAGCTTTTTTAGGATAAAAGATTCTTAGGCTTTTCTTCGTCTTGGTTGCGAACGCAAGCTTCGAAAAATTACCTGTAGTAACAGTCGCAAAACAATCATCCGTATTCGTCACGAACAAATCGCAAAGCTGCTCCCGGAAATACCTAAAATACGACCCATAAATGGCATATAATTCATCCGCTTACCCCTTAAAAACCAAATAACTATACGATAACAGCAGGAAGAGCGTGCTTTTTGCCGTATATAACAGGACGACCAGACTAAAGCAAAAAAGTTTTATAAAACATGAAAAATTAGCATACCAAGCCGGTAGGGCCAGTGTGGCATGCTGGGGATTTGATGAGAGAAGCGCGAAAATCGAGGCCAGCATCAGCAAGAAGGGCGTCTTCTGCTCGGAACCGTGGAACACTTTGTAGAATATCTAAATCATGGTTTTTTTATTTTGAAAGGAGCTTTAAAACTCGGGAATGAGGGCGTATAATAGAAATAGTACCTTCTCCCCCAACGCGTACAAGTCGAGGCCGAAGATGGCCAAGCACAGGCCGGCAAAAACCAAGCCGCAGATGAGGAAAACCCGGGTGAAGCTCGCTGGTTGGGTGGAACGGAGTCGGCCGGAGATCTGCAGGAGGTATTTTTGGCTTCATAGGCTTAGTTTTTGCTTAGCTTAGGCTTAGCTTAGGCTTAGCTTAGGCTTAGGCTTAGGCTTAGGCTTAGGCTTAGGCTAGGCTTAGGCTTAGGCTGCTTAGGCTTAGGCTTAGGCTTAGGCTTAGGTTAGGCTTAGGCTTAGGCTTAGGCTTAGGCTTAGGCTTAGGCTTAGGCTTAGGCTTAGGCTTAGGCTTAGGCTTAGGCTTAGGCTTAGGCTTAGGCTTAGGCTTAGGCTTAGGCTTAGGCTTAGGCTTAGCTTAGGCTTAGCTTAGGCTTAGCTTAGGCTTAGCTTAGGCTTAGGCTTAGGCTTAGGCTTAGGCTTAGGCTTAGGCTTAGGCTTAGGCTTAGGCTTAGGCTTAGGCTTAGGCTTAGGCTTAGGCTTAGGCTTAGGCTTAGCTTAGGCTTAGCTTAGGCTTAGCTCAGGCTTAGCTTAGGCTTAGCTTAGGCTTAGCTTAGGCTTAGCTTAGGCTTAGCTCAGGCTTAGCTTAGGCTTAGCTTAGGCTTAGCTTAGGCTTAGCTTAGGCTTAGCTTAGGCTTAGCTTAGGCTTAGCTTAGGCTTAGCTTAAGCTTATACGAGGCTCAAACCCACCTGCTCGAAGAGGAACAACATGCTGCCGATGAGCAACCCGATATGAGAAAGGCCGCAAATAAATGAAAAATGCAGCGGTACGGTAGGAATTACTGGGGTAGTAGCGTTGCCGGACTCTTGCTAAACAATATTTTTTTGAAACTTACAAAGCATGAAAACAAGTAAAATCTTGAAAAATGCGCTAGCTAACCTCGTGCAAAAATATGACGCTGGTGTACCATCTGTAGTCGCCCCACAGGTAGAAGATGGCCGGCATGATGCAGAGCGACGTCAGCGCCAAGCTCAGTACTCGGGTGAGGTGAGTGCCTCGCGAAGCCACGATGCATACTGCGCCGCACGTCATCGCCAAGGCCAACCACACCGGCTCGTCGATTGTATAGTTGAAAAACAGATGGCGAGTCTGAAAATGATATCATAGTTAGTGAAAAATAACGAATAATGAGAGGTGAAAAGAGTCAAAGGTAAATACTACATTTTTGGTCAAGCCCTAGGCCAAAAACCCACGGATTTATCGCTGATCCTCAACTTCCACATCTCGTACAGGTAGCCGGCGAGCCGCAGCCCGGCCATGACCACCTGGGCCGTGCCAAGACCCAGTAACCGTAGGCACTAAAAGTCCAATTCTGGGAGATTTCAAGGCTCGTAATACCCGATTTTCATAAACACGATCTCCTTGAACAAGACCGGTGATGGATACGAGGTTGAATGGGATGGCCGTCATCGCCAAAACGAGATCCACCCCGCTGTAGGCCAACATTCGAGAGCCCTTGGAGCGTTGAAGCTAAATTTGGCGTTATATAGGCTTAGGCTTAGGCTTTATGCTCATTACCATGCACCCTTTGCATGTTCCCTGACCCATGCCCCACTCGCCCCCCACCTGGCCCACTGCCCTGCCATATCGTCCCCCAACTTGCTCTTCATTTACCTCTGGTTCGTGTGCATTTGACCGAGAAAATCTTTCGCCTTTTACTAAAGATTTCCGTGCACACGAATAATTACAGGGTGGGCAAAAAAAAAAGATCCGAGTTTGGGTCAAAATATCTCGCGAACGGTAGAGAATCGAAGGTACGTTACCATGCCAGAATGCTTAAATATGCTGGGTATGAAGATTTAACACAACTTGATTTTTTTGGATTTTTGAGTACGAAACTGTACTATTGACGTTGGTTACGACCGAAAATTGTGCGTTCTTGAACGGGTGGTGGGAAAATTCTGATTTTTGGCCCAACAATCGTTGGCATTTGTAGAAAAATAATGGCCAAATATTAGAATTTTCCTAGGTTTATTTCATTTTTTAAAAGCAAAACAATTTTCGCGATTTCGTGACCTTTTTGTTCTTTGAGTCATAACTCGCTTCTAACTCACTGCCCATGGCTGCTTTTTTGTCAATGGCTTATCCAAATATTAATCTCGGATCCCACACCAGAACCCACCACAATCTATGGTATTTTTCTATTGCTTGCTAAAACGTGCCCCAGCGGGGTACTGTAGTTTTCGTTTTTCCCGCTTTTCTCGGCTCCCTTAGCTTCGATCCGGCTGAAATTTTTTGGGTTGTTAGGCAATAGGTAGTGGCACCTTGCTGCCAAATACGAGAGCGTACTATCCACAAACTTTCATCAAAAAGCCTAAAAACTGATTTTTTAATTCTGCCACAGAATCTTGTAAATTTTTTGGTCAGTTGTACCAAAAACTGTTACTATTGCTTTTACCGAAAGATCGAAGCGATTCCATGGCAAAAACACAACGAAAATCGCGAATTTCGGTTTTCTACAGTAACCCCCGTGGAGCGCGTTTTAGCATGCCATCGCAAAATTCCATAAATTGACGATTTTTCAATTCGAGGACCTTCTAGAGTTGATTGTAAGATAGCCTGTCAAAAATTACTGATTTTGGGTGGTAAATAACAAAGTTACGAGGCCAAGTGCAAAACAGGCCAGAGAGCCGATTTTTGGTCCGAGTAGCCGGGTCAATTTTCGAATTTTTAAAAATAAAACCACCTAGTCTTCTGGATACGATTATAGCTTTGATGTAATTATTTACGCCTATCAAATTCCGGAGCAATCTGATTCAAGATTATGGTGACTTTCAGCTCAAAATCGAAAATCGCCCTGTTCCAAAATCGAAGTTTAGAAATCTTCTTAAAATTTTTGCGACGCGAAATTGCTTTAATCTTTGCATAGTTTTATTCAACTGATGGCACTGATTTATTGCTCAAAATATCCCTACGACTCCACCTCCCAAAATTTTTTTACGCAACCTCGAATTCGGTTTATTTCGGGTTTTGATGAATTTTCTTGGCGCCAACGGCTGGTTAAAAAAATTCATGAATAAGGCTTTAGGATGCGCTATTCAAATAATATCAGATAAAATTAAAATGACAATTTTCATAGCGCTGTTAAAATTTATAAATTGTTGACGAGTTTTGGAAAAAAGCACGAACCAACTGTTTTGGAGGCCCTAAAAGACGCCCTTCCAAAGGGGACGGTAGCTCGAAATTTTGGAGATGATTGATAAACCCCAGTCCTACATAGCTAAGCAAAAAAAAAATAGCTGAGTCCCCTTTGGCAATTTAGAAATATTCTTCCAAAGTCCGGTTTCGAGATCTCGAAAAATCCATGACCCGGGGGTCGTTGAAAAACTCGAAAATTCATCGATCTCGAAAATTTTTTAAGTGTATTTAAGCGGTTGTATAGGGTCCGTAGTTATTCTACAACAACTTATTCTGATGTTTTGGCCATAGGTTTTTGTAATTTTCGAAATTTACGAAATTTCCCCATACAAAATTTCATTCGTCTATAACTTTTCAACCAGACCCTCAAAAATTCTTACATTTTGTAGGTGCATATCTACTACCGACATTAACTTAAATAAGGAAAAATTAGAACCCAGCCACCACAGGAAACTGAGTAAAATGCAAATGAAGTTTTGCGGAACGCACATTTTTCGGGTGTCATTTGTATTGATACGTCGCCAAAAATCGAAAAAATCAAGTTGTGTTAAATCTTCATGCCCAGCATATTTAAGCATTCTGGCATGGTAACGTACCTTCGATTCTCTACCGTTCGCGAGATATTTTGACCCAAACTCGGATCTTTTTTTTTTGCCCACCCTGTATGAGTATTACACAATTTTTGGAGCCCCCTCGCCAGAGCGGGGCAAAAATCGGATTTAAAAAGTTTTAGTGTTATCCGGTTTATCGCATTTTTATTATCTGGCCTTGTCTTTTCTAAAAGTTTGCCCCGGCCTTCTCACCACTTCCTCTTTCCGCATTCCGGACCAAATCTCCCGAGAGTCATCTTCTCGGTAAATAAAATCCCGACAAGCAAGCCCGATAAAAAATATCGACAGCCATGACTTATACGTTAAGCCTTTCCTTTTTTCTCCGTTGTCTCTACCATATGTATATTTTCTACTTCAATGTTTTATCGATTGTCGCAATTTCTAAAAGTTTCCCCCGGCTTTCCCACAACTTTCCCTTCCCCTAAAAACACTATGCCATTCGAGGAATATGCGTGGTGGCGCCGTATGCATGAGTTAGCATCCCCGGCTTTTTTCGGTGATGGAAAAATGGTAGTGGTTGGGGCGGAAAACCGGTCGCCCTCGCCGGCACTGGAGCCCCACCCGGCGCTGCACAGACTTATGCAAATGTAGTGCCGAGACGGAGTGTGTTCCACACTCTACACTTTTTCTACTTCCTCTCAAGTGCCGCTCCAAGGTCATCTTTGGCAACGCGGAAATCGGTCAAAAACTGTTTTCTTCGAGGTCAAGACAGAAAAAATGTAGTGGGAATTCGGTTTTGGAAATCGATAATATTGTCGTAAGTGGCTTAGGCTTAGTTTAAAGTTAGGTGTTTTCGCATTATCGGTGGGGGGGGCGGGTCGGAGGGAAGGTCTTAAACGTAAAAACCTCACAAATTGTTGCTAAAAATATAAAAATCGATTTTTGGACCAAATTTTCACATTTTTTAGGTTTTAGATAGTTTTTCGACCTGAAACATAGTTAAATGTTACCAAAAGACTATTGGAAAACAATTACTACTGTGTTACTAGGCATTTCTGAACTCGTAGGAAAAATAGCCCCCCCCCCCGATAATGCAAAAGGACCCAAATTTCACTTCAAGCCTTGGCTTAGCGCTTCGCATTCCATCAAACTAATTTTTAATCCTCAAATCACCTTCGTAACAAAATCATCGGTCGTCGACAAATATAGAATATTCGACGCATCCGCAAAAACCGCGCACCCCGAAACGATCGTCGAAAAAATGTGCAACACGAGGGCGAGCGTCGCGGGACCCGTATACCTAGAAAAACACGAAAGATGATTTCTCGCCGACCGGAAATGCGAACCGGTTTTGTTTACCGGAAAAGATTCGGGGCTGACCTGAGATCTTGGAGCAGCGAGACGAGACCCGAAAAAAGCTGCACACACGTGATAAAGTGCGTGTTGATGAAGTGCTCTGAAAATTCGGGAATTTTGATTCGGGTTGGTGGATTGCCAAGTCCAGAAAAAAGCGCTCTATTTTGGTAGTTTTTATAAGTGTTTAGTAATTTTTCAACCAAGAAAAGCCTCAATTTTGAAACTTTTTGGGCGTAGAATTTTGCATCCAGACAGTATTTTGGCAGCTGCTGGTGCTTTTCGTTTACACCAGCTAGTAAACGGTTGTACAAATAACGAATTTTAGTCGGAAAAACGGCTCAAGTCTCAAAAAGGCCACAAAATTTAACTTGTTTAACTTGTTAAAACATCAAAAGAAAAAGGAAAAAGAAAAGTAGATATTTTAAAACTTGCGTAATTTTCCTTTAAAGTTTTCAAGTTTTAAATTTGCGTTCAAATGATTTTTAATTGAAAACTTCTAAATAAAATACACCACCCCCAAAAATTATAATAAATGAAAACTTAAAAACAAAGGCTTTCATTAAATTTAAAGATTAAAGCCTCCTACCCGTAAAATAGCTCTTCTCCGCCTCGGCCGAGCTCGCAATCAGCCCATTCAGCACCGACACCACGCCAAGCGCCACCAGCCCAACGGCGGCCTTGCGTTGTAGATGTTCCGATATGTTCATCATCACCCGGGTCGCTCACATCTGATGCTCCGCAAAGGCTTCAGCAAGGAGGACGAGGTGGCTAAGCGTGAACGGCTCGTCGAATAGTCCTCCACCAGAGCTGGCTGCTTTCCGCTGAATTGACCACCAAAAACAATGTTATCTTGTGTATGGGTCCTGCAGCGCCGAGCAGGGCGATCGCCTAAAGTTTTTCGTTGGTACAAGGTATTATCCAGGCCTACACAACGCTTTTTTGCCTTTCACCACAAAACGCAGACCCGACGGGCTTGATAAGCGGCCGAGGAGGGAAATCGAAAGTGCGGAACAAGGGTCGGTGCGACGTTCGATTTGCCATTAAAAGTATGTAATTTCGATAAGCTGGGTATTTAGATTCAAATCCGATAACATCTCTTTTATTTGTTCTCTTGTTTAAAAAATCGCAATAGAAGTCTAATAAAAAAAACACCCGGAAATGGCTCAAATCTGTGAGAAAAATTTTTAATCATTTTCTACATTAATTTGGAGAGTAACCTTCCAAAAAAAATTGGGCCGTATTGAAAAATGGCACCGAAATGGCCTCGAACCTATAAAAAAGCTTGAAAGAGCGATCCTGGAATTTCAATGAGATCCTGGGGGCGAGCTTTTAATAGAAATAAAAAGCACAGCATAGAATACTTCTCCAAAAATCGTTGCGATATAATGATTTCATTTTAAAGAAAAGAAATCTAATATACTTTTCATAGTTTAATAGCAAAGAGCCCTTAAATCATGTTAATAATGCAATAACGCAGAATGTAAAATATTCCGATACATAGTATCAGGGGCGTACCAGAAAATTTCGGGGCAAATTTTCCACTCAAGGTGACGAGAACGCGCCCAAATTTTTGAATGAGGTTACTAGCTCTAGAAATAGCCGTAAAATGTGAAATGCGCCGCAGGCACAAAATTTTGAGAAATGAAATCATGGGTCCCCTATGAATTTTCGGGCCCCGGCCGATTTCCGGGGCCCGGGCCCCCGGGGCCGGTATTACGCTATGTCCCTGCATAGTATAGATCAAGGTCACGCCGGTCCATCTTTTGAGAGGCGTTGCAAAGGCGCGGACACGCTCACATGATTTGCGAGTATTTTTTTGTTGGGCAACAGGGTAGTCGAGATGATGGACAAGATAAAAGGGGCAAAACGGTCAAGTCGAGTCATCCGAATAAAAAGGGGTGCCGCAATTTTCTCGAATGACGAGGGTGAAATTTGTATTCAATTAAAAATATAAATAGGTTTGATAGAAATAAAAATATAAATAAATGCTAAACCCGTTAAAACGCCCGCCAGCGGCTCTGACCCCCCCCAACCCCCCCCCCCCCCCCCCACCCCCCCCCAAAAAACCCAACCCCCCAAAAAAAAAAAAAACACCAAAAAAAAAACAAAAAAAAAAAAAACCAAAACCCAAACCCCCAAAAAAACAACAACCCCACGGGGGGGGAAAAAGGAAACCCCCCCAAAAAAAAAAACCCCCCCCCCCCCCAACCCCCCCCCCAAACCCCACAAAAAAAAAAAAAAAAAAAAATTTTCCCGGGGGACCCCCCCCCAAAAAAAACCAAAAAAAAAAAAAAAACCCCCAAACCAAAAAAAAAAACCCCCCAAAAAAAGAGCATACAATGTTTTACGTGTTTTTCCCTAGCCGGACGTAATAGATCACCAAAAAAATCTGCGGCCCTTTAAAAGTGTCGTAAATTAAAAAAAAACTCTAAAGGCTTCACAATCTTTAAAATATCTAAGGTCGAAACAATGGAAATTGATGTTCAGCTCGGTAAAAAGGCCGAGGTCACAGAGAATTGAAAAATTGATGGGGTGTTTCTTTTACAATATAAAAAGCTTTAAACGTTTTTCAACGCTAAAAATCTAAGGTAAGAAATAGTAGAAATGCTGAAATGGTACAGATAAGCGCCCTACTCAATTCACCGTCCTAATTAATGAGACCATAAAATCACGAAATAAAGTGCACCCAATCGAATACCGGGCGGCAACACGCACACATGCACGTGTGTATGCTCCCGCATAATAAGGACAATTCACCGGGCGCTCGCTCTCTCCGCCTCCTGCCCGCTCGGATCGAGGCTGTGCTCTGAGCCAAACAAATAATATCCTGTTGAGCGTCGAGGAGACGGCAGCACCGTGTACACCACCACCCACACCACCCCCTTCAATTTTAGGGGAGCAGAGGCGGGCGGGGAGGAGGAGGAGGAGGAGAGAAGAGGTGGAGGAGAACTCTCTTCCTGGGGTCGACCTGATCGATGCCCAATTTTGGGTGGGCTACCTCTAGTCACCCGCACCGCTCCGACCACCAATCATCCAATTTGCTCTGCGGTGACGATTGACCGACTGTCTGTCGAGGCCATTTCCTGAATTTGTGACCAGGAGTTCCGGCGGAACAAATTGCGATCCGCGAACGTAGCAATGAACGTTTAAAGGGAGAGCGACAGTGCGTTTCAAGCCTTGGAGGTTCAAATGGAGTTTCTGTATTAGAGATAGTAGCCTAGTTTGTCTCAATTTTTTTCGCTGATTGCGAACCTGCGTTTAATTTTTCAAAAAATGGCACGATTTCTAAAGTTGCCGTAAGGTACGCCCTGCGCAAAAATTACCTCGAAATCGTTACATCACACCGCCTTAGCGCGAAATTATAAAAATTTTCACCTACTAACTGCTACCATATCAGGGAAATGTCGGCGAAAATCGTATCAAAAAAAGGCTGCAACTTTTTGAACCGGGCCTAGTACTCGGATTTCCCTATTAAAAAATCAAAATGCTTCGCCTGCAAATAACTTTTGCCTGAATTTATTGAGACTCAACGAAGAAAACTAACGAGTTAAGTACAAACAAAAGTTCTAACAATAAGAGCGATGAACATAAAATGATAAACTAGCATGAGTACGACTCGTAGGTTTTGTATCCCTTCTTGCTGGTCTGAGCCCACATCGCGCCGAGCTGCTTCCCGGGCCCGACCTCGATGTAGCGCGGAAAGATGTCGTCCTGAAATGGAAGCAAAAGCTGAGGAAAAAGGCCAAGCCTCACCTGTTTTCTACGATACAAAAGTTGCTGAATCTGTTCCCATAATACGGGCGAGACCAGTTGACGGGCAATCATATGTCGCATTTCTCTCTGGAAAAAAGTAATAAAAAACCAAAAAGTTAAATTACCGATTTCGTCGGGAAAACGGCGCCCGACATGTTGCTGTAGACGTTGCAGACGGGTGGGCGTAACTAAAATATGATACTCAACTATGAAAATAAAACACCCACCTCCACCTTCTTCAACTCATCGAGAACCTCCGGAACTGCATCGGCCATTAGAAGCGTGTGAAAGGCCCCAGAGACGGCCAGTCTTTTCACGACCTAAAAAAGGATCATATGAAAAATTAAGCCGCTCGTGCCGTGAATTTATATTGTGCTTGATTGTCTTCCAGGAATCGCAGACATTCCTCAGAACCGCCGAGAACCTTGACACCGCAAAAGAGATAGTTGGCAACGTCGCAGATGCCGATTTCTTTTCTCTCTCTAAATTTAGCTTTGTTTCAAGGAGGTCCAAGTATCCGTTTGTGACGAAAAACTTTTGAAAATTAGAGATATTGGTTTGTATCAAAATTTTTCTTCTTATTTTTTAAAATAAATTTTAAATTATTAATATTTATTTTTATTAGAAAAAAAATAAAATTTAAAAAAATTTTTTGCTCAAAAAGGCATAAAATTCACACTTTTTATATATACGTTTCTTTGGGGTTTTGGGGAGAAAGAAAAATCGACAAAAAAAAAAAAAAAACAACAACACCCAAAATTAAAAATTTTTTTAATAAAAAAAATTAAAAAATTAATTTTATTTTTTTTATAAAAAAACATTGGGACACAACAAAAAACAAAATTTTTTATAATTTTTTGATTTTAACCCGGGAAAAATATAATAAAAAAAAAAAAAAAACTTTAATTTATTTTTTTTATTTAAAATTTAAAAATATTTTTTTTTATTTTTTAATTTTTTTTTTTTTTTTATTTATAAAAAAAAAAAAAAAAAAAAATAAATTAAAAAAAAAATAATATTTTTTTTAAAAAAAAAATTAAAAAAGGAAGGGGGGAGGGTTTTTGTTTAATTTTTTTTTAATTTTAAAAATTAAAAAAAAATTATTAAAAAAAAAAAAAATAAAAAAAAAAAATAAAAAAAAAAAAAAATTTTAAAAAAAAAAAAAAATAAAATTAAAAAAAAAAATTAAATTTTATAAAAAAAAAAAAAAAAAAAAAAAAAAAAATTTTATTTTAAATATTAAATTTTTTAAAAATAAAAAGTAAAAAAAAAAAAAAAAAAAATTTTTTATAAAAAAAAAAAAATATATATAAATAATAAAAAATATTTGTAAAAAAAAAAAAAATAAAAAAAAAAAACAAGTTTTAAAAAAAAAAAAAAATTATAAAATAGAAACGTACGCGGCGAATTCTCTAGCGGCCTTGATAGCAGCGTCAAGACGGCTAGATGCGTTGACCTGCAAAATGTACTGAAAATTTCAAACGCAAAACAGCCTACCCTGACTGTTATCATGCCAGCGGACGTCAATTGATTGCAATTATGCATGGCTTCGGCACGTCTTTTCAATACTCGCAGCGCTAAAATCAGATTGATCTAGCAAAAAAATTGTATTATACCATCTTCAAACGACAATGCTCCGCCTGCCACCAAAGCAGAATATTCCCCAACACTAAATCCGGCCACATCCGTTGTTTTCGTAGCGACACCTTCGTCTTCCAGCTAGAAAGAAAAGAATTTTTTTGTAAACCGGAGCGACTCACTCTAAGTTTTTCAAGGGCTGCTATCGAGGACACAAATACGGCTGGCTGGCAATAGACGGTTTGACATAGTCTGAAAAGAAAATTAACTAAATCCGAAAAGAATCTACTTTGTCTCTGGCCCTTCCAGGCACAATTTTTCCAGGTCATATCCGAGAATGGCAGAAGCTTCCTCGAACCGTTGTTTCGCTTCCTTGCAATCCAAAACCTGAAAAACCACTTTCAGGAATACAATGATGAAGGACTACCTTCTTTCCCATGCCGACAAATTGCGCGCCTTGGCCCGGAAACAGCAACACGCATTGTTCTTGCCGCGGGATATGGTCGAAATTGATGGTTCCAGTCAACTTTCGTAGCTTTCGCCTAGAAAAAAAGAATTAGCTACAAATTCATAAAATACTTTGGGTCCTTATGTTTGTTGACGTCCGTAGCGTTCAGCTCAAGCCCCATGCGTATATCCTAAAGATGAATTTTGCTTGATCTATTGATTGTACCTTTTCTTTGTACGGCAAATCAGGATTAACCCCCGTGGCAACATGATGAAAATCGGAATAGGTGGCGCCTTCGTCCAAAATTCCCGACGGTCCGGCACGTTTCCGCACAAATCTTGCCAATGAGACCAAAGGACTTCTTGCGGTTCTCATTGTTCTGTTGAAAATACGATAATATCTTGCAGCTGACGCAAAAATGTATTTTCTTTTGATCTGAATACTCTGTGTTTCATTCCGTCTTCCACATCGTAAACTTTATTCCCATACACGTCGTATATTCGGCACAATGCCTACAGCAATAAGACTAGCTAAATCATATAAGAAAATCGTCGAGTGCTAATTAATCTTCATAATAATTCACGCCTTCCTCGACTCCGTGAGCACGTTGAGCACTGGCTTTCCCTAAAAAAAGGAAGTTTAGGGTGTTGAAACGCAATTTACCTGGGAATCGGTACCCGCTTGGACTTTCCGACCGTGGAGCAAGAAGGGCGACGAGAGATCGTGCCGGCAATTTGACCATCCCGCACCAATGCCGACGCCGGAACCGAACCAGATGGGCCACGTCCTTCCCTAAAAATGCAAAAAGAGATTATGCGTATAAGAAACACAACGCACCTTTAAAAATGCCACGGAAACGACGATCCCAATCGCCACACCGCCGGTCAGCTTTAGCAGCGAATCCGCAAAACACCGGTCGACTTTTGCGCCAAGTTCGTCCTCCGACTTGGTGGGGGCCATCTGGAAGTCGCAATAAAATCCGTAAAACCGTAGCCAGTCTTCAACAAGTACCGAAATCGGACGTTCATCAAAGCAATTCAAGTATCATAGGTATAAATAATTTATGCACCAAACGAACAAATTACGATGATTATTATTATCACAAAAATAAAGACTTCAGTAAAACTGTTAATGCGGTGCTAAAACGCGGCCTAGCGGTCAAAGAAGCGGTACCCGGAAGACGAGGATGGCGCCCTAAAATGGGAGTATTCATTGGAAAATGCGTTCTTACGAGATTCTGGAAGGGTTCGAGTAGCCGCCAGAACGAGAACCAGTTTCCGGTGTGGATGCATAACTAAAACAAAAAACATAATCCGTGTAGAAATATTACGACTCACCCATTATAGACCTGCGAAGCCGACGGATAGGGAGGGGCAGGGGGTGCAGCAGGTGATGGCAGAAGCCCAGCTTGCCGAGGTGGCGACGCAGGCCGCGTGTAGTACGCCTGCGACGATGGGGGTGTGTTGTTGTGATATCCGCGTGGCTCCGGAAGAAGGCCCCTTCTGAAGCAAGATTTGTGATATTCACTTAATATTACCGAGTGCTATACTCGCGCGATTCGTAACTTGAGTCGGGAGAGTAGACGGCATCCCTAAAATGGTTTTTAAGTTAATTCAAGAGAACTTGGTTGACCAGCAAATTTTCAATTACCTAGAACTAGGGCGCGGCGGCCTGTTGTCATATCGGCTATGTGTCGGGTTTTCTCCGTGCTCGTGCTTTGTATATCCCCTCGGCGTATGCTCACTTCCAAGCAATGTACGGCGTCCTAAAAACTAAAATCAAAAAAATTAGGAAGATCTCACCAGAAGTGCGCGGATAGCGATCGGCATCCTGATAATGAGGCGAGCGAGAGCTAAAAAAAGCTTTTATTTATCTTTAGAAAAGAAAGCTACCGCTCGGGAGAATCCCTATCCCGACGTGAAGACTCTGGATACGAACGTTGCTCTGGAGATTGACTACTAAAAGAAAATTAAAATAGGCAGGTAGAAATTACCGGGGTATTCCGAAATAGCTCTTCGTGCTCGGCATCTCGGTGCGGAAGAAGGAGGGAACTTCCTCTTGCTTAGGCTGAGGAGCATGCGCTAAAACGAATAGTATACGATGATTCCTGGCGACAGACTTTTTTGCATAAATGTTATTGCTCTTTCGTGCCTTTCGGCTCATCATCTATGCGAAAAAGCAATCAAATGAAGCCGCGTAAAATCACAGCCTTGATGCAGATACTGTTTCAAGGCTCCGAGCTTTCTATTAAAATTTTCTTTCTATTTTCTGGTTTTTGTCTTTACAATTTCGTCGTATTTTTTATATTATCGCCGTCAAAAGATAAAACTTACAAATTAGTGGCCGCTTCCGAGACACTGTTTCCATTGGCTTACTGGGCGACTGATCGCCAATCAGCGAAAAGATCTGGTGCCATGTTTCTGAAAGCAATGAAAACGATGACGAGATTCTGTTACCTTTTTCCTCGTCATCGCTTAGTGTCTCTATGAACTTGTGCGGGTCATCGCCTTTTGCTCGCTTGAATTTTTCCCATTCGGGCAATGTAGATTCGATGGAATCGAGGTGCTTTTGCGTCAATCCCCTTCGTTCATAGCTGATGTCGCGCTGTGGTCTTGCAGCAGGCACTGTATTCCGATGCGAATCATAGGACGTCTGTGCGGGAGGCCACCTTCCATGGCTCTGACTCTGTTCATGGTGCGGATGTGGGGCTGGTCTCAAAGAGCTCTGTTCTCGTAGATCACTGTCGACGACTCCATGGGCTCGGGGTGCGCCGGGCTCGTACCTTGAATCAACAGCAATAAATGTATTTTCTCTTTGAAACTCATTCAGTTATTGCTCTGATTGTGCATTATTTTGACTGTACTGCTATTTTGACGCTTTTTTACGTTTCCCAAGAATTTTTAGATAAAATGTCTTGATATATTCATTTATCCTGTATCCTTCAATCTTTTCCGTCACTCCTTTTATGGCATGTAAATTATAAAAATCGCTGTTGTTTTGTTCCGTTTGCTTAAAATAGCACCCCAAACTTCTTTTTATTCCACTTTTCTATTCGACATTTTTTTACGAATAATTTCTTTGCAATTCCCTTTATATCCTTCAGAGCCATGAAAGTGCTGTTGCATGTTCAATTGAACTAGAAAAAAGTGAATTTGTTCTCTTCGAAACAGAATGTGTTCCACAATTGATGTTCTCAATAGGTATGATTTCTGTGACTCTTATCCGAGCGAGAAATTTGCATGAAGTATAAAGTGATTGTCGTGTATTGTAGTGTTTTACAATTTCAAAACTGGGAAAGCAAAAGAATCTGCAAAAAACAATCACATACCTTCTCGGCGGAACCACTGCGGCCATTTGCTTGACACGTTCTTGGTACTGGGCAGCCCAGGATGGGCCCTCATAATGCTTAGTGCGAGGCTCATGCGCTGGCGGGTAGTCGTTCCGGCGGGCCGCGTGGCCGAAGAAATGCAGATCATCAAAGTTGGGCTTCAGAAACACGACTTCTTGCTCGGCGCTCTTGATGCGCCCATACTCCTCGTGCAGGTCTGTCTGGAAATCAATCGTAAACAAAAAAAATAATACTGACTGAAAGTTTTTGTTAGGAACAGAAATAACCAACCTGACTGTCTGCCTTCTGTTCCTTCGGCGGGCTGGTCCTGTTTTGCTTTTTGGGGAACGTCTTTTTCTCCCCAGACATTGCCTGAAATTAGTATTGTTTGCAGGTCAAAGAAAATGAAATTGCAAGACGAAAATGAGAAGGGAAGACAACAATGCTATTCTGGCTAATTCTATCGAGATTCTAAATCGTATTTTTCGAAAATTAAATAAGATTCTAGTAACAAAAAGTTATGAAAATTAATGAGAATTTGACAGCCTTTCGGTGTCACTTTTCGGCCGCGGGCTGAAATGAGTACGTATGCTACTCTGAACGCGACAGCGGAGGCGCAGAGACGAAAGGAAAAGTGTACGAGGTTTTACCTTTCACCCCCGCGAATTCGGGCTCAATTCACAATAAAAATAGAATAAAGGAATTTTAGCTCGTTTTCCGACCGATTACTGGAAATCTAATGTATTTTACAGCAAGATGGCGTCACGGCCCGAAAGACAAGCAGCCGACCGACCGAAAATCGTCGATAAAGCCGTCCGAGAACTCCGACTAAAGAAGCAGCTCGAATTATTGCAACAGGTAGCCTTTTAACTGAATCTCCGCAATGAAAAATTTAGGACAACTTTCAAGAAGACCCCCATTCCAACGTCGTCATCGGAAAACACCTGCCGAAATTCAACGACGACCTCATCGAATTAGAGGGAACCGAGTCGAAGCGACGACGTACTGCCGGACGAGACGCAAGGGGCAAGAAAGAATGGAAGCCACGAGTGCGGAAAACGTTTGACGAGCTGCGTGAAGAATATAATGTAAGGCTTCTTCAGGATTACTTTATGTTTATTTTTCAGGCCGTCACCGAACCGAAAGATGTTGGATACCGAGCATTTGAAGAAGCCCAGATGCCGCCAGCCCAAAATCCGCCCCGAAAGTTCTGCAATGTTTGTGGGCTCTTCTCCGCCTACAATTGCACAAAGCAAGCTTCACTTTCGCGTTTTTGTTTACGTATTATTTAGATGTGGATCCGGTTTTTGTTCGATAGAATGTCAAGACGTGCACAAGGAGACAAGGTATCGGTAATGACTTGGGGTTCAAAACTCTTTTAGATGTATGAAATGGACTCGATGAAGCGCCTCTGCTATTTCGTTCAGTACAGCTAACAGCAAGCATTACGGGCAACATTTTGGCGATTGTGATCTCAGCAGTGGGTATTTGAATAAACATTGAAAAACCACGCAGTCTAGCACGTGTTATTTTGGCTCACAATTGACCAGATTAATTTATTTGACGAGGGCTACAATGGGCGCGCATTGACGCTTGCACTCTGTGGGATAAGGGGTTAGTCAATTCCCCGGGCCGGCCTCTCTCCCCTTGCTATTCCGAACAAATTCAAAGTCGCCTTCCAATTCCATTTTGAAACCCATTGGCTCCTAAATATTTCAATAAGAATAACATATCTTTTCAGGGTAGAACTCTAAACAAAAAACTGCGAAGATGTCGTACATGCTCCCGCATTTGAACAATGGCTGGCAGGTGGACCAGGCCATTCTAGCTGAGGAAGATCGTGTTGTCGTCATTCGTTTTGGGCACGATTGGGACCCTACGTGTATGGCTATGGATGAGGTAGCATTTTATGGTTTCCTTCAAAGATATCTTTTCAGACATTGTACAAAGTCGCCAACAAGGTCAAGAATTTCGCCTGCGTGTATTTAGTAGATATTAGTGAGGTGGGTGATTTTCTCGCACTTTGATATTTCTTTATCAGGTCCCCGACTTCAACAAAATGTACGAATTGTATGACCCCTGTACTACAATGTTCTTCTTCCGAAACAAGCATATTATGGTCGATCTCGGGACTGGTAACAATAACAAGGTATGCCGAAGGCTTTATATAATTTTTTAATTTTTAGATCAATTGGGCCATCAACGACGGGCAGGAGCTCATCGACATTATCGAGACGATTTACCGGTATGATCCCTGCCAGCGAAAAATACTGAAATTTAGGGGTGCTCGCAAAGGACGCGGTTTGGTCATCTCGCCCAAGGACTACTCTACCAAATACAAATATTGATTTGTTTTTCCGATTTATCTGTATAAAAGTACTTGAAGCCTACCTTGTAAGATCTCATAGCAAGTTTGTTCTTGCGAGCGTACCTTATTATCATTGCTTTCATTTGTCTACGAAAATTCAGATGCAGGCAGAACCTATGACTTCTTCACACACACCATCAATAGACGCCGACAGACATCGATTTCCGTATTGCATCGTGTGGACCCCGATACCGGTATTAACGTTGGTTTCATTTTTGAGCAAACCTAAATTTTTAGATGGCTGTTTCCGTTCATTGGCCACATGGGGATCGCCAACAGTCGAGGGATCATCCGTGATTTTGCAGGTCCCTATTTCGTCAGCGTAAGCTTGCCATCGCCTTTTTTGAAAAAACCATTTTAGGAAGATGCGATGGGATTTGGTTGGCCTACACGATTTTGGGTGCTGCAAGAAAGTGATGTAGTAGGCGGATCGGACAACTACGATCGGGCTATACGGGAAGCGTCAGATGTTTACAAAGGACGAATGGTATTCTTGTGGAGCTTTCAATATCAAAAACATTTCAGCACAATTTATGCTGCGACAACTGTCATTCACATGTGGCTTTGGCGCTGAATACGATGCAGTGAGTTTTTTTTTGCGAGGTTCGGAAATGCTCTTTTAGATATCGTGGCAGCACGAGTTGGAATATGGTCAACCTGTGCTTTTTCATGCTTATCAAAGGCAGATTTGTCAGGTATCCTCAAATTTTGAGTACAAAAATTTTCTTTAGTCTGTCCGGATTTCTGAAGCAATTCCTGCCAACGGCCATTATTTTGTCGATTGTGCTGGCGTTCGTCTTCTGGCTGCAATGATGTCATTGACTGAAACACTCGACTAATGATGTTTTGTGCTATTTAACTTCTTACACTGTGATTATTTGTGCCATGTGATCTCAATAAAAGTACAACGCCACTTTTTGCCGGCTTTGGTTCCTGTTCTGAACAATATGTTGATACCTAGAGTCGAATTGTAACTCAACATATTCTCAATTTTCAGATGGTTCGTATGTCCATCGAGCTGCTCGGGGATGCCCCACAGTATGTAAATACAACCAAAGATCGGGAGTTGAATCTTCGTTCGTACAAAATCCCCGTCATCGAGAATATGGGAGTTACCCGGGTAAAATTATCTCGCTTATGTCAATGCTTTTTTCAGGACCAATTCGACACCCTCGATCTCACGGATAATGACATCAAAAAGCTTGAGAATTTTCCGCTGCTCAAACGAGTTTCTACCATATACGCGCACAACAACCGAATTCAGTAAGCCATCTTTCAATCACCAGCACCGTTTTTTAGTTATATTCAGCCTGATATTGGCAAGTCGTTGCCGAATCTGAAAAGGTTGATGCTGACAAACAACAACATTGGCGAGCTGGGCGATTTGGACCCATTGGCTAAATGCGAGAAGCTCGAATATATTTCGTGAGTCCAGGCCTTGTTTTTTAACTCCATCGTAGGCTTTCTGGCAACCCGATCACGCACAAGGATCACTATAGGCTGTATGTAATTTTCCGAATCCCCACCGTCCGCGTCTTGGACTTCCAGCGGGTAAAGCTGAAGGTGAGACCCTCGTGTTTTTCATCTAAATTTTATTTCTTCCAGGAACGCGAGGAAGCTAAGAAAATGTTCAAGGGCAAGAAGAACCGGAAATTGCTTCAAGAGGTTTGGGGAACTAGGTTTTGTTGACGAAAGTTTGAAGGTCGGTCGGAAAAGCGAGTTCGTCCCTGAAGCCGACAACAAGGAGAATGAAGAGGAAGATGAGGACGTTGGGACGGCCACGGGAGGACAAAAGGCCATCACCGACGAGGATCGAGAAAAGATTCGGGTAAGTTTAATTTTTAGGCTTTTGGGATACGTACAAAAACTGTCGATTATCAACTCCCCTCTGTCAATGTCAATTATCCTCATTTTCAGGAAGCCATTCGCAACGCGAAGTCCTTGCAAGAAGCCGAATACCTCCAGAGTGTCCTTGATTCCGGCCGGATTCCGGAGAAGGGCTGGAATATGGGTCTCGAACTGGCCAAGATGCAGTTTGCCCAACAAGAAAGCGCACAGAATGGCGATGGGTAAGCCCTGGTCTATTTTTCTACTTTCACCCTCCCCATTCAGATTCCAACCTGAAAACGAAGAGGCCATGGATCAGTGATAGCCCGCCGTAATTTATCTCTTTCCACGTTGTTATCATTCTTGTGTTAATTATATTCCGGTTGTTGTAGATGATTTGTGTCCGATCTCTTTTTTCTCGGTCTTGGAATCCAATGCGAATAAAGAATATTTGAACACGATGTTGCTCTTTTATGCAGTTACGTCTCAAATTTACAACGAAAAGGTACAAAGACGAACACTTGAGGGAAATGATCGTTAATTGTATTGCGCTTTGTTCGCAGGACTAGCTGCAGGGTGACGAAGTTTATGTTTTATTTGGAGTCCAACGGCTTGGCTGGAATACGTTTCAACTTTCAGAAACTACGAAAGCCTGCCAAGGTGGGCGGCCAGATAAAGGCGCCCCTCTTGTGCTCTGCAGGTTGACCTCCTTTTTCTCGGCTCTCCCCCTCTCCCGGCATTTCTAGTCTCTATTTTTCAGCAAAGCTATTTGTGCACAAATACCACGCCAATCGAAGCTTCATATAAACGTTCGGGCCCAAGCTCATCGCTAATCGACGATGGCGATTTCCGGTTTATTCAAGCTGGGCTTGCTGTGGGTTTTTCGAAGAGTTTTCTACATTTCACGTTTTAGGGGAGTGCTCCTCTCTACAATTCCCGTTTACTACCGATACCAAGATGCAGAGAACATCCAGTGTCGCCCGATTGAGTATAGTTTTCGGCTTTTTTATTAACCAGACGTTCTAGATTGAAAGTGCCTCCTGCACTCAACGGAAAACTGGCCCCAAATGATAAGCTATCCAAGGTCGAACATGTGCTCGAGGATCGACTGGACGGTCCTGAATCTCTAGCAGCTATCGGGGGTTGGTTTTTTGAAAGGTTTCTGAGACTAAGAACTGTTTTAGAAACGCTTTACACTGGCCTCTATGACGGCAGGGTCGTCAAAATTGTCGATGGGCGGATTGTTTCGGAAATCAAGCTGACGAAAGCAAAAGATTGTGGTATGAAAAAAATATATATATCTGATTTCTGTTGTTCCAGGAAACTACGATAATGAGCCGAAATGCGGACGGCCTCTTGGGATCCGAAGGAAAGGGCTCACCGGAGAAAAGTTCCTGGTGATCGACGCGTATCGAGGAATTGAAGAGGTCGATTTTGCTGATGGTTAGAGATTGCCCGCATTCGTTCAAATATTCTTAGGCTCGCACCGTCTCATTTTCAAGGCCCAAACCCTCGTTGGTGGAAAAGCCAGCCGCTTCCTGAACGATCTTGATGTTGGTTTGATTGGAAATACATGCAAGAATCCTTTTTAGTTCTTGAACGATGACGAGATTGTCGTCACCGATACGTCAACTACCTATGGCCGCCGCGAATTCATGTACCCGATTATTCAGCACCGGGACGACGGAAGGTTTTTGCCGACGCCTAGCTGAAACTCGTTTTTAGGCTTTTCATGTTGAACCTGAAGACCGGGCAGTCGAAAGTCTTGGCTAACAACCTTGTCTTTGCCAATGGAGTCCAGGTTCTCCCGGATAAAACGGCCGTCTTGGTCGCTGAGCTGGGCGCTGCGCGAATTTTGAAGTAAGCTATTTCTCGGCTTCTTATCAGTTTTAGGGTGACGATTGGCGATACTCCGCGCGTCGAGGTGTGGGCTGACAATCTCCCAGGCCTTCCGGATAACATACGACTAGAGGTAGGCTTATCGGAAGGCTTACTTTACGTTTTAGGGTGATCACATCTGGGTTGGTCTCTCGTTGCTTCGCTACGAGGGCGCGGAATCGTTGCTGGACAAGTTCGTGCAATTTATCGTTTGAAAAAGCTGTGTTTTTCAGACTGGCTCCCTATCCTTGGCTTCGACAGCTGATCTTGGACGTAAGAAAAGCAGCGGAATTTTAAAGTTTTTTAGATAGTTCCTTCAAAATTGTGGCTTTCGCTCGTCCCGCTGACCAGGCCACCTCATTCCATGGTTTTGAAGGTATAACCTTAAACCTATAGGTCAATCTTCATTTTAGATGGACCTGAAGGGCAACATCGTCTCAACATTACAAGATCCCAAGGGTACAAAGCTCGGGTCGATCAGCGAGGTATTTCCCATTTATTTGCCCCTAGTGTTTACTAGGTGCTCGAAACGGAGAAGTTCCTCTACTTTGGCAGCTTTGACGCCCCCTACATTGGCCGTCTCGACAAGAAGAACCTGTGAATTTGAGTTTTTGAATTTTAACTGTCATCCTTGTGCTTGCTTTGAAGATCTTAGCATTTGGTGTAATGTCATCCCGGGTCAATGATTTTCATTTTGATTTATTTTGCTGTGATAAAGGGTTCATAGTTTGGCGGCGTGTTGCTTGAGCGGTCCTTCGAAGGGCACACCAATGTAGTCGGCAATCAAATGCATTCGATCCGAGCCGAAGAACGTTTCTGATTCTCCGTTGGGGAGGGTGACAATGGTCCAAGGCGCTCCGAAGGCCTGAAAAAGGTCATGCTCAGTATTTTGGTCTTCGACCCACCCCGCTCTCGACCGCCTTTTCCACATTTGAGCTAATCGTCTTCTTGATTTTCTCGTCCTTCATCAGCTCGAATACGCGCTTTGTGTTTTTGATTCCAACCGTTTTGGCGGTCTAGAGAAAGTTGTATTTTCCGTAATTTTTGAGGAACTTGTTGGAAATCATCGGCTTCGAAGATTGATTCCCCTCGGCTCCAGATGCGACGCCACAATTCGCGGGAAGTTTCTTCTAGCTAAAAACAGGGTTAGGTTTTGCTTTTCTGGGTTTTTGATACCTTTTCCGGCTCAACTTCCGCGACTGCAGCTAGCATTCGTTGAGCCTGGATCGTGGTCTTGCCCATCACAATCTCGGCGAAATTCTAAAAACTGCGTCCCTGGATTTTCAGGTGCACTTACCGAAGGTGTATTCAGATGGGTACCCCAATAGCGGTTGTTCTGCTGCAGATCCTTCAGCATGTAGACCCCTTTCGCGGGCACGGTCATAGGGGGACGATTTCCTAGAGGGATTATTAAAGGTTAACCTTATTTAAAAACACGTTGTCACATATTTTTCATATGTTTCAATAGTTCTAATTAATCATCTTCAAGCTTACCTGCGGCTTTCATCACTCCACCCAAATAGAAAGGTTTCAGCTTCAGCTCAACGGGCCAGACCTAACAAAATTCCATTTTTAAGGTTATTTTTGGCTTCTGCTGTTCGAAAAACCGGTGCTTTCGCATTATGGGGGGGAGGGTTGGAGCACAACTTTTTCCTTTTTGTGAAAAATAAGCGTTTCTATATTGTTTTTTTTTACCTTTGCTAAACGCACAAAATTTACAAACTGTTGTTCAAAAAATTTTTCGCCCAGGGATTCTAAAGTTTTTCTGAAGTTCTTAGCTAGTTTATCCACTTGAATAGCTCCATTTTAGTAAAAACTCAAATGATACACTTACTCTAATGTTACTAGGCATTCCTAGATTTATAAAAACCCCCCCCCCGATAATGTCATAGCACGGAGAGAAGCTAAAGTGACGGTATCTGCCTAAAATTCAGAACCCAAAATCCCACCTTTGCATACCGGCTCAGAGCTTCGAACTGGATCCAGGAATACGGTGAAATGACGTCATAAAACAACTCGATGACCGCCTTCTTGGAACCCATATTTTTTTCTCAGTACCTAATTTGGAAAACTGAGTGCAAGGGAACGATTTGTGGGATAGTTTGGTCTGTTGGAGTGGCTGATTGCGCCCTGATATCAGTACTTCTCAGCTGCGTCGTATTATACTCTGTAGCTTAGCCCCGGGTTGGTGCCGAGGTCAGCGCGGTGAAAAAGGTGCGTGTTTATTTCCAGGGGATCTTTGAGACATCTGAAAAATAACGGGTTTTGAACAGAAAAGCTTGACTTTTAAACCAACAATTTATTAATGAAATACCAGTATATTATAAGGGCAATTGTACTAACTGATGGCGATCAGTTCCGTCAATACATTGGACGATTCGCGTACCGTCCTCGTCGGAAACAATGTCCTCATGAAGCACCTCGGCGAGCACATTGAACCCGAGACCCGTGAATAGCTGAAACAAATGTTGTTTTTCGGGTTTAATAGCTAGGAATTTTCGACTTTACCTTTTGAGATTTGATAGCCGCCGCAATAGCACAAGCAGACTGAAGACCCTGCTCTTTCCAAGCGTCCTGATCGAACGTTACCAGCCTCTTTGCCAGACCTACAATGTTTAACACTTAATACAATTTAAAAAATTAGAGTAGTGTAATATTTTTAGAACTTTCATCGATTTTTAGTAACGATCTAGGATTTCAGACAGTTTTCATAGTTTTACCCTAATTTTTAAAGCCGATTTTACACTTAGAACTTTAGCATTTTTTTTAGTTTCCTGACCTTTTCTCGTATAATCCAGTCGCACCGAGATCAACGAGATCCACAGAACACGCTCAATTTCTTTGGGCAAAATGTCCCACAGCGAGATCTTTGCGAAGATTTTCCGGTTGAACTGGAAGAAGATGTGCTGCGCCTCGGATTCCTTGTCGATTTTGATGTAGGTGGGCTCGTCCCGTGTGCGAATCGTGGCGCTTCTGCAAGGTTGTTGTACATTTACACTTGTTAAGCCAAGAATAGCTTTTAGAACTTTTACCTTTTAAGTTCAACTTACCGAAGTGCGACCATTTCCCCTTCTCGTTGCGCATAAAATAGGCAAAACCAGACTTGATACCCTTTGTAACAACACCTAAAATCGACAATCCAAACGAATTTAACACGAAAATACCTCGAGTCATCTCCTCCGACATTTCTCGAGGCACTTTCATGACGGTCAATGGATCATTTCTAAAATTCGTTTTAGGATAAGGAAAACCGACGGTTCTGGACTGTTAGGGGGGACTAATTTTTATTTTTCCGCCTAGGGCAGCATTCGCAAAAATCGTATCCTATTTTGGTAATTTTTCGAGCCATTTTGACTAACAACTCAAAAATTTTGGACATTTTTTATGCATTTTTAACCGCACAAAATTTTCTAAAATATTCTTTTTAACTCGTTATAGCTCCGTACGGGATTATCGTGGGAAATTTAGCTCCCCCGCTAACAGCCCAGTACCCACACGACTTACTTGAAAAAATCCGAGTACAGGAAATCGATAATTTCCTCCAAGTCCTCAATCTTGGCCTGGATCGGCTCGAAGGCGGCCATAGCGTCGAATTGACAGTGCAAAAGTCGTGTGTCTCTGTGCGGAATTGGACACGCTATAAAAAGCCGGTCGGTCTGTCTCGCAAAGTTGTGCAATATCGGGCAAATATGAGGAGAAGGAGGAGCACAGAGCAGTGCCCGTGATAAGCCCCCCGTTGGTTGTTAGTTTGGTTGCATTTTCGGAGGGTTCAAGCGGGTGGTTAGGAACAGTTTATCGGGACTTGACGAAGTTTTCAGTAGATCGAGTCATCCGGAAATTGTCTGGTTTTCGGAAGCTGTGATTGCTTGGCCAGGGCGTGGGCGAAGCTCGAGAAGGAAGGCCAGGCACGTCATTAGGACAGAAACGGTCTGGGATTGACAATCGGTTTTTGAAGGTATCAGTAACTTACGGTGAGAATCAGGGGCTTTGTAACGATGGCGAAGCCCCAGAGGGAGATCCCGAGGTCGGCTTGCTCGACGTGCATCACAAGTGTTTGTGCCAGCTAGCGTAAAAATAGAGTTAATTCTTCCTTTTAAAATTCCGTTAGAAATTCTATTTGTTTGAATTTTTTCACGTAAATACCAAAAAATACGGAATGCACCTTGTTGACGCTCTTCTCATACGGCACCCAAACGTGATGATTCATGCACAACGCAGCTTTCGAACGATTTAGCTGAAGCAGACATTTATAAATTTGTTTACAATATATAAATTCATATAAAACGAAAATTATAAATTTGATGTTTATAAACCTCGTCGTGCAGCCGAGCCGGATACATGATACCATAGTATTGATAAACGCAGAAAAGGACGGCTGGCATGCTAAAATCGTGTAAAAGTCTTGTTTATTTTTTAGTTGGTTTGCGCAACTCTTGACTGCATTACCTGATGGCCATCTCCACCGCCGTCTTCCGCGAGAAGACCATCAACATCACGAACAGGGACGAGGGAATGATGAGGGTGATCGTGAAAAAGGCGTAGATCTAAAGGATAAAGCGTTACATACCTTTTCTGAAATCTAAACCACCTTATAAATCGAGTCCAACTCCCTGACGGTCCGGTGGATCCTCGCCGACAATCGGATCAAATGCTCCAGCTTGAATTTCATCTCCGCACTACTATCAGCTTTCAGCTGGAAGTTTATGGTATGCCATAATCCAATGATCTAAACTTACCGAATATAACTTCACGTTAAATTTCTTGGCTTCCCAGTAGATGGCGTTGCTTAGACAGATGTAGGTGTGCAAGGCTGGAATATATAATAGGTTTTTAATTAAAAGATTTTCGTAATAAGGTTTGCTCACCGACGTTAAGCACAGTGCAGTAAATAAAGCATGCCACCGGGCGGATGTAGACCAATTTCTCAAAGTAGAAAACCTAAAAATATCAAATTTAATTTGTTCATAAAATACCTTCGCATGTTGGCTGTGGATTATATCGTAGCGATGGCTGGAAGTTAACACATAGGAAAATGACGCCACAGTCAGAAGCACGTAGGCCTGAAAATTAGTTCGAGATTTCCTTAGTTCGTTCCGGTTACCTGGGTGGTCCAGAAACGACGCAGATTTCGGACGATGGACGCGTTCTTCTCCTTCAAAATAAAAATAAATTTAGGAAGATTTTTGACCCAAAAGGTATCGCTGAATCCCTACCAATTCTAAATAAGATTCTTCTGCGTCCCGCGCATGACGGTAATAGTGAAAAAATTTCTCAAATGACAGATGGCGTTGCCAGAATGTCATCAAGAGCTAAAACAGACACCAAAATTAGCATTTTCCAAGGTTTTTAAACGTCTAGACTTACCATAACCGTCACGAGCTGCACGGCCATCACCAGGAAAGTCAGCGTCGAGGGCGCAGCTTTTTGCTCAAAATTTGTGATCATTTGAAGGGTATCAAAGACCGCGCTATAAATCCCTAAAAAAAGCTGAATCGTGGCTACGGTATTTCGAGCTTACCCACGCAAATTATGACAGATAGCCATAAAAAGCGCAGCGACGTCACGCCACAACTGAATCGTGGATCGAAACGTAGCCCGATCCAGTGAAGTACCTAAAATAATTAATCGCAAATGTCGCAAAGAAGACTAGATTAACGATACCTTCGCAAAGAATAGAAACTGCTTCTCCGACGCATCACTCTCATCAAATTCGAGAAAATAACACCCATCTTCCGCATAGTGACTCGGCGCCGCCTTGAGAGCTAGTAGACATTTTTTAGGCCCCGAGGGCTTTGCTTGAGATAGAATCGGGAATTCAACGGCTTCGGCTGGCTCTTCTAGCGGTTTATTGGCCTAAAAACGGATAGTTTTCATTATTTTACCATTACCTGATTATAAGATTCCCTCCTCGGCTTGATCATTAGAGAAAAATGTTGAAATGCTTTCAAACACCAAACAACCGGTAGTTGGGGCGGCGATTCAAGGGTTGGCTCCGATTAAGGGCTTCTATTTCCAGACGGCACCCAATTCTACTGGAGTATCGAATTTCTCTGTTTTCTGCCCCCCCGGCCATTCCACCTGTCATTTTATAAGCCATTCGCGCGGAGAGTGCTAGACGTAGGGTTCAGAAAATGGACTCGCGGGGTCGTTTGTTGAGAAAACCTGAAGGTGGTAATGCTTTCTGGAAATAGGGTCGAGCCTCTATGGGTTTATTTTAATTTTCTTAAACCCAGCCTTGTGAAGACGGATGCCGCAGCCAACTTGATTAAAAATTCTTAGCGCGTAGAAATAGCAAAAAGTACCCAATATCGTCATTTTTTAAGCGAGCTTGTTGTTGCTATTGAACTTATTTTTCGCATAGTTTTCTGAATAGGTTTCACGTTCTACGATACTAAATTTTAGTAAAAACGCTACCAAAATGGTTCGTACATTTTCTAGACATACCTGCACTAAAAAGTCGGTTTCCACCGCCGCCTTTTCCTTCCGTCTTTTCCGCCGACTGGTCGGTTTTGAGAAAAATAACTGAAATGAAAGTAGTTTCAAACGAAATCTAGCGAAGTGATCATCAACCCCTTTGTTGTTTGCCAAATGCTTTTCGTTGAAGTGCACTTTATTCGACCTCAAAAACGTGGCAAATTATCCATTTCTGGAAAGATATGTCGGAAAGAAATACATTGCGGCGACGAGACAAATTATACAATTGGATGATACACTTGAATCGATGTGAAATAAAAGTATCGAAGACGTCATTGGAGTCCTAGGCCATGCTTGGTGGCCCGCCGGGGACAGACGTTCCTCGGATAGCCGGTGGCGAGCTAGGCGGCGGGAAATCGGACGGAAGTGCTAAAACGAGCATAAAATGCAGAATTCACAAAAGAAAGCTCGTGAAAAAAGTGGAACTCACGGGTGGGTAGGGCGCCATTGGCCTGAAGATTGAGCTGAGCCTCGCGCTTGGCTAGTTCTTCATACTCTCGACGGAGCCCAGCATATAAGCTCTGTCGTTCCAGGATCAGTTGCTGACGTTGGTGTTCAATCTGGAAATAAGGTTAGCCTGAATACATCTACAAAGTGTGGGGGTTTTTTCCTTAGGATCCAGTTTTTAAAATCGAGCAAGAGTTATATCTTTTTACTATTCCTAACAATAAAAACTTCAAATTGGCATTCAGAACAGAAAAAAAAAACAGATTTTTCGAAGTTTGAAATTTTTAAATGTTTTAGCCTTTCTCAATACTGTATCTAGACATCTGTTAGATAAAAAAACAAATAATCAATTGGAATACCCGAAATTCTAAGAAAAATTACACCCACTCGCGCCCCCGATATTGTCAAAGCACCGAATTACCATTTCAATCTCCTTGTCCAAGCACTTCTCCAGCTTTTCCACGACATCAAGTTTGCACTCCATTTTCTTGCACTGGGCCTCGTTCATGGCGATGCTGATTTGGACCATCAGACGTTCCGCGACTTCGGCTTCTTGCTAAAAAATATTAGATGCCAAAATTTCAACCAGAAACCTGTGCTTTTGCCGCGAGTGCGCCCAGAGCTGCAGAAGCGGCTTCTTTGATGTGCGCAGCAATTTCTTCCTTCGTCGATTTCTCGCCGCTGCCCGTGTCCGTATCCATCGCTTCCGAAGCTGCAGCCTCCGCTAGAACATAGGGTATTAAAAAAAGAAGTTACTTACCAGCGCCTGCAATACCACTGCTCGCCAACCCGACGCTACCGTCAATTTTGCCAGTCTTTTCATAATACGCAGTGACATTTTTGATGTGCGCTTCGAGTAACAGTGGGGGAAACTGGAAGTGTTAAAAGAACAAGAACAGAGGGCACCTGGCCACCGACTTTACGTAGCTCTTCCAGCTCGTTCTCCTTAGCAGCGATTGCGAGGCCCGCATCAGAGAGCGACGCCAATTTGGCGACGGTGGCCATGATGGGATCGTCGGATTTATTTTCTCCGTCACTGTCAGCCAGATACGGATCCATGATGGGCAGGCGTAGAAATTGGAGGATGCATTCGTGTTGTGTACGAGTGGCCACATGCTCAGCTACCTATAAAAAGTAAAATAAGGCAAATAGTGCTTTTTTCAGGCCGTGACGATCTTTTAAAAAAATCCTCTTTCCGAAAAACACTTTTTGCTACTTTTTATGGCCTTTTGGATTGGTAGTCAGAAGCTACTTCTGCGCAATCCTGCTTTTCGAAAAACGAGGGTTCGATCGTGGTTCATCGTAAATCTTTTTTTACCTTGTTCCAATCATCCTTGAAAAGTTCCATGGCCTCCAGCAGCATCACAGTTTCTTGATCTGTCCAGTTCCGGGCTTTTGGGACTTCTTTGGTAACAGCCTCCTCGGCTAGCTGCTTCGCGAACTTGTCGGATTTCCTGGCCGGTCGGCCCCGTTTCTTTTTCGGAGGCTCCACGCTTTTCGGCTGTTCTTCCGGTTGCTTGACTTCGATTTTGGGAGCTGGCGCGATGCTCTCCATGGGCTGTAGGCCAAGCGGCGTGTCGGCGAGTACCGTGAGGTGAGAAGTTCGGGGAGGGCCCTTGACGACTGGACGACTTGCACAATCTACCTGCAACAATAACGTTACAAACAGGTATAAAAATGGTCCCAAAATGATCCCAGATCCTTTTTTTTACTATTTCTACATTTTTAAGGCTTTTTATTAAGCCAAAATGGCCAAAAACACCATCAAGTGATAAAAAGATTTTTCTAGATCGCCCCCGGTAGTATTCCAGTACCACAATAAGACCAAAAACAATTTTCCCCACCTGATAATTTATAAGGCCCCATTGCTCCAGGAAATGATGCACTCTCATGATTGCCGCCACATCGCCAACCAGATTCCGGCGGCATGCCGTGGCGGTGAGATATTCGGAAGGCCTCAGGCGGTATGTATCGATCATGAAGTTTCGATATCCGAGATAACTAAAAATATCATGAAGTTCTGATAATCCCCGTTGGAACCTTCGAAAATCAGTTAAAAACCACTAACCATTCAGGGCTCTTGCTCTTGTTGACGCCGCTGAAAAATTCGGGCAGCGCCAGCTTCTCGATTTGGTGCACCGAGTCGTAGTCGAACCTGGAAAAGATAATAAACGGATTTCAGAAAAAAAAATACCATGATGCGTAGCTGGGAACGATGATGGCATGATTGGCCACGTTGCCGTTGTTGGCCAACTAAAAAGCAGGCATAGATTTTAGTAACGACTTATTTACCCGTCACTGAAAATATTTAGATGCTCTTTCTTTCAATAAGTTAAGTTTTCGGAAAAGGAAAAGGAGCGCAAAAATCGTGTATTTATACTTTACGTTCCCAAACGAAAAATAACCTTTTCCAGACTTTTGCGGTCCATCTCGAAGAGCTGGATTCGGATTTACTCGTCTCCGTGATGACCAGTGATCGGGCAGCGAGGCAGAGCGTCTTTATAACTGAAAAACACCTATAGGAACTAAAATGTAGCAAACGAAACATGAACAAAAGCCAAGTGATAATTTTGTGCGAAGTTGGGATATTACCAGCATATAAAACAGGTCAAGAATGCGCGAGCGTTACGTCACTTTTTGCATTAGTTGCACTTTAGCAAAAAGGCTCACCAAAACTTACTAAATATAACTTTTTTGTTTTGTTTTCTTGCCTACAAACATTTTCGCAATGTTTTCGAGAGTCTCGCCTTTTTTACAACCTTTTCCGGTGGGCCCAGGTGGATTTGGCGTGTCCCCTCTATAAATGGGCAGAAAACACAAAGGGGGTAATTCGAGCCCGCGCCCACCTCTTCGATTCGGATTGAATTTCTGGTACCCACATATAGGAGGGCTTTAAGCTGTCAATAGCAAAGGGTTTCTTTTCTCATTCTATTTTTTCTTGTTGAAATGTCATCGCAAAAGGAGAAGGGGCGACGCGCAAGTTATAGTCAGGTTAGTTCTACCGGGAAAGTTCTAAAAACCATCATTTTAGGCAAATCAACACGAAGCGCCGATCGAAAAGCCTCCGCCAGAAGTTGAGCCCTTTACAAAGGGCGAGGCTTCCGGCGCGAAAAAGTGCATTCTAGCGCTGAAGCGGCAACCCAGTCAAATAGCTGATGATGGCTGTAATTTGCTGCAATTCGACGAGACAGACCCGTCGGAAAAACAGTTCTTCTTTTTGGCTAGGGTTTGCACTAGAAGTTTACAAAAAAAAAGAATTTTTCAAAGATTCTCCATTTTCTGGGGCTTCGTTTCGACCCAAAATACGGCTGTAAAATGACAATGTTGCGTTTGTTGTGGCTATTTTTCAGCATTGCTATTGGTGATTTTTTGAGGTGTTGTTTATGAAAACATCGATTTTCGGTTTCTATGCGGCCAGCTACGATTTTTACTGGATGGTGGTTGATTTTGAGCCGAGGGCCGCACCGGGCACCCTGGTATTTTATTCCATGGCGATACAAGTGGCTGGGGTTATGGTAGGCACTATTTATCGTGCAAATTTAACTTTATATCCCAAGTTATTAATGACGTGCTGGCAGCGGCAGCTCGCCTTCGAAAAGTTTTTCCATTACTATCGCCACGCAAGGGATATTGAATCGGAAGATCTGTGGATTGTAAGCTTTTCGGCACTCAATTATTAGCGGGGGTGGAAAACTCATTCAGCCTATGCCTTCCTGGAACTTTTTAAGTATTTTATGGTTTTAGGATCTTAAATGTAGGCAATTTCATAAATTTTTGACCAAAATCCGAAGTCTTTGAAAAGTTAGGTGTTATTTTATAAACTCTCACTAGTTAAACTTTGGTAAAAAAGCTATAAATGATCTGCACGACGATAACGGGTTAAAAATAGCTTATAATTAGATTAAATGTTAAATTATCACCCCCCCGCTAACGATCCATTACTATTTTTTTCACAAAATTCTCGACAAAAAGATTTTCTGTTTATATTAGGAAAGAGCCGCTTCGATCAAGCGGAATTCCCGCCGCTTTTGGATAGTTCAGGTAAGCGGATCCAGTAGCATTAAGTTATACCTTTTTAGTCATACGTCCTTGGTAGCGCCGTGATGTTCGCCGGAATGACCTTTATGGGGCGCACCAAGGATCTTGTCCATAAGCGCTTTTCGGCGGTTGGCGAAACGCTGGCTTTTAATATTAATTCAAAGGTATTTAGGTATTTTACTATCCCCAATTGGTATATGCACGTCCAATGATGATGATATTTTACTGCACAATATTAAACGTTGCCCTCCATACGTATATTTGCCTGACAAACGCCATCTACTGGGAGGCTAGGAAATTTAATCGGAAGTTGATTTCGGTAAGTGAATAAATAATTGTATATTTTTAATAAGGGCATAAAACGATGCTTTGTAAGTTTATTTTCAGTTGAGGGCTTTCGATCGCATGGACATGCGTGTAAAGTTAGAGACGCTGATCCGGCATCACTCGACAATTCATCGGGCGGTTCGCGAGTTGGACTCTATTTACCAGGTGATAATTCTGGAGATTTGAATATAATAAAAAACGTTAAAAATAGGCAATAACTTGCCACGTTTTAGATCTACGCCTTCTTCGTGATCGCCATCACGATCCCGGCGACGCTATTCGTCATGCTGATGATCTTCTCACGACAAAATGCGTTGGAGATAATTCTCAGGTTAGTGAGAATAAATCAACGCTAGCATTTCGTGTAACTCGGTTCCATTAAACCCATATTTACAGTCTACCAGCCCTGGCCTTTTGTCTGTACGAATACTACGGAATCATGTACCCAGCCCGGCTGCATGAAGAGGTGCAGGCCTAGAACACGTAACTGTCCACTTTATAGCTGAATCGCTCGAAAGCAACGTTGTGTATGAATCATCACGTCTGGGTACCTTACGAGAAGGGTGTCAACAAGGTAACTCTCGTAGCTAAAGCGTCTTAGCTTCCATTTTGCACCCCTTTCTAGTTAGCCCAAACGTTGGTGATGCACGTCGAACAGGCGAATCTCGGGATATCTCTCTGGGGCTTCGCCATCGTCACAAAACCCCTGATACTTACTGTAGGTTTTGCAGTTTTCTTTGGAAATTTGATGGCTTTCAGACCGTTTCCGTACTAATGACATGCTTGGCGTTTTTGATGGAGCTTCGCCCGAGACCCGGGCAATCCATTATGGGTCGAAATAATTTTACAATGAGCGGTACTAACTATTGATTGGTGTAAATACTTGAATAAAGTTGTGAAACGTATTAACGTAATGTAAATTAAAACAAAAAAAAACGTCAGAAAATGGAAACATAGTTAAAATGAAATGGATCAGAAAGGTATGGGATCTATATTTTCGTACTTTTCAATATAAAATTTGTTTTTGTAAAAAAAACACAGTTTACTACGTTATGTTTCATTCATGGTTTATTCAGTAGCAAATCTTCACCCGGAGACCCTGGCGCTGGCCGCAACTCCAGGAAAAAGGCGAGACACGTCATGATGACGGTCACCGTCTGGAAGGAATACACCGTCATACTGCCCGATCTAGGCGATCTAGGCGCGGGAAGGGACCTAGAGGAACCTAGTGAAGGCGGGCGGGGTAAGGGGGCGTGGCCAGCCGGGAGAGGGGCCCTCACCTTCAAACTTAATTTTAATAATTTAAATTAAAACTTTTTCATAATTTTTTTATCATTTTTGGGGTTTCTGACCACGCTCTATCCGAATCCGAAGAGACCTAAGCTTAGCTCCTTTCCCCTGCGAGTTGAATTCGGCTTCAGACAGACGGACACCACTACTTTTGCAGTATTAGGTTATAAAAGTCGTAATTCGTATTAAATATTGTAGTAATGCACTAATACTAGCATAAAAATTAATGCCAATGATACTTTAATATACCTCCGGAAGCTCCCTGAGCTCTTTCGGCTCCCGGCTCCCCGGGCTCCCTGGGCTCGAGCCTTACAAACTGCCGACAAAATACTTTTCACGATAGGGACCGATTATTAAACTAGTATTTGTTTATTTTTTCATGAATTCACCGGTGTTTTGCCACAGAGTTCTTTTTACACAAGGCAGCCTCGAGTGATCACTGCCTGCCAAAAAATCAACGTGTTGGGACGGGTTTTTGGCCTACCTTGGCTGGGATCGGGCGCGTTTCTGGAAACAAGCTCAAAATAACTTTTTCTTATTAACTTGCTTTTCTCAATTTCTTTTCTGGTCGCGAATTGGGTTGGAAAAACAGATTGGAAGCCGCTTTCTCTCCATCATTCGTACCTCTCACTTCTTGGGCGCGAAAACGCCGCGTTTGAAACGAACAGCTGATTAATACATTAGGTTCTAACCTTCTTTCGCCATTTCGGATGTAAAGTGTTTTCGAAATGGCTTATTTCTCTTCCTTTCAGAGATGCCCACGCAGCTAGACGAGGAGGATCTGTTCGCCGACGAGAACGACGACTTCGGCTTAGGAAATACGACTAAAAGCAAAGGTAGACATCTTTCCCGTTGATTTAAAGACTTTTAGAGAAACAACCGGGAAAACGGGCGGAAGTTGTTGTGAAGGATGAAGAAGACGAGGACCTGATGCAACATATTGCCTCCTTCAGCCAGCGCGTCAAACAAGGCGGCGGCGGGAACCGGGTCGATGATTTTGGCACGGTAAAGATTTTTGTTTTCACACCGAGCTCGGCGTCAGAATATCGTTTTCTATTTGTTTTTAGACTCTGACACCCCGGAACCCCTTCGAAGAGTTTCTTACTACTCAATGCGGGTGCGAGTTGCGCAAGAGCGACGGCGAGGAGTACGTTTGGCTGGGTAAGCTGATAAATTTATAGTGTTGAGAAATTTCTTGTTTAGCTGGCGACATGACGCACTCGGGCCTACTGCTCAAGCTGAACGAGCTGCTGTCCGACGAACAGGTAATGATAAAAAGGCGGTTTGAAAAATTGATTGCTTCAGAAATGCGGCAGACTTTTGCCCAAGATCCAGAAGGCGTTCAACGAACGGAAGACACTCACCATACTGCTGGCTCCGATTCGAACGTTGGTTTTTAGATAGATAGTAAAATCGGAACATTTTAGACAATTCGGGCCGCAAGATACCATCATTCGAGCGCTGCTGCTCACGCCCGGCACACAGACGGCCGTATTTGGCTACTTGCTTGAAGCCGTGGAAAAGCATTCGGAGGGGTAAATTCCTGATTATCAATAATTAAATAATCGTTTTCTAGGGCGCAGGATGATGCCGAACAATTGGGACTGCTCTGTGTTGCACAGATTCGCTACCTAGACTACGTCGTCGATTCTGGTGCGCTGGCGATGGTGAGGGAATCGGGATAATCGGGATATTATCGGGATAACTTGAAGCGTTTGAGCTTTCGTGGAAGTGTGAAAATGCTATTACTTTCAGGGCGTCATCAATCGCGATTTCTCAAAGTGGATCCCGACTGTCCGGGATGAATTGGTCCGCGCGTTGCCTGAGGTTTTAAATATTATTTTTTCTTGTGTATTAGTTTTATTAGGTGATCCCTGACAGCCTAAATCAACAAGAAGTGGCGCTTCGTCTTCGGAATCTGGTGCTCGAACGGTTCCTTTGTTGAAAATACTTATGAGTTTTTTAGGGACCCAAATCTCCAAAAAAGGGGTTTCCGCCAGGCCGCGTTGAGCAGTTTGTCGCTGCTCTGGACCAGTCCCTCGATTGCTGAAGAGGTTTCTATTTGTTCATTTAGTTATTTTCTTCTTTAGATTGCCCTCTCGTTGATCAACAATATTAACTCCTACGATGCTGCATCGATAGCCCAGGTAACGTTTCGTTTTTTATTCAAACGGGTTTTAGGTGATTGAAATCGCACTGAACTCGGCTGAAACGCTCGGGCCGGGCGGCCTGTTGAAGATCCTCGGCGCTGTCAGGGACAGTTTGCGCGTCGAGTCGATGAAGATCGACAAAGAGGATTCGAGGTATATCGCTGCTGAAAATTCTGTTTTTTTCGAGAGATAAATTTCGAAAAATATAGAAAAAGCGGCGAAAAAATAGAATGAAATTTTCGCTTGTTTCGTTTTTCAATTCGTTTTCTTTTTCTTTCAGCGGCAAGGCCCTCGACGAGCTGGTGTGCGAGATCTTCATGAAGTTCCCCGCTACATGCGATTGGCTGGCGCGAGTGGCTGGAAGCAAGTGCACGCTTTTTACAAGGTATATTCGGCGTGACATAACGATGAGATTGTCATTTGTTTAGAAAAACGGTCCTGCCACGTCAGAGGACGCTAACAGCGACGACGGGCCACAAGACGAGGGTGAAGATGTGGAAATTGAGGAGCAATCGGAGAATCTGGGCGAACAAAAGGTGGGGTGCTTTCAGAGGCATCTTTTGTAATCGGGAGGCTATTAAAAGCGTTTGAAAGTGAAAACATCCATTTTTATAGGCGTTCACGCTGTTCGAGCTTCTCCTCGCCATCTCGCTGCTCTCCCAGGAAAATTGCCCGCCCGAGATCGAGCAAGCGCTGAAAAATCCGGTATTGTTGTTTATGGTTTTTAAAATAATCTTTTGGTTTTCAGGCCGGCGACCTCGCCACCCTTGATCAATTCAAGGAGACGGTCAGCCGCGCGTTTAAATTTAAAAAGGTTTGCTTAGTTTTTGTTCGCTATTTTTGTTTTTTTTTAGTTCGTCATCCGGAATCGCGAGGGAATTCTTCGGCTGGCCAACCGGCTGCTCTGGTCAAACGACGAGCCGATCCGCGAAATTGGAGGGCTCATCTATGCCGGGACGATTCAAGCCGTTGGCGTTAATAACTCGAAGGTAAATTTTCTGAATTTTTCGATTGACCGCACAACCGCAAAATCTAACCCCCATCACACGCCTTTTCAGGACGTCCTCTCCAAGCTACTTGACCACCTCACAAGAAACGATGGCGAAGCGGCAGCGTGCTTGGCGGCCCTCGAATCACTCGTCGAAAACGCGCTTCCGGCCCTCAAGCCGAATTTGGACACGCTGAAGGTGAATTTAAATACCTTTCCGGGGCAACAGTTTGTTTAGGAGAGCCTCGACTCCCTTTCCCAACTCTCCGGGGCGAACTGCTTGCGCTTGTTCCGGCTGCTCGTCTCCATCTACACGAATGACGTCGACTGCGAGAAGCTGAGGGTAATTGTTTGCATTTTGTTTTTTGTCGGATCGGAAAGTCACAGGGTCGGAGGCAGACTAACAGAGGACTCTGCGGAATGGTTTTAGTTCTATTTTTTTCAGACGGAAGTGTGCGAGTCGATCGAGCGCTTCTCGCGTGCCCCGAACCCGCGCTCCAAGCTCTGGGCCATCCTCGGGCTCATCACCCAATTCGAGGCGGCCTTCAACTCAAAGTATTGATTTTTGGCACTTGTTTTAATCCAATTTTAGAGCTTCTACCCGTGAGGCATCGATCTCGTCGGTGCTCACCTCGATCGACCAAATCTCTACCGGAAATCCGCTGCTCCGAGCCGTTTCATACCGTTTCCTGGCCGACATCTTTCGGCGTAATGGGCGTGCGGCAAAGTCGGGCTCCTTGGTGGGATACTAGGTTTAGTAGTAAATTAAAAAGTTCAAATGATACATTCAAAATTTGTTTGCGGGTTTTGTTTCCGGTAGTTCCCGTTCTCTTACAAACCACAGAAAACAGCACTATTCCAGGGTTTCAAACCTCCCATTAGTTTTTTAGCAATCCTGGGCCCGGAAGCTGTGCGACTCGTTCAAGACCGACTTCTTCAAAGAGCGCCCGGTCGACTACGTGGCGGCGATGCGGTTGGAAGATGACACCTACCGTATCCCCTCCACCAGATGGCTGTCCGTAGAGTCGGAGCGTTGGCCAGAATTTGTGCCGTTGCTTGATCTCGTTGAACAGGTTGGCCATCTCCCGCTGTCTGTATAGATTTTGTCAATTTTATTTCCTGTCCCTCTTTTATAATTATTTTGTCTTATAATAATTTTTCAGTTGTCATTGCTCGACGCTCGGTGGAGCCACGGCAACGCGAAGGAGGCCGAGAAGGCCCATTGGAGCGAGATCAACTTTGTTTTTGGTGAGCGGTTTTCATGTTTTCAACAAAGAGGGAATTTTTTCAGAAGCCAACCTTGCTGCCGACCGTATCGACGAGCAGGCCATGGGATCGGAGGAGTCGGCGCTGATCTCGATGCGCGAGTGCTTCTTCATGGTGCACGCCTTGTATTCGGTGAGCAATATCGCGTTTAATATGTCTTTCACCGGGCGGAATTTATCGAAATTACGTTTTTAGATCCTGAACACGTTCGCGCCGAGCGCGGAGGCAACCGCCGAGAATTTGGCGAATATCCAGAAGAAGTACGCGCTGCTGGACGATTGTTTGAAGCGGCTGATGACATATGTGCTTGGTAGGTACCTCTTCATAGGACCACACTACTCAATTTCCTTTTTTAGACGCCAATGAGTGGAAAGTGCCTGACATGGACCTTGACCGCAACGATCGATATGTGAGCGTGGATTTCAATTTAAAGAATTTATTCAATTTAGTTGGCTACAAAGAAACCGTCGAAACGCCGTGCCCCAGCCACCGGCCAAAGGAACGGAAGGAATAAGAAGAAAAAGAGCACCGATGCGGAGGATGTGGAAGATCCGGTGGGTTTTTGGAAATCTGGTCGTGTTCTTACATCTTCTTCTTTCGCATTGCCTCGAAGAATGGGCGGTGGATTAGGGTCCGTTTTTCGATCTGAAAGTTGTGAGGAATTGGATGGGTGTCATTTCACAAAATGATTTTGCTAACCTTCAAAATGTGCAAAAAACTACTACCTCACGGTTCGCCGACGCACTGCTGGCGATGATCTCCTCCTTCAGCCCGGTGTTCTTTTCTCGTTCGGCTTCGATTGTTGCCTAAATATTCTGTATAGACGCTTCTTTGACGATTTATCTGAAAATTCTGCAAAATCCCTATCACTGCTAGACTCCCCTCTACCGGGTTTTTTGGTTTCTCAAATAGTCTCTGCTACCCTTACCTCCGCTGAGAGTTCCTCAAAGAATCTCTGCTAGCATGCGTTGCCATTTTTGCCCATTTTCCTACCTGCAACATCTCGGCCTGGATCGGGTCAAAGTCGCGCACCAACTTTTTGAACGCTAGGAATTGCACGTATGTCGTCGGTGGCATACGGTCATGGGATTGTAACTGGGCCTTCCAGTCGTCCTGAAAATTTTAGTGTTTTCCTCAAATCTGACTGTGTAATCAAGCCAAATGTGTGAAAAACGTCATTTTCGACTTACCAATTTGTCGTCAAACGTGTAGCGTACATTGTAGTAGTTTGCCGAAAGTGCCAATGAACAGAATTCGGCAAGTAAGAGTAGGATGTAGAACTTCATCTTTTCTTTTGGGGTAGGCAGATTGACTGTCGTCTGATGATGACTGGCTGATTGATGGATAGCGGGGAGGCGGGGCTATCATTCGCTGTCTAGGGTAATCTTGATGGATTTAGGGCCGCTACATTGTAGACATTGGTCTGGCCATAAATCTAAGCATTTCTCCCGGTTTTGACCTTTTATTGCTCAAGATGTTGGCCCTAAAAACGCCCTAAAATCAGTTGAGCTCTAGGGTTCTGCCCATTTCCGATTTTAGCGTTAAAAATAGTTAATTTTTCAAAGTTGTAAAGCAAGGCTATTTAAAAAATAGCGCAAATCGACAACAAACTGTTTTTGGGCGCGCACGAAGCGGGCGAACGCCGTTTGAGTAAATAAGCAGACTCGTGCAAAGTGTGAATGAACTAAAATTTACGGACAAGCAATCGGACAAAACAAAAAAAATTGAAGAAGCTGTAAAACGTTCCAATTTCAGTTCCATTTGGCGTTTGACGACGAGGATGAACAACAGCAGCGGCCGGGCTCTTCCGACGCGGCACCACCAGCCGTGGAAGAGCCCGAGCTTGACATCGAGGACCAGAAAGAGGTAATTTTCAATAAGTTGTTGACGCTTTTTAGGTGACCCCGGTCAGCCACATCCACCAGCTTTTCCCGGTTCTACGTCTCAGCGTCATCTGTAAATTGATTGCGGTGGGTTGAATTTTGCGTGGGTTTCCGCGAGGATCGCTGCTCACCTGCCTCTGAATTCCTTGTCATTCCTCTCGCGCTGCCCCTAATTTTTTTAGCGTGCCGGTTGCCTCGGAATTTGCCTGGTGGTTGCCAGACATCTCGGCAAGTTGTTTCTCATCCACAGCTTTCAGGCCGATTCTCTGTCACTGACGCACCAGAGCCAACTTCTGACGCTTTTCGCCGACATCGTGCGCACCCATCTGCCGAAACGCGAGAAGCGGTTTACGGCTTTTTTGGCGGTAGCAAATTAATAATTCCCGATTTAACTGATTTTAGAAAGACAACCGTTCATTTGCGCTTCATGGATCGATGGCCGAACAGTGGAGCCTCTCGCTGAGGACGGTCCCCCGGATTTGCCAGACGATCGCCCAGATGAGAGTCTACTTCAAGGCGGTCAGCAGAAATTTTTGATCCTTAGGTCCAGACTAGGTAGAGCCAAAAACGCATAAACTCCCACTCCGAATTGGCAAAAATATAGCCTCGACGATGCTGATCAAAACTCTTTTTTTTTAAATATTTACAAGCTTTTAAAACTCGAAATATGCGAGCGCAAACTAGTAAAATATTCTGATTTTGCAGTTTTTCCTCGTTTCTGCCCCCCTTTGAACATCCGGCTCCTAAAGGCCTGCGGCAGATTTTTAAATACAAACGTTGAACAGCATCGCCGAATCTATCTTGTTCCCAATTTTGAGCATTAGTTGAGGCGTTTGAGCAACCTATTTGGCCTCTGCTATTAGAAAAAAAGGTCAACCCCATAAGTTTCAGGACCAGGGCGACTCGAACGTGACGGACCAAAACCATAGGGAGCACGCGAAGCGCATCGGGGTGCTGCTGGCCGCGCTGCAGGGATTGTCCGCTATCCTCGACTAGTAGGTGTTAGTCTTTTTAAAACCCAATCTATATAAATTTTCGATTTCTGGGAATCATTTGCTTCATGTAGCTAGAACCATATTCTTTTTTTACAGCAAAGAAGCCGCTCAGGGTGAGAAGCGCGAAAAGCTGCTGAACAAGATCGAGAAGGGTGCCGCGGATTACCTCCAAATTGCGGCTACACCATCGCAGGACACCGGCGTCGTCGCCTGCCAGATGGTCGCCCAGCTTTGCGAGGTAAATCGCCGTCCTAGAAAGTATTTGCGATTATTAGGTTTGCCCATCGATCGACATCGCCACGATTCTCAGCGAGATGGCCGTTGGGTTGTTGCCAGAGTGCACCGAGGCGTTGCGTCGGGATTTCGGTATGGTGTTATCCTTTTCCCCCGTGATTTAGCCTTCTTGATAGCTACCAATGAACACATTGAGAACTCGAAAAATATCTTGTTTTTAATCTTAAAATTCCGGTTGCTTTTGCGATTTCCCAAAGAACCTCCGCTAGATTGCCTAGCTATGGGTACTATAGATCCTGCGATACTCACATTATATGGATCATAATGTCGAATTATATAGCACCATCATCATTTGTTCAAGGCAGTGTTCGGTAACCAGATGTCGCGGGCTGGGGTCCGGAGGTCCTAAAGGGGAAAAGGGTCCGGAGGTCCTAAAAAAGGGAAAATCGGCGGAAATGAGGGCGAAAATAAGGGGGTCAGACAGGCGCGACTAGAGTGAAGTCTGGGGAAAAGCAAGTAAAAGGCTAAAAGTGAGAAAGAAAAAGCGCTAGAAAAGAGAGAAGTGACTGGTAGATGGAAGGGGAGAACGTATAGGGCCATTTGAAAGGAAGGGAAAGGGAGAAAGGGCCATGTGATGTGCAGCGATCGGCGACATCACCTAAACGGGACCGGATTTAGGCATGAAGCGGAGCATGGGACGATTTCATATTTGGTGAGCAGAAAGAGAAAGGGTTTTGCTATGAAATGAGGGGTCGATCATCTGCTGCTCTTGGGAGGGCAGAGAAATTGGGAAAAGGTGCGGAAAACAGGCCAAATTTGGGGCGAAAAAGGGCCCAAAACATAACCTCGGCGCGGTTTTTTCGTTTTTTGACCTGAAGGAAAGGTGATAGAGGGATGCAATGTATGAAGAGTTGTAGACTAGACTGCGGGCTACAGACTGGTGGAAAAATTTTGAGAAACGGTGGAATGACGGCTGGATATGCGGTGTGGAAAAACGTAGGCAAAGGTTGCGTCGCGGGTGATTTTCAGACGTCGTCACCTTGGAGGTCCTGGAACCACTTTAAATTTGGGTTTAATTTTAACGTCCAGGATATCATTCGACGCAGAATTTTCTGCTCTACATTTCGGTAATAGATTTTAAAACTTAATAGTGGCAGTAAAAAAAGTTAGAGGGGAAAAACTGCAAAATTGACTATTTCTGAACACGGAGGTCCTAGGATCTCGAAAACGAGTCCGATGACCCACCTCCTTTTTTACGGATTATAATGTAGAAGGGTTTGGCACACATTTTTGTAATAGATTGCTTTTGAAGCGGGCGAAGGGATTTAGAAGAAAAAGGCGAAAAACTGGGAAAAAGTGGTTTTTTTTTTGGAAAATTGCTCGTCGCTCGAAATCGAGTCGGATGACCCACCTCCATTTTTTCGGATTCTGATACAGACGTGTTAGGCGCACATTTCTCTAATACAATGTTTTTTAAACCGGCAACGGGGATTTAGGAGTAAAACGCGAAAAACTGCACAAAAACCGTCTTTCTCGCTCCCTATCTGTCTCTCTCTGTCTCATGTCTCTCTCTCCGCCTCTCTCGCTCACTCTTTATCTCTCTCTCTCTCTCGCTTTCTCTTCCTCTGGCTTGTTGATTGATCATGCTGACACTGCTTGCTTTACTGACTGCTTTGTTTGGTCATATAGTAGGTTTAGTACATATTTATTCAAATAAATGCGAATCTTCATATAGTTGGTGTTGGTATTGGTTTATCCAAGCTGGAGGGTTTGTCAGCTTCACGTGGTAGATTCCTTCTTGCCGATACCGCTGGCATCATCCTGAAAATAAATTTTTTAGACCCTATATATCAGGTAAAAAATTTTTCGGCCCTCCGGGCCGGACGGAGGTCCATTTCTTGGTACAGGGACCCCGGAGGTCCTAGTGACGTCTCAACGACCACTTTCCGAACACTGGTTCAAGGATACCGCCTAGCTGCCCTCTGATGTTTGAGATTTCCTAAGAAAACGCAGCTAACCTGCTCTGCCTTTCCTAACGAATTTCTGCTCGGCTACCCTCTAGATTCCTTTCAGTGCTCAATCCCTTTAAAATATATTTTTAGCCCTCTACCTGCTCGGCTTCCTTCGCAAGGAGTGGACTGACGAGGGTAAGCCGCTCAAGGGCCCGCAAATCGCCACCGCTGCCGCAACCATTTTCCAGTGAGTTTCAGAAGTTTTTCATCAAATCAGTTTTTTTTAGAAAGTACATCCAAATTCGCGAGCGCGCTGATCGACTGGTGGCGCTCGAGTGGTTGACGCTGGTCAAGGTCGCTAGAGTCACCAGGTATAATTATTTTCTGAATTAATCGACTTGTTCAGCCGTAAATCTGGCGCCGAGAAGGATGCGACAACGGTGGCCGACCCGCTGATCACCCCCGAGTCGGATGGCATTTTTCACAGCATTTCCAAGTGGGTGTTTTCGATAATTTCGTAAATTAGCCTCTAGGGGTACCTTCACGGCAATATACCGCGCCGCGCTCACGTGTCTCAACGAGGTCGTCGACGATGACTGGGCAAAGCCACACGCCGTTAGTTTCTATTTTGTTTGTCCTAAGCGTAAAACTTGTAAATTTAAGGTAAAAGCGTTACAAAATTTATTAAAATAATTGTTAGATTTATTAAAAATAGTTATTTTTCGACAAAATGGAAAATTGAGCAAATTTTCCCAAGTTTCGTAAAAGGCTTGTCGTCTTGAAGTATAGCCGAATTTTATCGACATACGTACTGTGCAATGTCTAACCCTTCGTTCCAGGTCAGCAACCGAGCCCTGAAAGCCGACGAAGTCATGGACAGATGGGTGCAGGCGTCCAGCATTTTTGCCGCCCTCTCCGCCATGCTTCAGGTATTTTACCGATCTTTTTTGAAAATATCGATATCTTTTAGCACAAAGCCCTACGCACCAGCGGCATGCTCTACGCATTCTCCCGGGAAGGCCGTAAATTTCTCCACATGTTTACGAAGAATAGGTAGGGTGACTAGCGGAGAACCTTGGGGAAATGAGTATTTCTGGTAATAACTGTCCGATTTCAGCTCGTTCTTCCCGGTCTTCGATAAGCACCTGGCTCAGCTGTCGCAAAAAGGCCACAAAACGCTGCGCGCCATGCAAATGGGCACCCGCTATCTCAGCCAGATCAGCCTGCACGCAAAGGTAATTTTTATTCGTTGTCTCCCACTCTCTCTCTCTCTCTCTCTCTCTCTCTCTCTCTCTTGCTTCGAAATTTTATTTTTAGCAACACCGTTCAGCCGTCCTGTTGCGCTCGTTGCCCGAGATTCGAGTGTGTACAGAGGTAAATTTCTAAATAATTCATTTTATTATTAAAAATTAAACCTAAAATTTTTATTTTTATTTTCAGTCGTTCTTGCGCCAGGTCCAAACGTGGATAACCCGATGGGGAGTCGCCGACTCCGTGGAATACGGCATTCTGGTCGCCCGCAACATTGATGTAAGCATGTGTGGGCATTTATTCGACGCAATACCATATGAACTGCGGGAATAGCTTGTTCAAATTTCATTTTTAGGGCGAGAAAATCCTGCCGATTGACGATGACGCGGCCGATGAAGCGGCGGCCCCACCTCCCGAGACGCCGCCCCCGAAGAAGCAGCGCAAGTCGAAGGATACAAGCGGCAAGACGGCGACCCAGGCACAGGCTCCTGAAGTCCGTGTGGTGAGTTTTGAGAGTGTCAGCTGGTTCCTTAGGACACTCTGCTAGCTGCCCTGCTCAGGATTTTCGATTTTTCAAAAAATCTTCGCAAGCTTGCTATCCTCTGGGATATCATGCAAATCTCAAATCCTTTCCTGAAGAATCGATGCTAACATCTTCGTCCTCTGGAATCTACGCTTTCCTAAAATATCGCTGCTAACCTGCCCTCCTTTGGGAGAAGCCTGATCTTCCGTTTCCTAAGAACCTCTGCTTGTCTACAACTTTATTATATTTTGATTTTTCAGAAAACCGAGCCCGTAGATGTCGATGACAACAGCAGCGCCATCCTCTAGCCCCGCCCCGGATCCATAATTTTCTCTTGGCCATAGACCCGATCAGAATTTGCTGTTCTCATTGCCTAGTTTGATACTTGCACCCTGTTTCCGGTTTCATCGTTTGATACTCACTGCGTAATTCCTGATGTTGTTGCGCTAGATAGGTTATTAATTTGTTGCTCGTTGCCCCGGATCGATTATCCGATGAATTCTCACTTTTTGTGTTCAGTTAAAAATGTTATAAACGGATTTGAACAAAAAAGTTTATTTATTTTTACCTTCACGAGCCGTGCTTCTTTTTCAAATTGTTTCAGGCGCAATTTAGATACTCCAAATAGCACTCAATACTACTAAAAGTTAATTGTTTTAAAATTGATTGTTGCTGAACCGATCATGCCAGGAAAATTTAAACTTGGCAGTTCCTTTTTTTGGCTTCTTGGCATGTATGCATAGTGGTTTTAGATAAGTCCAAGCCATGTAGTATCTGAATTCCCTGGCTTTCCTCTTAAAATGAGCAGTTTTATTTACATCATCATCATCATCATCGAGTCGCACAAAGAAATATCAGCACGGTGATCACGGTCAAAAATGAGGTGGCAGCAGAGGGATTCGAATACTGGAACCGCTGCTGGTAGCCGGTGATCACCTCCATGTATCTAAAAGAATGAGGGGTATACGCGTGCAAAATAGGGGAGCAAAATGTGACATTTTCCCTTAAAAAATTCCCCACCTTGGGTCAATCTTGGCGATAGCATGGTCAAAGTTGATGATGCCGGTGAAGAGCCCCTCCGAGTATGTGTTGTGAGGGGTTCGGGTGTGTAGACTGTTGCATTTGTCTCTTCTAAACGGGAGTTCGTTATATTTTCTACTTATGCGTATTTCGAGGGATTACGGTAATAAACTAGTATCATTAATTTCGCGTACCTATTACAAATACAGGTAGTTTGGTTGAATTGATCCTCGCACATGATTGAGGCGCCGACACGGTGGTACAACAGATCGGATGCCTTTCGGGTTGCCTAAAAAGTTACATTTAGAATTTCTGGGGCAGCTAGCGGAGATGCCTTGGGAACTAGTGAACTTCTACGTAGATTTGGGCTAGCTGGCAGAGCTTCTTGAGGAAACTTAGAACTTATTCGTGGGTCTCGGCTAGCCAGCAGGGATTTTGGAGGAAACATGAATTTCGGCTAGATAGCGGGTGGTTTTTCAGGAAAGGTAAAATAGACGCGTAGACCTAGGCTAGCTAGCAGAGATTCTTGAGGAAACGTAGATTGGCTGGCTAGCAAAGATTCTTGAGGAAGCGCCTAGGCAAGCGAGCAGAAATTCTTCAGGAAGCCGACCATCAAAAGCTAAGCAGGGGTCCTTGAGGAAGTGGAATTGGCAAGCTAGCAGAGATCATTGAAGACGGAACTTTATAGCTAGTAAGGGCAAGCTAGCAGAGATTCTTGAGGAAACAGGATTTGTACCCAACCACACCTGCAAATCGGCAATCTGCCATGGCGTAAGGTGGACGCATCCCATGAAGAATTGATAGACCGGGCAGTGCTTACATTGTCCTAAATTTACAAATTTAGACACTTTAAATTAATGCTGGATTGTAGGTAGTAAGGTAAATTTACTAAATTATATGAACTCACGCATAAAGCAGGCATCCCCTCGACAGGTCGTCGCCCCGTGGTCACACGTCTTCGCCGTCGCGCCGCTTCGCCCGCCGGCCGCTCCGCGCCACAACTGCACGCATTGCGTGCACTCAACCTAAAAAAGGTCTTCGGGATTTCCGTATTTCCGCTTTAAGGCGAGGTGATCGGCATTAAAAATTTTCCGAAACGCTCTCTGCTAGCCTACCTTTCCGCGGCGCTGCTCCAATTCGAAGGGGATCCCCTCGTCGATTCCGAGTGCATTTGCAAATGTTGATAAAAGTGAGAAGGTCAGAAGCGCGGTGCTCAAAGCTTGGGCCTGAAAATAGAAGTTTATCTTTCTCACTCTCTCTCTCTCTCATTCTCTCTCTCGCATTCTCTCCCCCGCTCTCTCTCTCTCTCTCTCTCTCATTCTTTTCATGTTAAGATCAAACTCACAGCAGAGCCCGGCCCGCGCGGCCTCCACCACCCGCCAATCTCCACAGCTTTCCTGAAGCACAACTAATTTCAGGGAATAAAAAAAGTAAGACTAATTATGGAAAACAAGGCAAAGCGGAGCAAAAGACGCAATTAGACGCATAGAAACCATATGAAAAATCGTGGCAAATAAGTTTAAAAACCCCGCAAAAGCTAGGTTAACGGAATTTTCAAAAAATTGAAATTTTTCTCGATTTGTGACAAGGTTTCGGAAAAAGCTAGTCAAACTGGATAGTTTTTGAACGTATTAGAAACTTCGGTCTTGCCAGCCCCTTTAAAACTTCGATAAATTCCTTGAGGCCATCTGTAATTAGGCTAGTTTTAAGAGAAAACATCTCAAGAAAGTGGGATTTCTGAAACAATCTTAAAAAGCGTAAAGTATCAACCAGAGAAGTGTATAAAGTAAAGTGTCGATGAAAAGAGACATCAAAAGATTGAGATAGCCCCCCTCTCGGGCCATGCAAAGAGGGGGAAAAGCTAAGGAAATGGGACACGCAGAGAGGGGATGGGCAAAAAGAAGGGCCCCCGGCCGGGTTCGGGGCCCCGTAAACTTCTTTTAAATGCAAAGGTGGAAGGGGAGGAGGAAAAAGAGGAGAACGAGAAGGAGGTAGAAAAGTTGAACTGAACGGGGGGTGAGGGGTTCGTGAACTTCGACAATGTGATGTGGCTCGATTTCGGGGTTATGCAGATTTTCCAGGGATCGGCAATGTTTGATTATCAGAGAAGAACGGTCATAGGATCCAAGAGAAATTCTAGAATCTTTAACTATCTCTCTCGCCTCTCTCGCACCCTCAATCGCACATTCTCACTCACACTCGCCTTCTCTCGAAATGCCAAAATCAAAGCTTTTTCAGTTCAACAAAAAAAAAACATTTAGATTTCAAAACTGGGAATTTGTCTAATAAACAGGTCGTAGTTAGATTTTCGAGTTTATCTGACCTCTCGATGCTTTGGCTGTTCCCTGACCCCTCCCCCACACGCCCCTCGCCTGGCCCACCGCCCTGCAACATCATCCCCCAACTTTCCCCTCTGTTACCTCTGGTTCGTGTGCATTTGACCGAGAAAATCTTTCGCCTTTTACTAAAGATTTCCGTGCACACGAACAATTATGAGTATTACACAATTTTTGGAGCCCCCTCGCGAGAGCGGGGCAACACATTTGAACCACTAAAAAATTCGGAGCGAAAGAAGCCATAGAAATGCCGGGTACGTGCCTTTATGCCAGCATCGGAAACTGGTAAGAACTAGAAAGATGGCCTAATAATGATTCCGTAGTGATACTCCGAACGATCGTTATAGGTTTAGCGTTTCTCTCTCTCTATCTCTCCCTCTCGCAGTCTCTCAAATTTCCATCGAAAATCAGGAATGAGTGATAAATTATCGAACGTCAAATCAATAAATCGCTGATTGGCAAAGCGCCAATCTAGTGGAGGAATTTACGGCCAAAAACTGAGGCCAAGCAGCCGCCACATGGGCCATTTGCAAGCATAAAGCCGCCCCGGATCCCCATCTCAAGGCCCGGTCAAAACAGCCCGACAGGTGGGGGCCCCCGGGGGCACAGCGGCTCGAACAAATTGAGCCCCAATCGCTCCGGGTCTCTGTCGTTTCGATATCCCTTTGTATGCCGGGGTTGTCGGTTTGTTGAGATGTGTCTGTTTGTCTGTCTGTCTCCCTGTGAGGTCTAAAGAATGCGAGGCTCGGGTTGGGTGATGGATAGCTGGTATCGGGGGTGGGTTAGGGCTTTTTTAGTCCTGGGGTCCGGCGGGGATGTGCCGCCAATTATGCGTCTCATTAAAATCGGCCTACGTTGAGGGTGGGGCTCATCTCAGAGAAAAACACTAGCGAAAGTGTTTTATATCATAAAAATGCATAGTTTAAGATTTTCTGCTGGGAGTGCGACTTAATTCTTAAAAACTCGCCAATTTAATTGGATGAAATCAAGAAATCACGGGTTTAACTCTTGTTTATCAAATAGATCAACCTGATCGAAATCGAACTGTAATAGCTCTGTAAAAATAGCCTGATTACATATGCTTTAACATCTGCATGTTCTTTGCCTGCTCCCTGACCCCACCCCCCACTCGCTCCCCACCTGGCCCACTGTCCCTTCTGATCACCTATCTCCTCCCTCCAGCGATACCTCTGCTTCGTGTGCATTTGACCGAGAAAATCTTTCGCCTTTTACTAAAGATTTCCGTGCACACGAACAATTATGAGTATCAAATAATTTTTGGAGCCCCCTCGAGAGAGCGGGGCAAAAAAAACCCAATGCCGAGAATCTCTATTAAGCTCTGCTATTTTAAATACCAAGTTTCATTTAAATTGGATTCCAGTCAAAATCCCGACACCCAAAATACCGACTGCAAAAATCACGACAGCCCAAAACCCCGACATATTCTTGACACCGGTTTGATTGCCATTTCCTTTTAAACAGCTATTTAGCATGTCGGCATTTTGGATGTCGGCACTTTGGCTGTCGGTATTTTAGTCTTTTCCCTTTGCATATAAAAGGCATAAAAGTAGTAGTCCAACAGGAACGGCTCGAATCCCGAAATCGCCTCCACGGCGTTGAATAGTAGCTCTTGATTTGGATGGGTAATCCCGTAGAACGGGGCCGCCGGGTTTCGGCACCCATTTCGGGGCCCACTGGGCCTCTTTAAAGGCCCACTGGCCTGCCTGGGGCGTTTTGTGTGCCCCTGGTTGCGGGACGGGTAATTCGATTGGCACCAAGCCCATAGAGGAAGGCAAGCAGGCGTGGGTCGTTGCGGAAGGCAGGTTATGAGGATATGCGAGGAAAGTAGCTAGATCCGGGCGAATGCTTAGGCTTCGGCTTAGGATTAGCTTCGCTTGGGTCAAGCCTAACTAGAAAGGCTTAGGACTTACAAGGCTTGTGGGGCATAGGCCGGCCGGTTCTTTTGCATTATCCGCGGGGGGGGGGTTAGCAGAGGGGAACCTATCCTTTTTGGGGAAATATTCAAAAAAGCAGTCCCCCTATTTATACGAAAAATTCGGTAATAAACCAGAAAACAAATGGAAAATGACTAAAATAGACCATGGATGGCCTTTAGGCAAAAAGAGGAGCTTAAAAAACTACCCCTCTAGGGCACCGGGCTAATGAGCAGATGTGTGAAGCTAGGGCTAGAAAAGAAGATGAGGAGAGTATGGGGAGACTCGGCTGATGTGTATGGCCGTTGTGTCGCGTATTTCGAAGGTGGGAAGGGGGGAGGGAGTGAGCAGGAGGCTGTGGCTGTAATCTGAGCTCGCGCCACCCTCCGCCTCGGCCATAGCCACAGCCGCACCGAGTAAAGCGATACATCCGAGGGTGACAGAGATTTCTACTAGCGAGGAGCTTGAAACGATCCCGTTGAGGTCGAGAATCAGGGCAAGCTGGCGGAGGTTCTTTGAAATTTGTGATTTCCGGGAACTATCGTGAAATTCTGAGCACATCAACAAGATCCGGGATTTCTAGGAGAAAACTAGCTAGCAGAGATTCTTTGTGATTTGTAAAGCACTATCTATCTATGATAGAAAAAGCCAAATTTTAGGCAAACTAGCAAAGGTCCATGGGAAATCCCTGGCGCGCATAAAATTCAGGCAAAGGTCGGCTAGCAGTGACCATTGAGGAATTTCCGCCTTGAAGTCTTGACTTGCGACGCTACCGATCCAAGTTGATGTTAGGTTGGGGGTAACTAGCAGGGATCCTTGGGGGAATCGGTCGCGTTCTCGGAGTGAAAGGAAATTGCCGGGTGAGTAGACTAGCAAAGATCTTTTAGGAAAGTTTAGCTCCTTTTAAAGACTAGATTTCGCTGTTCTAGGGAGGAACCGGGAGATCAAGGGTGAGAGGGCGCGGACGCCGGACAGCTGAATTGCTGCCGCCGACCTGGGTTTTTGAACGCGCGCGGAATGTACGTTCAATGAGAAATCACACTGTCACCGATAAAATGCCATAGCTGGGCAGGCTAGCAGAGATTTTTGAGGAATCCGCTGCCTATTTATAAAAACTCCTAACGAGGGCTGGCTAGCCGTGATTTTTCTAGGAAACTTTGACAACAAGAATGACCCCGTGACCCCGAAAATACTCAGCCACCCCATTTTAACCACCCGGTGGCCGGGCGGCCCATTTGGATATTGAGATGTACGGGCCGCCAGGGGCAGGGGATTGAAGCGGACAAGCCGTGCTTCGTTGTGTGGCCTTTCCTGGGGCCCATGGGTCGTAAATAAAGGGGGAATCCGGTGGGTGGGTGGGTGGGTGGGTCTCGACGACGACGAGAATTAGCAAAAGAGCCCCAGCCTATAGGGCCGTCTGATTGGACCAATAAAGGACCGAGGTTGGCCGGGGTAAAAGCTTGAAAAGCTTTTCGTTTCCCAGTTAGTATTTGTAGACTGGGGATTGGGGCATTTAAAGGGAGTTTGTAGTTGTGAAATAGAATTTTTTGAAGCCGAAGATCATCAAAACAATGCGAAAAGCAAAAAATTACTTCATTAGCAAAAAAGCATCAGCCTAAGCCAAAGCCCAAGCTTAAGAACAAAGCCTACGAAAAAGCTAATCCTAAGTTTAAAACACAAAAATCGTGGGTTAAATCAAACATATAAATTCCGTGACAATACCCCGCTGCCAAAGCACACCCCCTAACCGACATCTGTAATCCGCGCGAGCTCGTTCCAGCCCTTCCAACAACAACAAGAAGCCCAAACGCACCCCCAAAAAGGGAGCGGCGGATCGAGTAAACGTCGGCCCGTCAATTGGAGGCTTATCTACCGTCAATCAGAGTCTGGGCCCCGTGGGCCCTTTTCTGGCCCACCACCCTCTTTTCAACCTCCGACAACTCGACTCCCACCACCACACCACCATTACTCTCAATTCAGGTTGTATCGGGGTAATGGCATTTGGAGGCGGTAGTAGCGAACGCCAGTGAAGTAATTCAAATTTTGCCCCGCTCTCTCGAGGGGGCTCCAAAAATTATTTGATACTCATAATTGTTCGTGTGCACGGAAATCTTTAGTAAAAGGCGAAAGATTTTCTCGGTCAAATGCATACGAACCAGAGGTAAATGAACAGCAAGTTGGGGGATGATATGGCAGGAAAGTGGGCCAGGTGGGGGGCGACTGGGGCGTGGGCCAAGGCACAGGGCCAATGCACCAAGATGGCCAAAAATTCTAATTTTGGTAGAATTTAATGGAGAATTAGTCTCCAACCATTCCAAAACCTAGAGCGGGCCCATTTTCTGGGTGCTTTTAGGTTCTTAAGAGCTTTAAATATTATTTAAATTTATATAAATAGAGCTTTAAAATAGTGAGATACAAGAAATTAAAAAAAATTGAAAAATGTAAACTAAATGAAAAATACTTGAAAGATAAAAATACAGTTGAACTATGGAGTTTCTGGTTTCAGTTTTATAGCTAAAGTCTTGGCGTAAAGGCTGAAATTATTTTTACTAAAACCTACAATCGGGTTGGAATCAGAATTAAAAATTATAAACTAGTGCGAGGCCTGAAGCGTCGGTCAACGCTCCCCCATTTCCGGAAGCGACACCCCGCCCCCCGGGCGACAACAGGCTTCCCCAAATTCCGGGGTATCAAAAAGTAGTGGTGCCCCTAGAACTGGTGGACAACTGGGGTGCCCCCGGAGGGTATGCATGTCCTTTCCACAACCCCCGCATAGTAGAAGAAGCATTAGCCGCCTATATGGATCGGGGGTCGTTAGGGTGTGAAGAAGTCGAGTCGACGGCTGGAGAGGGTATCTCTTCTCTTTTTCGGGTTAAGAATCCCCTCCTCCGCCTCGGAAGGGGGCTACTCTATGAATTTTTGATAAAGCCGATGTGGCGAGGCTCATCTCCTAGGCGTGACCATCCCCAACCGGGAGCATGGGATTGAAAAAACGAGTGGGAAAAGCATAGTTAAAATTCAGGGAGGCGGGGTTGGGCCTTCTAAGCTTCTGATTAGGTTTGGGCTTATGCTTAGGCTTGGGATTAGGCTTACGCTGACGCTTACAAGGAGTGCCCTTTTAGTGCCATCGGCAAAACCTTTCGCGACCTACCTCATTCGATAGAGAATTGAATTCTGAACCAGCTCCCGTTGTTCGTTTTTGCGGAATGGCTGTCTCCGATTTTATAAAATTAAAAAACTAAAAACAGCATTTTTGGACCACGATCCTGGCGCCGCCCCCAAAACCCACCCCCGGGGAAGAGCCGTTCTGACCACTCGCAACCACCAGTAAGCGTGGCGCAGTGGCTAACACCACGGCCTACCGAACTTTTTTTGTGATTCAATCAAAAGTTCGAAACTCACATCAACAATTCATTTTGCTTTTTGAATAAGGTTACGCTTGGAACCCCTTGGGGACATTTCATGTGAATTTTTGAGAAAAGCCGGCTTGCACCGACTAGTTTCTTATTTAGCGCCTGGTTTTCAAAAACATAGGCTTTTTCACAAAGGCTGCTCGATTGTCTATGCTTCAAATTAAATGGCGGTTGACCTATGAAGCCAGCGCAATCAAAATTCAAAAAGCAAAAAGAATTGTTGATGTGAGTTTCGAACTTTTGCCTGAATCGCAAAAAAAGTTCGGTGGGCAGCGGTGTTAGCCACTGCACCACGCTTACTGGTGTTGGGGAGAGGTCAGAGCGGCTCTTCCCCCGGGGGCGCCTCTCGGGCTGGCGCGAGCATCGAGGTCCAAAAATGCTGTTTTAAGTTTTTTTAATTTTATAAAATCGGAGACAGCCATTCCGCAAAAACGAACAACGGGAGCTTGTTCAGAATTCAATTCTCTATCGAATGAGCTAGGTCGTGAAAGGTTTTGCCGATGACACTAAAAGGGCACTCCTTGTTAGGCTTGGCTCAGCTTGGCTTAGGCCTAGCTTAGCCTTAGCTAAGCTTAGCGTAGGGGGCTTAGGGGTTATTTGGGCTTTAGCTCAGGCCTTGGATTAGGCTTAGGCTTAGGCTTAGGCTTAGACTTAGGTTTAGGCTTAGGTTTAGGCTTAGGCTAAGGCTTATGGGCTTAGGCTTAGGCTTAGGCTTAGGGTTAGGCTTAAGCTTAGGCTTAGGCTTAGGCTTAGGCTTAGGCTTAGGCTTAGGCTTAGGTTTAGGCTTAGGCTAAGGCTTATGGGCTTAGGCTTAGGCTTAGGCTTAGGCTTAGGCTTAGGCTTAGGCTTAGGCTTAGGCTTAGGCTTAGGCTTAGGCTGAGACTCAAGTCTAGCTTAGGTTTAGATTGCGCATCAACTTAATGTTAGCTTAGAATTAGACTACGCTTAGGCTTACGCTTAGGTTTAAGTTTAGACTTAGATCTGGGAATAGGTTAGGCTTGTTAGCTTAAGCTTAGGCTTAGACTTTAAAATTTCCCTAGCTTTTGCATAGTTTCCGGCCTAGAAACGGAGGCGACGGGAAAAATTATGCGACTAGCCGAAGACGGGGCCGTCACCCAGGTGGCGTGTCGAAATTCATGCAGAAGCGTTTCCGGACACAGGGCTTTTCCGGGCAGCTCCACATTACGCGCGAGCGTCATAGTGACCCGAGATTTCGAGAGGTTGAAAGTGTAACGAGAAATGGGGGAGGAATCCACAAAAATCTATTAGTCGTCAGGGGGGTGTTGCCCGGAAGGGGGCGCGGAGGCTGCGAGTAGAAAAATTGGTCCCGCGGGGGTTTTTGTTACGCACGCGCCAATGGGGGCCTGGGCGGCGTGGTGCAGTTTTCTTTTGATATTTGACAATAACAATATAGCTAATTACTTAATCACCCCTGACTTAAGATTATTAGTAATATGCAAACATTTAAGTTTAGCATAAATTTTTTATTGATCTGAAAAATAGCCTTTTAGCCGTAGAAATCAGAATGGTTAAATCGATTTTGTCTGATTTTATGATTTGGAATTTAGGGAAACACCAAGCCCCTCTCTCTCGCTCACTCTCGCTCTCTCTCTCTCTCTCTCTCTCTCTCTCTCTCTCTCTCTCTATCTCCCTCTCTCTCCCTCTCTTTCATTCCCTCTTTCTCTCTCTATCTCTCTCTCCCATTCCCTCTTGCTCTCTCTCTCTCTCTCTCTCTCTCTCATCTCCAGGGTCTTTTATTTATGGGCGCGGTTTTTCTATTTGCTGCATAGTTCAGTCCATTTTTGAGTAACTCTTTATTTTCCCTGAGTTTTGCGGAGCGGTCTGTTTTCTCCATTTTAGATGACGCGAGCAGCCTTGCGACGGTATCCACCAGCAGCCGGGGCGGTGGCCGGGGCAGAGTCGCCGTAGCTCTAAAAGCATAATTATATATAGGACGTTAAAGTGACTACATACCTGAGAAGCTCCAGCCTGTGAGACGGGGAGATCGGCGGTGCGTGGTGGGCAGGGGCAGTAGGCGGCATCGGCGCCGGGGACTCCATCGGATCCGGGTTGTCCGTCTTGGCCGGGGGCTCCAGCCTCTCCGTCTTGTCCGGCTTGGCCGGCGGGTCCTTCGGGTCCGGCCTGGAAATGGGGTTTTTTGAACACATAGGTGGGTTAAACTCAACCCAGCAATCTTCGAGGCTAGATTTTAATTATCATAAAGATGTTCTTTGGCTGTTCCCTGAACCCACCCCACACGCCCCCCACCTGCCCCACTATCCTCCCTTATCAGCTACCCCCTCTCCCTCTAGTTACCTCTGGTTCGTGTGCATTTGACCGAGAAAATCTTTCGCCTTTTACTAAAGATTTCCGTGCACACGAACAATTATGAGTATTACACAATTTTTGGAGCCCCCTCGCGAGAGCGGGGCAAAATTTGAACTACTAAAATATTTACCTGTCCGTCTTGTCCAGGCTGTCCATCCTGTCCAGCTTGTCCAGCGGGTCCAACGGGTCCACGAGGTCCAGGCTGTCCGGGCCTTCCGCGTCCCTTGGTTCCATTCTGTCCGGGTCCTCCGGGCTGTCCAGGGTGTCCGGGGGTTCCGTCGTGTCCGGCATCTCCGGCGGGTCCGGCCTCTCCGGGCTGTCCGTCTTGGCCGGCCTAAAACACTTTGTTCTCGATTTTTCAAATTGCTTCTACCTGTCCATCATCTCCGTTCTGTCCATCGGGTCCGGCTTCTCCGGCGGGTCCATCTGGTCCGGGGGGTCCGGGAGGTCCGGCGGGGCAGACGATGCAGCCGTTGTTATAGGCGTCCTTCTGGGGGATCGAGACACCCTAGAAAAGGTTTGGATTTTGGTATAGGTACATTTAAGGTATCCCTGACTCAAAAACCCCTTAAAAACGTACTCGAGCTCCATCCTGGCCGCGATCTCCGGGCTCTCCAGCCTCTCCATCGGCTCCGGGCTGTCCAGGGGGTCCAGGGGCTGAAAAAAATGGTACGGATATGGCATGAATAAATAGAGATGAAATAAGTAGCTGAACGTACGTCCAGCGGGGCATCCGTTGGCCTTGGCGGCGCAGTTGCACTGGGCGGCCTGACGCTTGGCACGGCCGAAGATGGCGTCACGGGCCGAGGCACCGGAAGCGGTGCTAGTGGAGCGGACCATATCGGCCCAGGCGTCGTTGGCGTAAACCTAAAGTTTTAGTACATCGATGTACGCTATAATACATCCGGTAAAACCAGCAAAATTGATTTTTTTATTGAAATGGCAGAATCCAGCCTAAAAATAACACAGAAAAAGTTTTTATGCATTATTAGATACTTAAAAACCACAAAATCATACCTTAAACTCGTTAATAGGTAAAAAATACGCTAGGATACGCTACGATACACCCGGTAAAAATTAAAAATATATTTTTTTGGTCAAAACGTCAGAAACAATCCAGAAAACCCAAAAAGGTTTAAGCATTAATTATTTCAGAAACACTTTCTAAGCCTTACCATATGCGTGTTTTAATAGCTATAAAATGATAACTTAAATTGTTCTAGAAAAAATACAGGAAAAAAAAGTATGTTCGGATACGCTAGCATACGTCCGGTGAAAAAATCACCTCAAATAATTTTTTAGGTGAAAAAAAATCAATATTTTTGTCTAATATTTTGGATCGAAAAACTTTTTGCGCGTTATTATACCCTAAATAGCAATAAATCATACCTTAAACTCATGGATATCTCCCAGCGCCGAGTCGTAGAAGTTGTTAATGTCGTTGTACAAGGCGGCGAGCCCGAACAACGCACCAACCATCACAAAACCACACCCGAAGGTGGCCAGCGTCACAACTGCCTAAAATCATTGGAATGTAATGGAATTCAGTGATTGCGATACCTTAGTGGACATTGTCGTCGGAGTGGGCAGCGATCTAGGTAGAAAGCTACTGACGATCTCATGATGCTCCCGCTATTTATAGCTGTCCACCCTCGGGAGGGAGGGGCGACCTTGGGGGTCGAGGGAAAACAATGAAAAACCGTATTTGAGTGAGGGAGAGAGAGAGAGAGAGGAGAGAGAGAGAGAGAGAGCGAGAGAGAGGACCTGGGGTTGGATCGAATTTCGCTCCATTTCAAAAAAGTGGGTGCATTGAGAATTAGCGGCGAGAAGGGGGAAGTAAAAACCCGAATAGAAGATCAAGCATGGTCGTCATTAAAAAGTTGAATTTTTCCGGTCAGTCTCGCCGAAATGATACCTTTAAGGCAAAAACAGAGACGGTCGACAAATCCATTATTGTTAGCCCTCTATTTCGCTACAGTCTTTACATAGCTACGTATATGGTATATAAACGGAACGGCTTCTTTTTAAATCCCGGTTTCTTTACAGTCTTGCTAGCGCTACGTCCAGAGTATCACGGCGGAACTACCGTAAACTCTATGCAGTAACGTAAAATTTCCCGAATTCGTCAATCTTGCAAAGTCGCCAGATCGCCAGCATCGCCGTGGAACAACCGTAGCTTCAATAAGTACCATATTTCCCCTACCGTCCATCAAGCTTTACATCTAGGGTGCCGCTACGGCATCTTCTGTAAGTTTTTCCTCTACCCAAAGCTCAGGCTCTCCATTGTCTCGTTTTCGTTTTCATCCCAGTGCATGCTGTCGATCTAGGGTCAGCCGGAAAAAGGGCACACAATGTGTCAAAGACCTTGAATCCATCCCAGATAGCCATCGCTTCAAAAGAGGGGAGCACGACAACGTTGACACTCGGTTTATTGCCGCATTAGACAATGGACAATTGAGTTTTCCGGGAATTTTGCATGATCATCTCTCTATCTCTCTCTTCTATCTCTCTCTCTCGCTCTCTCTCCCGCTCTTTGGGTCATCCTGAAAACTGATCGTATTGTTTGCTATGTGAAAGGAAATTATCACAACCGGGGAAACGATAAGAGCTGCAACAGTTCAGGAAAGATTTTTTAATTGATAGCCTTTTATCTAAATTTAATCGTATAACCAATAATTTATTTACATAAATAAATTCAGTAATTGTCGCTGAAAAGAATTTGCTGAATCTTCCTCCGCATTTCCCGACCGCCATCACCGAAAAGTTGCGAAGACCTGATTGGGCATGGGCAGTAGGCACCGTCACTTCCTGAAAATAGTTCATATGTTGAGTTTGAAGGTCGATTGAAGTCAAGTGAAGGTCTTTGGGATGACTCGCACGCTCTAGCTCTCTCTCTAGCTCTCTCTGTCTCTCCCTCTCTCTCTCTCTCTCTCTCTCTCCTCAAGCATCAGATGAAAAGCTCCAGATTCGACCAAAAGATTGCTCATTCGGAACACGAACACCCGTTCCAACGTGGAGAGTACGAAAGAGAGGAAGAAGCGGAAATCGAACTACCATTTGTCAGCTTTTGAGTGATGCATGCTGACAGCCGATCGGTCATGCTCAAGCTAGCCTTAGGCCAGGGCTCGGCTTAGGATCGGGCCAATTTTTTAACTAATTTGCTTGGACTTAGCCTAGGCTATCGTTGAAGCCTTGACCTAGGTTCATCTTACCTGGCATTCCATCGGCCCCCGGCGTCCCATCTTCTCCATCTTCACCAGGCTGTCCAGGATTTCCTTCATAGCCTGGCGAACCCTAAAACACCAAATGTTTCCTAAATTATAGGTATTTACCTCTTCGCCATCATTTCCGGGCTCGCCATCAGCGCCGGAAGGTCCTGGTTTTCCGGACTCGCCTGAAAAACCAACTAAAGTTGAAGCGATGCTTGAAATCTACCAATTTTCCCGGGTTCCCCGGGGAGTCCAGGAGTCGCGATATGGCGTATACAGCTTTCGCCTGGAGCTCCGGCTGGACCGGGCGGTCCGGGTGGACCAGGTTGACCGGGGAAGCCGACCTCTCCATCGTTACCGTGCTGGAAAATACAGTTTTTCAGGTTTACCACGTTTCAAAGTATGCTCTGGGATTTATGACCCATTTAAAGTTTCTCAAAAGCCCGAAAAATATCCTTTGCTCGGGCTGGGCATCGACAGGTCCGTTACGCATCTAACGATTTTTTCAATATAGCATTTGAGTCAGGAATTTTCTCCGGTTAGGTAACAAAAGACAGCGACCCAGCGGATGGATTTTAGCCCTTTCCAAGCATAGAAATCTAGAAAATTCCAGAATCGAGGCTGTCGCAACTGGGTTTCCACGGTAACTACACATGCCTATCGACGGGTCAGATTTTAATTTTCTTGAAACATTTAAAAACTAGCTTTTTTTAACCTAACCCTCACTTACCTCCCCATCTTGCCCAGGAACCCCGGGACCTCCATGGAAACCTTCGAGACCCTCGATTCCAGGCTCACCATCCGGGCCGGGTGGTCCTGGAAGACCAGCTGGGCATGGTACACACTCAAATATAAAAATTTAATCGGTTTTTTCATGTCTCTCACCTGTGTAGATAACCACTGCTTCAACGCGGCACCTCCGGGGACCCCGTTGGGTCCGTTTAACCCTGGGATCCCATCGCTACCGGGCTCACCGGACTCGCCGGGTGGGCCGGGTGCTGAAAATACGGTAGGAAGGCGTGGCGGGTCGTACTTACGTCCTTGTGGGCAACTATCCGAGACGCGCCTACATGCGCACGGCTTTTTTTGAGGTGGGATCGGGGCGATCGGAGCTGTGTCGTAGCTGTCGTAGTCTCGCTTTGGTCGTAGTCTAGCCACATCTTCCATGGCACGCATTTCCTCGTAGGCATCGCCGGCGTATTTCTGCGAGGTAAATAAAAAATCCAAAAAAAAACAAAGGGAAATGTCGAAGTTAGCCTAAGCCTAAGTTTATTCTAAGCTGAAGCCTAAGTCGAAGCCTAACGCTAAGCCTAAGCTAAGCCAAACCTAAACTAAGTCTAAGCCAAGCCTAAGCTAAGCCTAAGCTAAGCCTAAGCTAAGCCAAACCTAAGCTAAGTCTAAGCTAAACCTAAGCTAAGCCGATCTTAGGCTAAGTCTAAGCTAAGCCTAAGCTAAGCCTAAGCAAAGCCTAAGCCTAAGTTAAGCACGTAGGCTTCTTAGGCTCAAAAAATCTCTCACAAACCTGAAATTCATCCAAATCCTCCAGGCTCTCCGCATGAAACCTCTCAAAGCTCAAAAATACGTTGCCCAACGCGTAGACGGCCACCAAATACACGACAGTTACCAGGGCTACGGTGATCCCGGTCGGTTCCTTCATTCCGTAGGGTCGCCAAGGGGTACGTGACGTATCCTACCTCATCGCCACCCAACCCAGCTCTTTTATAGCCCGCGGGAGACGCCCAATAAATCGCGTCATAACCGCCCTCCCCTGGATCTGTATGTTTTCCTTCCCGATCGCCGATCCGCTTAATGGGCTCTCTATGCTAATTTGCGCCCTGCCTCCAGAACCTGTCAGCTACTGCAAGAAAAAAAGTTTATTAGGAGGGTAGCTACGAGTGCACGTTGATGGATTTCTAATTGGCTAGGAGAAACGGGGAAAATTGGGTGAAAATCGGTTTCGAAATCGTAGATAAAATGCGATAAGAGGGGTAATGTTACGGAAGTATGAAACAATTATAAAAAGGGTTATAATGGCTATTTAATGGCACAAAAACATAGTGCAAAAATTCCTAACAAAAATTCAAATCGGTGTCTGGATGCCGGTGCTTTGCATGGCTTGGCAGAGCTGCTCCTCCTCTTCCTCGGACTCCCAGCAGGCGGCTGAAATTTTGGGGTTTAAAGGGGCGTGCAAGGCATGGCGATTGAGTTTTTGGCTATGAAATCCCCTAGGAAATTTTGCCGCGCTCGCGATACGCAACACGCCCGGCGCATCGCAACCATCAAGCAGTGTAATCGATTACGCAATGAAATTACGTGAAATAACGTCATAATAATTGTGTTTCACGGTTCCAAAAAAAACTTCGGAAAACGAAAATCCACCATAATTTTGCAAAAAATGCGAAAAAGTTTTGTGGTCTCCGCGATACGCAACGTGCAAAAAAACCCGCGGTGTCATAATCGATTACATAACGCATATCGAGTACGTAAGACCGGATGAAACCTTTTATGATCCGTACCCGCGACGCTTAGCGCATACGCGGCTAGCTCACTATCAAAACCACCCTAAAGCGTAAACTACCATTTTCCTTTGGCGAGGTCGAGGAGCCGGCTGAATTCTCCGACAAGCGAGTTGGACGCTTACGAATTGACATTGATTTCCTATAACTTTGGAAAGTCTTTATTAAGTTGATCAGTACATGATGGTCCTGTCCCTGGCCACATCCTGGCTCATCTTCCGGTAGTTGGCCATGTTCAGGTGGCGAACGATTTTCGGGTTGTAGCACTTCGGGTCAGAGACCATTCGGACAAGGAACGATCTGGAAATACAAAATGACCGTAAGCATGTCGTTGGTTTAGGCTTAGGTTTAGGCTCTGGGTTAGGCTCAGAAGTTTAGGCTTGGGTTAGGCTTAAACCTTTCAACCTATGATTAAAACACTCCTTATCAGCTTGGGCTTAGGCTTAGGCTTAGGCTTAGGACTAGGCTTAGGTGCATGTTTAGGCTTGGGGCTTGGGCCAGGCTTGGGATGGGACTGTGAATTGGGTACCTGGAGCCGCATAGGCTTAGGTTTAGGCTTCAACTTGAGCTCCGCTTTGATTTATGCCTAGCTCTGGCTTCGCTTAGGCTTACTGAAATTTAGATTAGGCTACCTCATGATTCTTCTGAGGCTTAGGCTTATCTCAACCGTTACCTTTTCGTAGCCAAATCCTTTCCGGAGCGGCAATTCAAAAGATCTTCCTTGGAGGGCTGTTTCTCGAAGGTCGGCGAGTAAACCTCGAACCCACCCTGGGATACCTGAAATCGTACCCTAAACCCGATACTTAATATCCTAATTTTTGTCGATTATTCACAATTTATTAGTCACAACTTTCGGGCGGCACCAAACACAGACAATGGGGCGGGTGTCGGCATTTCCGCTATCATTCCACGCACTCCAAAATACGGAAAGATCACTGGAGGGGTGCGGAAAATGGGGCAGGCGGTGGGAGGGACAACAACAACAACTAAAAATGGGCACAAATCACGATAAATTTGGAAATATTGGAAAAAAATATTGAACCCGTTAATTTGGGCAGCAAGTGAGAGAACTGAGCATTTAAAGATTGGATAAATTTGCATAATAAAATTTTTTGTGGAATTCTTCTTGTAGAAATTCAAGGCTTTACAGCACAACTATTCTCATGCTCTAAGCACGTGCAAAAAGAAGGACAACAACGACAGCAGCGAGTGCCAAGGACCGAAAAATATCTGCAGTACGTTGCTCATGCGGCGCTGGGGCTCGGTGTGGTCGTGGACGGCCGAGGTATCGATACCCTCTTCTTCGAGGGCTTCGAGGTATTGGTCTTCAAGGAGGGGTTCGGCTGAGGTTTCGTCTGAAAGAAATATGGGTTTTGACTTGAACTGAAGGTCCAGATTTAAAGGGAAGGGGAAGCCGAGATTCGTGAACTCTATTAACTCTGGATACGCTGTGAATTCCATTGCGTAATGGATGCCAAACCTTCGCTCTACAAACAAGGCAAACTATGTATATTTCGTGAATTTTCTCGCGACACGCAACGCGCACGCCCGCCCTTCCATTGCGTAACGCATTACGACGGCGTCAGGGATGTCGAAAGGGACGAGCGTTGCGGGCCGCGGGCGTTACGAATTTTTTAGTGAATTCATAGCAGAGATGGTGTATTTTATCCCGTTAAAACACGTCGTTTTTTCCTTCTTAAGAGTCTTTGGGAACCTACGCATAATATGCTTGGCGGCTTGGCTGATGATGTCGTAGGCTACCTGAAAAATGAGATTCTTCGAGGTGACAGTTTTTATCTTTTTTTCTTGCTTTTTAAGTCTTGCTAAGCTGTTTTTAGGCCTGCAACTTACATCAATATCCCGATCCGACGCATTTTCGGCGCAAACGCAGAATCGGATTACGAAGCGCTCGTTTAGAGAAGCCGGGACCATGTGGATACGGCCCGACGAGTTCAAGCGGGTCAGAAGGAGCTGATTGGCTTCTTCGCTGGCCTAAATTAAATTTTTGACAGAATACCTCCACAGATACCTCACAGTCTGCCATTAAAATTATAAAGCTTACCCGTATCCGGAAACAAACAAGCCCCATAATAACGTCGCCAACGATCTCGAACATGGCGTCACCACGTAGGAGGCCTTCGAAACGTTTTGCCAAGCGGACGTGCTTTGAAATAGTTATTTAAGGTATCGAAACTTAACGAGTACCTCTCGAATATATTTTTGTAGTCCTTCCACCCCATAGGATCTGATGACAAACCACAGCTTCAATGACCGGAAACGACGTGAGAGTGGGATACCCCAGTGCCGGTAATCGATCGATTTGTCTGAAATTTTTAAGATGAGAGAGACAGGGCGAGAGCTAGAGAGAGAGAGAGAGAGAGAGAGAGAGAGAGAGAGAGAGAGAGAGAGAGAGAGAAAGAGCGGGAGAGAAAGAGCTGCTCCCTACCCATCCAACTATGCTGTAGATACAACGGATCGACGACCAGCGCCTGCGTCAACTTGAAGCGGTCTCGAACCCTGGAAAAACATGATTCCGGTAGCTTTCTAGAGCGCACCACATGGTGGAGCAGTCAAAGTTGACGAGCATCCACTTGTTGGGGTTGGTGTTGAACGACATGGCGTACTCGATGCCGGACATCAGCGGTCGGAACTCGGGGCAAATCATCGCCGAGCCGGCGTAGGCCGCGTCGACGTGAAGCCATAGCCTGCAGTTGCGAGTTAAAAAACAAAAATGACAACTGGGGGTAGTCCCAATTCCAGAACGATTTCTGGCATCCCCGAAGCTACCTTAGCTGTTTCCGGAAAACTACCTTAACGGTGACAAGTCCCTTAACCAAACCACTCACTCATTTTCATGACAAACGGGCCCGATCTCTGACAAGACATCGAAAGAGCAGCAACTCGTCGTTCCCAGGGTGGTCGACACGAAGAAGGGGATCAACCCGAGGTTACGGTCTTCCTAAATACAAATTTATCGTCAGGGTTTGGATTTTTTTACTTGAATCGCATTCCGCAGCGTCTCTCCTCTCATTCTGAAACGGCTGTCCGTCTCCAGGATTCGCAACTTCACCATCCCGATCATGCACGCTTTTTCGACCGAGGAGTGGGCCTAGAAAAAGTGATAGAGGGAGAAAGGGAGCGAGAGAGAGAGAGAGAGGGAGAGAGAGCTAGAAAGAGAGGGCAAGACATCTCAATTATTTCCCTGAACTCCTCCCCCACCTCCTTCGAGCAGTAGGCGATCAACTTGCTCAGCAACAACCCCTCCTCCACAAATGGGAATCGCTGTCGTAGCTCCTTCATCACTTCAAAACGAGCTGCCAGCAAGGACACGAAATTACACTCCGATGCTGAAGCCTGAATCATAAGATTTCGTTAGTTCAGTCCCCTGAAATCACCTGGATAACTCCTCCGCCCATGCCATCCTCTGTAAATGGCAAAAATTCCTTTGGCAACCCGATCATCTTCCCGAACCATTCCAGCATGATCATCTCCAGCTCGGTCATGGCTGGGCAGGCCGCCTAAAACACGTTGTAAAATTATTTTGAAAGGATTTAAGCGAATTAAGTAAGTATTTGGTGGCGAGGCGCGGCGTGCCCACCCGAATTTATGTTGCGTAATCGATTACCCAAACTTTACGGTAGTAAAGCTTTATGGTGTTAATGTCCGCTTCCCCTTACCCAGCTAAACCCAACACATCCCAGCGCGTCGCTCAACATATCGGCCAGAATCGAAGGCCAAGAATTTCCGGCTGGGAAGTAGGCGTGGAAGCGAGGGTGTTGCCAGTGGGTCACCTGAAGGGATTAATTTCATCCATTAAAAATTGGCATAATCAATATCTATCGTTAAAACCAATAAATTCACCTACCCCAGGCATGATGAACTTCTCGAAGTCCTCGATCAACGCCTGGTAGCCCTCGCCTTTTTGTGGGGGTTCACCGGGGATCAGCTCTTTGAGGTAGCTGAAAAATAACTTTGGATTCCTCAAGCGCTTCTGCAAGATTGCCACAGCTTACAAGCTTAATAGCACGAATCAAAGTCCTAACCTAAACCTAATTCCTCAAAAATCTTTGCTAGCTTGCCAAGCTTCAACATTTCCTCAAGGTTGTTTGCTAGCCTACGAAGGTTTTTCTTAAGCTCCCCAAAGATTTTTGCTGGCCTCCTTACGTCTAAAATTTTTGTGTAAATTCCTGCTAGTATATTTCTACACAAGGTAACATTTCCTCAAGGTCCTCTGCTAGCCTGCCAATTTTCGATACACCCACCCGGGTTCAATTGACGGCACCACTCGACGCTTATGAATATTCTCCATATAGTCAGCAATATAATCGATCGTCTCCTTGCCGTGGAGTCGGAATTCCTGGCGATTCATTCCGCTCTCTAAAGGTATCAGAATTTTGCTTCCCTAAAGATTTTCTATACCAGCTCTGTCTGGCATCTTCTCCTCAACGCCCGGGATTACGGTAGGATTTCGCGAAATAGGAGGTTGCTGCCCTGGGGTCTGCATTTCTAAATAAAATCTATTAAGGCATCAACGGTGATCTTTAAGGTCAAAATGCTCGGATAATTTTTCACTATGGAAAGTACGAAAAATTGGCCGGCCCGCCGCCTTCTGATAGTGGCCCCGACTTTTCAGTGTTTTCCTGATCGGAAGACCCCCGTTTTTGTTTGTTTGCATGTTTGCGGGAGTCTGTCACCCAGTCTCTCTCTCTCTCTCTCTCTCTCTCTTTCTCTCTCTCTCTCGCTGTCTGCCTGCCGCTCTGTCTGCTTCTCCTTATCAAAACGGACCTCTCGTCTCGTCGCCGTCGGCCACGGAGCTGGAGATGCCGGAGGTGGACGACGTGTCCGACTGGTTCGACGCGGGTCCTGAAATGTTGGTTTAAAAGGTCGTTTGCGAGCCACCCGAACAAGGCTTGGCACAGTCTGTTTTTCGACCCCACTTTTTTGACGCCATCGGATAGAGCATGGTCGAATTAGTGGGGCTGCATAGTTTTAAAAGCTTAAGAAGTTTAATTTGGGGGTTTGAATGGGTGTTAAAGTTGTTGACCCCAGAAATTATCTTGGAAGTTACTGAACCAAATTCGCTGAAAATTTGTGCCAATAAAAACAGTTTTTGGGGATTTTCGTTGTGAAGGGTTGTTGGCTGCGTGCTATAAATATCATAGAAAGATGCGCAAGAACGTTCTGCATCGATTGGTGTATCATTTAGCCAGAGAGAGGGAGGGAGGGAGAGTGAAGATTCGCTAAATTACTCGAATCAAAATAAATGCGAACCAATATTTCCAAAAATCAGTTTTGGCGCAAATTTTTTTTGTTTTACAATATTTTGCTCTAAAAATCCAGTTGCAATTGTTTTATGGGGCCGCATGATGATAAAAATTAAAGCCGATCAAATTCTTGCATTAAATGGAATTTTTTTGTTGACTTAAAATAATACAGTTTCCATTGTACAAAATTACAGGTTTTGGAAAGCTATGACACCTCAATTTAAGTACAAAATAGCAGAAGCAAAGGGTAAAAAAGCACAAATTCCTCGGGCCCTCCCAGCTACCGACATGACTATAAAAACATTGCAACAAGGTCATAATTCCTCTGAGCGCCTTATCAGGGTCTCTGGAAAATCGGGGCCCGGGGGAACGGTTGTAATCGGGGGCGACTACAAGGTACCCCAGGGGCCGAAGAGGTGTTTGGATCTCTGATGACACGATCGGACCAGGGGCATAAGCAGAGATATCAGGTGTTGAGGGAAGACTAGACTAAGGCTAGAGAAATTTTTGAGGTCTAAAAAGTTTCTTTTATTGTCCGTAGAATCTTGCAGTTTTTTGTTTTAAACTCAAAAAATTTTTTAAATTTGCAAAAAGTCTTTTCTGTCTTTAAATATTTTTCAAATCCGTCGTATAGTTTCAACAACGTTAAATATTTGTAATCGCTCTCAATCAAAATGTGTTGCCCCGCCCTTTCGAGGGGGCTCCAAAAATTGTGTAATACTCATAATTGTTCGTGTGCACGGAAATCTTTAGTAAAAGGCGAAAGATTTTCTCGGACAAATGCACACGAACCAGAGGTATCAGGGGGGAAGTTGGGGGGTGATAGAGCAGGACAGTGGGCCAGGCGAGGGGCGAGTGGGGGAGTGGTCAGTTGGCAGGCGCGCTCGGCAGCCAATGGTGATCTGTAGGTAATCCATGGCTAGCGAAAATTCAAAACGATGCCTTGGCCGGTCTTTAACGGCAAGTTCTGTTAGAGAATAACTACTTGCATGAAGGTCTAGTAAGAAATTTAGGGCGATACGATGAAGCCCGGAAAAAGTGGAAAAACGCCACGGCGACGTCCCGAACAGCCAAAATGTCATCGGCGAAAATTGCGACAGGCAAACACCCCGACAGCGACAATCCCGAGAGCCGGTAAAACGCCAAAATCCCGACATTAAAAATCCTGACGGCCATAATCCCCGACAGCCAGAAACATCCGGTTTTAAAATCATTTATGGGTGCAACGACCGGAAATATCACATTTTGGCTGCCGGGGATGACTGTGGCTCGATGAAAGTAATGCCAATATAAAGTCAACTCACTAGACGGCGACAACGACTCCCGAATCCTGGTCGTCCGTTCCTGACAGAAAGAGTTCAATCGGCTGAAGGCGCTGTTCAACTGCTGCTGCCCATAAACCATCAGAATTGCCGGGGGGCGGTGGCCAGACACAACTGCAGGGTTACGGTAGTCGGGGAGCCCCGCTTCCGGGGACGACTAAAAACTGAGGGGGGTGTTGAAGAAGGCGAAGAAGTGGAAATGGCAGGGATTGAAGGGAGGGGAGGGAGGGTATGCTGCCCTTGACAGCCCATTAGTGCGGAGGGCCCTTCAAAGGCATGATTGCCACCTCCTCATACCTGCCCCCATAGGGCCCACACAAGTGGCCAAGGCCAGAAGCTATAGGGCCTCTATTTTGGGAGTGAAATTCCAGGGAGCGGATCTACGATATGATGACGTTGGTGGGGAGCGTAAAAATCGAGCCTGCTTTTTAGCTTAAAGTAGGGATAACCTCAAAATCCCTACTTGCAAAATCCCGACACACAAAATCCCGACGGCCATAATCCCGAAAGCCATAATCCTGATAGCCAAAGTGTAATATTTCCAGTCGTTCACCCATAATGGTTTTAAAATCCGGGGGTTTCTGGCTGCCAGGATTTTGGATGTCGAGATTGTGGCCGTCGGGATTTTGTCTGTCGGGATTTTGAATCTTGCGATTATGACTGGAATTCCGCACACGGAAGTTCTTCGTCCTTGCAAGGTCCTTTACAGGGACCGGACAGTAGTAGCGATGCGCGCGTTGCGTGTCGAGGTGCGGTCAGCTCATTTTTGTCAGCTAGATGAGCCATAATGGTCTTAAAATTTGCCCAGTGAGCGTTAAGAGAAGTGTTTATCCAATGCGCAATAAAAATCGCGTAGTTCTCTAGCCCTTTAAACCAGAAGTATGGCTTTCTTCTGACGACCCTCTAGCGCTTTATTCTCTGGACTGAAAAGGGCATTTAAAATTTTTACTTCCGCTTTAATCACCACCCAGTCCGTTCAAGACTAAATTCGAATTAGTCGCTCTGATTCAAGCTCGAAAATTCTTGAATGCGGCTATTCCCTTTGGGGATTTCGGGTAATATCCAGTTTACACCCTCGCGTACTTTCCATTCACCAGCTTTTAAAGCTCTGTTCAGGCTGTTTGAAATTTGTAAAATCCAGTCTTTTTCGGTAAAACAACAATTTTTGAACGCTTTTGCCAGTTTCTGTCCCAATCCCGAGATTTTGAGGCATTATCTGACGTGAGTTATATAGTCAGACATCCGCTCGATACAAAACAACAAGCCGGAAAAAATTTCCCACCATTTTGGGTTGTTCGGGAGGTAAGCAAGTGCCTTGGGGTTCTTTTCTTTTTTTCTTTTCTCTTTCCTTCTTCTGAGAAGTTGGTGGCCACGAAAATACGGCTGCTCGCGGTTTATTACCTTGAGAACGTTTCCAGACAAGAGTTTGTCTATTAGCGTTTGACTTTTGTCCGGCTAAAACATGAAATAAATTTTGGCTATGAACTTGAATTGTCTGATTTTCCGCATAAAAACGCGTAGTAAGCCACAGGCCTAAGTTTGTATTTTGAGCCCGGATTTTGCGAGCATTTAAAGGCGCTAGCAAGCGCCTACAATCCACCCCCAACCGTCGACCAGGTCCAGACATCTACGAATGGCGCCAAAAGCCAGTATAACTCACTTTGATAAGCCCGAGTGCTTGAGGTTGGGACAAAAATTCAAGATATTTTGCTGTCTTTTGGATTCCTGCGCAGCTGTCTAGACCCAGTCGACGGAAGGGGTCGATTCTTGGCCCCTTCACGTCACATGGCTAGAATGTATTTGCTATTTTCGCTTATTTAAGAATCCCCAATTACCCCTAACAAAATTCTAATTCCCCGAAAAATGAGAGAACGCCTGTCCGCTTTCACCATAAGGACGACGCGCGTATTCGAATACCGTACTACTTGGAATTTGTGGGATGATTCCCTGGAATTCCGGTTCTCGGGGGGATTGGTTGGAACTATTGCTCATATTTGAGTGCCCTTTTACCTTCACGCCCCTTTTATTGGCATTGAATATCGCTGAAATTTCTTTTCAAAAAACGCGATCAGGCTGAGCGTCATAAATTCCATATTATAAGTAGAAAATAGCGTTGTTTCCGCTTGAGAAAATCTTCTAAATCCACATCGGAGGGGTGTGTTGAAAAGCTATTGAGTTTTTGATAATTTTCGAAAATTTTGAGGTTTTTTGAAGCGTGGATTGACGCGATTGACCACTCATTAAAACGTGAAAAAACTGTAGGTGAAGCTTGGCTTAGGCTTAGCTCAGGCTTAGCTGTGGTTTAGCTTAGGCCCAGCTCAGATTAAGCTCCGGCTTAACTTAGGCTTAGCTTAGGCTTAGCTTAGGCTTAGGGCTTAGGCTTAGGCTTAGGCTTAGGCTTAGGCTTAGGCTTAGGCTTAGGCTTAGGCTTAGGCTTAGGCTTAGGCTTAGGCTTGGGCTTAGGCTTTGGCTTAGGCTTTGGCTTAGCTTTGGCTCGGCTTAGTCTTCGGCTTATCTTAGCTTATGGCTAGCTAGTCTTAGGCTTCGTCTCCGGAGAATTTTCCAATAACTTCCGATTTTCATCTTGTTCGACCCTTTAAAAGGCTCAATTTTCCAGGAGATGGCCCGAAACGACGTCCTAGTTTCACCCTACTACCGCCCAGATTTGGTGCAAATTGCTACAGTAATCCCTCTTTTTGAAAGTATTTTTTATGATATTCAGATAATCGAAATGCTTTCATTGATGTGTCTGCTCATCGCTGTTAGTTTCTACCTGCGGATCGCAACTCGGCGAGAGGTAAGTTGGAGCTCTAGTATATAACATCAATTCTTTTCTTCAGTTTTGCCACCGGAACCTGCTTGTCCTGTTGCTGGGCCATCCGTGTGTTCACGTCTCGATTATGCTACTCCGAGCCCTTCGTCATTTGCTATTTTTCCTGGGATACTTGGGTCCAATAAGCTTGAAGATTATCAACTATGTATCTGATACATGTGAGTGAAAAAGTTGACCTAAAATACGATCTGATCCTAATATCAGGCAAGAAAATTAGATTAGCATATTTGATGGGGTATCGAATGGAATAAAAGTGTTAATGTACCATTAAAGAACCGGGGGGTTCAGCTTTTACGGACATGGACTCACTGTAGTTGCTTTTTGCTCAGCCCGCGGCACGCAGCGCGTCTTCGAGACGGCTACGCGGCGCGCAAAAAACGCATTCGAGAACTTTCATGGCTGTTTGTCTCGTGTCTTACTAGAGAAGCCCGAATTGACCCGGACTCAGAATTGGATCAAAATTTGCACCTAGATAGGATCGACCACGCTGATCATCACTTCGTTGCCCGAATTTGCTAATGATCTTTAAAAATCGGGATATGCCACCTTTAAAGCAACGCTAAAATCGTCAAACTTCGAGCTCGGTTATGAGCATTATTTTGATCTTCCCGGCCGACCTTGCAAAAATAAATATTGCCAGCGTATTCAGAAAATTTTTCTATTTCGAATCTCTCAAACTCAAAATTTTCGAAAACTTGAAAAATTGGAAAAATTGATGGAACTTCGATTTTTGTATGGGGAATCGTGACAAATAGCCGACTTCAAACAGCTGTAAGACGCCGTCTAGACGAAGACGACCTTTAATGAAATATACCATTCGAATTAAAAAAAATTCTCTATCAGGTAGGCGACTTAAAATATATTAGAACTTCAAAATAAAAAAAGAACGGCATCATGCAAAACACTTCTCGGGGGCCAAAATCGACACTATGCAATACCTCGAGTTTCCAAGAACAGTAGCAAATTCGGACCACGAGGTGATGATCAGCGTGGTCGATTCTATCTCTGTGCAATTTTCAGCCAATTCTGAGCCCGGGTTTATTCGGGCTCCCCCAGTTAGGTTTCGAGCCTAGTTGTCAGCACCGAGTCGACAGTAGCAGTCGGTTTCACACTTTCCAGCCTCTTTAACAATACTAAACATGTTAAAAACTGTTTTGAGGCGTCAGCACGTCGTTCGTCATCGTCCTCGGATACTCGATCGAACGCGTAGTGGCTATGTATTACGTGCATACCTATGAGACAATGTGGACGAAGCGGCCGACGCTTGGCATCGGGCTTTTTCTTTGGTCGGTAAGTATTTTGCCCCATGGAATTCATCAAACTTTTGACCCACACCAAGATCCGTTTTACAAGACGCAAGCCACTGCCTAGATAATTTGCGCTGGGTTCATCGAGGCCAAATCTCTACCAAATTAATCATGGCCTCTGACACAGCCTAAAAATTAGCGATCAAAAAGTGTGGATCAAAATTAATTTGTGTTTTGGGCCCTGCTGGACCGGTAAATGTCCCAAAATTGAAAATCTCATTAGCAAAATCTAAACTTGAAGATTTAGGGGTTGTAGCTGGCAGTAAAAATCCCAAAATTAAAATTAATTAAGTAAACTCTGAAGTCAAAACTTACAAAAAAGCAGTGAATAGTTGAGGAAAGTCAATAATGTTTAAAAATTCAAGAATTACGTCAGTTAAAGAACCAATAGCCAAGTGATACATTCCAGATTTGCTACTCCGCGTTCCTGATTGGACTTTGGCACATGGACATCCTGAAAAACGCGATGGCCTATGGCACCCAAATGGTCATGTTCGCGTTGACAACCTTGGTATTTAGCTGATTAGCCTGTAAATGCATACATTTTTAAGTTTTTCATCTACCTTCGAGTGCGTAGCGGGAGGATCTATCGGGCTGTCGCTGAGAAGAAGGATTCTACCGTGGAAGAGAGGTAGCATTTTTGAGACTTTAGGTGTCACACATAATCCATTTTTGCGTCCTTCCAAATACCTTTAAAGCCACCAGGAGGGGGCCGTGTACTAGTCCCAACGTGTACACCCTATGGACGGGACCGCCGCCGGCCGTGCTGTGACAGGGAACCCTCCTTTGCGGCGTGGGGGCTACCCCCGAGGTTGTAGCTGTGGCGACGTACCACCCGCCCCCCGGCGGGGGCGGGTCGACCCCGGCCCGAAATCTTTTTTTCCAAAAACCCCAACGCTTTAAGGGCCAGGCAAGGCCAGAATTACAATGGATTTTTTGGCTTTGGAGGCCTACTAGATCCGCCGCGGCCGCGGAACGCAACGCGGTTCGCGTGCCGCTTGCCCGGCAAAAGCCATAGCAATGTCTTGTCTGTCCCTTTAGTGCGTAATATTTAGATACCTATCCGCTCGTAACCTGAAAGCCGCGATGCTTCTGATGCGGTTGGCCCCGTTCAAATGTGTCACCAACTATTTCTCGTTCGGCATCTACTTTTGGTGCTTTGAGATGAACAGCCCGTATTATTTTCCGCTATATAGCGCTATCTATTATACGATTAGTCAATTACAGGTAATAACTACATTTTATTGACGTTAACAAGCTATATTTCTGAACTTGTTGAACTCGCCGGATGTAATGAGATAATTAATACAGTGTGAATTTAAGCAAAATTGTTTTGAACAAGGTTCGAATTCGTAATTGTTCTAACTCTAATTCTAAACCCTAATTCCAGTTGTACGCGCAGATGCTGTTGACCATCTACGGGCACGAGGTGCTGAAGGAGGAATTTATGGTGGCCCTGGGGAGGCGGACACGGAAGGAAAGAGGAGTGGTGTGTAGTGTGATGGGGCAGAAGATGATGTTCGATATCAATGAGGAGACCGAGGTGATGCTAGGGAGAGAGGGAGAGAGAGAGAGAGAGAGAGAAATATATTTCTGTAAGGTTCCTAAGCTTCCAATCTCTAAGGAACCGGTTACGCATTTAATTAGCTAATTCTCGTATTTTTCAGCTCTACCAGAAGCAATTCGAATCGGCCTGGGGCCCAGTACCGGAATCAGGCCCTAAAGGCGTTAAACAAAAATACTGGCTCTCAAATAATCGTGTTAATGTGTGATTTTTCGTGTATTGTGCAAGTTTTAAATGAAAAGATATTTATTTATTATCCTAGCCGGGTGAGGTTTAGGGGAAAGACAATCGAAAGGGGGGCAGGGAGTAAAGTTCCGGAAATTGAGACTTAGATTCGTATCGAAAATCACAGGTCGTTCGCGAGGACAGCAGGGGACGTAAACAGTGGACACAAACTACAAAATAGAGAGATACAAAACTACAGTAGATACAGACCCGTGAGGATAGACGAGGAAATACGAAAATGTTCTTACTACGAAAAGCTTTTTGAAAAAAAAGAGAAAGAATCGAAAAAAACGGGGAGCAAAAGAATCTGAGCAGTATAATTAAAGGTATAGTTAAAAAGTAGAGGTTTAGGCATAGGGTCAGGTTTAGCTTAGGGTTAGCTAAGGCTTAGCTTCGGCTTGGAGCAACTTAAAGATTCTCATGGAGCATCGATGGCCTGGATTGGAGCTTGAGCAGGGCGTCGAGAGGCGAAAATGCTTGACGGGCCATGGGCTGGGCAAGGGCTTCCTGAAAACGATCAGTTAATGAAAGAATTTGTCATAAAAAGGTTTCTAAAATTACATAAAAAGATATTATTGATCTATGGTGCGTCTACGGCACCTCTACATAGCCCCTAAAATCCACAAATCGATACCTTAATCGGCAACCTCTGCAGCAGTTGCTCAGCCGGGGGACCGTGGGCCCAGGGCCAGGCTTCGGACACGGTGTCGAGAGGATCGTCAAAAGTCCCAGATCTTCCGAGGATCTTTACCCCCTCGCGGTACACCTTCACCATGTACGGCACGAGGGATTCGTTCCACAATCGGACGAACCACGCCCTGCTCTCATCGACGTCGAGAGGGCATTGGAGGAAGAGACGGGGGCCGACCGTCATGTCCACGGAGTTCGACTGAAAATTGAGGGAATTGATAAGGTTTATTGTTTTTAATAATGCTGTTTGTCTCCCGCTCTCTCTCTCCCTCACTCACACTCTCTCTCTCTGGCTCTCTCTCTTGCTCTCTCCACTTACCCTTTCAATAAAGTCATTAACAGCCGCGAGCACCAGCGGGAAGAACGCGACGATACCGGCCATTTCCGGAGACAATGGCCGTCCCTGCCGGAACTCGGTCTCAATGCTCTTCCTCCTCAAGAATCGTCCCATAAACCCTGAGACGCCATCCATTTTGTTGGTGAGCAAGAAGATCTTGAAGCCGTGCTGAAGTTGCATTTGCATCTCGGACAGTTGGCAGGCTCGATTGATGGTGCAAATGATGAAGGGGCCCTGGAAAAGTTTGTTTAAAGGATCGTTTTAAAGAAGTAACGCTTCATGGTAATCTAGCTGCTGTAACCCCACCTGATCGGCCGGCACGTTCAAGCTGTCGAACACCGAGGAGACGAACGAGATCCTGGATTTGGGGATGTTGTCGAGGAGCACAACGGCGTCTTGTTGGCCGCGGAGTGCGGTTTCGAGGTCTTTTTCGGCTTGGACAAGCTTGTCTTTGCCCTCTTCTGGCACTCGAATGTCCACCACGGAGTCGGGGGTCTTGCCGGCACGGATGCTGAGGTATGAGCAGAGCTGGCGGGCTAGGTTGGACTTGCCGAGGCCTGGAAAGGGATAGTTTAGAGGAGAGAGAGCGAGAGCGAGCGAGAGAGAGCGAGACAGAGAGAGCGAGACAGAGAGAGCGCCGCAGAGAGAGAGAGAGAGAGAGAGAGAGAGGGAAAGCTACAAAACTCACCAGTAGCTCCCGACAACACCAGCCGCCGTTGCTGCACGACGTACTTGACCAGTTGGTCGAGCATCGCCCGCGGGAAGAGCGACTCCAAGACCAGTGAATCTACTGAATGTTGGCAAGCGCCACGCAGGAAAAGGCGGACGGTAGATGAGGAGGTGACGATTTCACTGGGGCGGGTAGAGGATTCTTTGGCTCCTTTTTCTAAAAAAAATGATAAAAATGACGAAATTTGAGTGACATACCTCGACTAAACTTTCCGATGGAGTACCCGATGACGCTGTCATGTCCGCTGAGACCGAGGGTACGTTCCGGATCGACGCGAGTGATATAGTCCTGGAATTAAAGAATTTTGGGCTGGTAAGCGTAGGCTTAGGCTCAGGCTAAGGCTTAGGCTAAGCCTAAGGCTCAGACTTATGCCTAAGCTCATGCTCAAATGAACCTACATCAAACATGGTGTAGATTTGCCCATCAACCGCTTCCCATCCTTGGTTGTGATCTGGCAAACCAAGATATCCGATCGTGATCTCGTGCTCCGGGCAGACAGCGGCTGGGATTGAACCCGATAGATCGACATTTACGACAACCTTTGACACGTTACCGCATCCGGAGGAGCCTGAAAAAATGGCTTCATTTACTATAAAGCTTGCTCAAAATCTTCATAGCTTAAAAAACGTACGTTTACTACTGCCACTCGCGCTCCGATCGCTTGGTGGCACTTCGTAGATGAGGTGCTCATCGTCGGCGGTCATCAGCGAGGAGTGGGAGGAGTTGTGGGATCTGCCGGTGTACAGTATCCTCGTCATGTCCGCTCGGAGTTGCTTGTTTTCGTTTTTGAGGCGGGAGACTGTTTCTCGGAGGACGTCGACTTCGCGCTCCATGTCGAGGGCATCGAGGCGGAACTGGAAAATGGGAAAATTAAATCTCGGAGGTCCTTAAGCTATGTAGAAACACCGGATAGGGTAGCGTATCGGACTTTTAACGACAATATGCGTTTGGCTTAGCTTAGGCTTAGCTGAAGCTTAGCTTGCGCTTAGCTGAGACTTAGCTTAGTCTTGGCCTAAGCTTAACTTAGGCTTCGCTTAGCTACGCTAGGCTCCTATCAACGTTCCAAAAACCCACATCTGTCAACACATGGTCCTTATCATCGAGCTGCTTCTTCAGATCGATAACAGCAGCAGCCGAACCAGCGGTTTCAAGGCTTAAAAACACATTAATGATACGTTAACCATCCATACTTTTGATTCGACGCACAAATCGGGTGGAGCTGGTGCATCGGAGAGCCATCCTCAAAGTTCTTCCCCTTCTTCCGGGTGAACGCCTTCGTGAAGGAGCTGCGGATCTGAAAGAAATCTTTCTTTTATAGCCCTTACTGACACCATCTCTTTAAAATTTCTTATACGATACGGCTCATCTACTATACAAACACATTACGACATGTTTCTATACCTGTGACTCCATGCCGGGCACCTTTAAAAAATGGGAATAATTAATTTTTTGATTGTCACTTACCCAGCTTTTCTTCGCCTTCGTCCCAAACGAGTTCAAGCTGCTCTTGTCGGTCTTTGAACTCTTTGAAGATGATGACATGGAAGAGCGATGGGAGGCGAGGCTTTCCATCGAGGGATGACGGAGCAGTTCACCGGCGCCTTCCTGGAATTGAGGGTTGAAGCGGATGCGGATGCGCTGGGAGCTGGGAGCTAGGAGCTAGAGTTTTAAAGGTTTGCTAAATTAAATCTCGGATTTAGCGTCCAGGAGTCAGGCCCTTGGAGCTAGGATCAAAGGCTTCGAAGCGACTTGCGATGGAAACTTGGAGCGAGAAGCTAGGAGCTAGGAGCTGAAAGTTAGGGACTCTGAGGCGAAAAACTTATGAGCTAGGGATTCCGTTCGAAAGCTCTAAAGCATGGAGATAGAGCCAGGCAAAAAGCTAGGAAGGTGGAGCTAGGAGCCAAAATCTAAGAGCTAGAGGCTAGGGACTAGGGAGCTCGGCTGGGAACTGGAAGCTGGGAGTCAATTGGTATATATAAATTTAACGAACCTTCTTCGCTTCGGAAGCCAATCGGGCGCTGAGGCTGCGGACCTGGTCAATCTCTTTGCGTAGCTTGGAGACTTCATCCGGCTGAAATTTATTGCAATTAAATTTGTCAAAACCACGTCAAGGCGCCTCAATTATCTAACTCGTAAATTGAGCAAAAAAACTGCTATTCATATATTTTGGTAAATTTTCCGACCTTAAATCCCATTTTCCACGACTTTTCCGCCTAATTCCTGACCCCGAAAGTTGAGAAATTCCCCCGTTTGATGCGGTGCCAGCCCCCGATTTCGCGATGGGTGCCAGAATTCAGGGTGCCTCGATTGGTGGGGGTTGATGGATGTGCCCTCTGGGGGTGCTGCCTCGACCCATTTCCGCCAATTTGGCCCCATTTGTTTCGCGCTCTCATAAAGTCCGATGGCAGAGGGGGAGTCGCCTGCATAATTCCCGCATCACCCCCACACATCCAATAAGTCGGGCTGGCAGCAAGAGGGCATGGCCGTCAAGAGGAAAGTGCGGAATCGGGAGTTAGGCTTAGGCTCGACTTGGGCTTAGGACATCCGTAAACTTCTAAGCCATCAAATAGGATATGCTCAGGCTTAGACTTAGTGGGGCTCGAGCTCGGTCCGAGGCTTCGGCTTAGGCAGGCAGGAACACGTTAGGCTTAGGCTTCCGCATCGACTCGGATTAAGCTTAAGGTAAGCTTAAGATTAGACTTCGCATGTGCTTAGCCTCAGGCTTAGGCTTAACGGAGGCTCAAGCTGTGCTTAGGCTTACTTTTAAGCCCAGGCTACAGACTACTTCGGTTTCGGTTTTTATGCCTATGCGTAGCTTACGCGCTTAAGTTTAGGCACAGAGAGATGAATTTTGCGTCCTTTCTACCGTAACTTTCGTTCTAAAACCCACCTTCAACTGTGCCTTTTCCATCTTTTGTGCCATATGTGACAGTCGCTGATCCACAGTATCCGCCATCACCCCGTAGTCCTCGTGCTTCTTCGCCAACTTGTTCACGGTCTGCCGATAGCCTTCCAATTCTCTGTTCAACTTCCTCAGCTCGGCCTCATAGCGCTCGGACAGGCTACCGTAGGCGGTGGAGGAGGCCACGGAATTTGTTGAACCCCGGAAATCACCGGAGTTTTTGTCGAGACCACGATGGGAGGGGGAGCTGAAAAATTCGCGTTTTAAATTTTTGTGAATCCAATTTTATCTCTCTTTTGCTCTCTCTCTCTCTCTCTCTCTCTCACTCTCTCTCTCTCTCTCCCTCTCTCCGAGTTTCAAAAACATACACAGACACCTCATCGTTGAAACGCTGGAAGGCGTAGCCGGGGCTCTGGTAATTTGCATAGACGGCTTCGGGGGTTCTTCGGCTGAGAGAGCCTAGAAAAATCTTGATACTCCGAAAGTAATCTAGATAATGTAGACAGGCTAATTGAATTCAAGCTTGGACAGCAAACGATTAGTCAAAAATGGATATATTTTTAGAAATTAACATAAAATCCAATCCCTGCTTTTTCATATCTATTAAAGGGACAAGTAAGGCATGGTCATGGATTTTTGGCTATCGATTGATCCCGCCAAAATCAAGAGATTGCAATCGATTACGCAATGGAAAGTTGCGTAATCCAGCTTCTTCAATCCATTTAAATAAGGCCTTTATTTTCAGATTACAAATTTTCAGTCCATGGCCATAAATCCACACTGCCTTGCTCGTTCCTTTAAAATCAAAATAAGACAGCCCAAGCATAGGAAAAGTTAGAAAAATCATCAGAAGCGGACCCTTGTGCGGTGAGGCGACGGATAGGGGTAGACGCGCTGATCTCGGGCTCGAACGTGCCGATCTGGCAGCCGATCTTTGCTGTGAGGATGAGGTGGATGAAGTTGGTGCTCCGATGACCGTCTGGGAGTCGGTGGGGCCGCCGGCTCTCCGGTGAGTGCGAGGCGAGCCGGCGTAGAGCACCATCGAGCGGGACATGCCGTTGGAGGAGAGTTGGCTGAGGGCTGGAAAGTGCGCAAGCTTGCTGGGGGATATCTTTCTCTCTCTCTCTCTCTCTCTCTCTCTCTCTCTCTCTCTCTCGTTTTCTCGTTTTCTAGTTCGTAGCCGGGGTGGTATAAGCTCAGGGTTGTTGAGGTGAGTAAACATATATAAATTTTTTGCCCAAAAATATTTTTTCTGTCGAGATGTTACTGTAGCTTTAGGTACGCTATTTTTAGCAAATTTTTACGAGGCTATACAGAAAATTAAATTTATATTAACTATCAAAAAAATCCCGCCACCGCGTGCACCCGAAATTCCGGGTAAGTTGAAAGTTAGAGCAACCGCAATACCGAAAAAATGCCCAAGCATATTAGGGGGCATACATAGCAATTCTGAAGTAGAAAAATTAAAAAAATATACCGGAAACGCTGTGCCGATTGTGCGAAGACTGGTCCTGTGGATGTCTTCGCGGCGAGACCAAGGCCATAGCCGCGCGCTGGTCAAGGTGGCTGATGCTGGAAAAGGGAAAAGTTGGCCAGAACTCGCCCAAAACAGCGTCAATTTTGCTCTTTAAAAATGTTAAAATGTTCTACTCGTCGAGATCTACCGAATAGCGTATCTTAAAAGAACTCAAACCCTTCAAATCAAAAGTTATGAGGCTTGAAACGTTTTTCATGGTCTTCAAAAATATTTTAGCCGCTGTATTTTTGCAATTGTAAATTTTGGCAGTTTGAAATTTTGTAAAATGTAGCGCTCAATTTTGTAAATTTCCAGGCTACAGAATGAACTAAAAACGGGTAAATCTGGTGGTTTACGAGTCGATACAGTCTAAAAACTCTAAAACCAACCCGTGAGGTGATCCCTCCCTGTAGCCCTTGTCGTAGATATCGCCCAGATGATACTTCCGGTCCAGCGAGTGATAGCCGTTGGAGAGGATACCTGGAAAGCAATGTTTTACAGGGCTCTTTGAAGTTGAAGTCCAGGTCGAGTGTGGAAACTTTCTGCCGCTGACCTTGCCGATCCTGTCGCTTCTGGGAGATGCGGAGTGATGCACGGGCCTGTACGGACAGGGTTTCACCGTCCGGGGACAATGATAGATGGGGTACGCCCGAGATGGTGTTGTACTGCTGGAACTGAAATGGGAAATAAATTTTCTAAGGAATTTGTCGAAAGTTATGTACAAAGTACATGACTTACGAGGTTTATTTGGTCTGTGGGGGCGGGCGGCCTTTCCCCGGGGGTCCCGCAGCGACCCTACTACGGTAGGTAAATCGCTCGGCCTAGGCTCTCCCCGCATTTCGGGCCACTTCTTCCCTTTCCCAAGGGAGTCGTTGCCGCCGGTCATATCTATGGCCGGTCGGGGATTGAATAGGAGCTGTGTGGCGGTTCATCTGCCCATAGCGACCTGTTAACCGGAAGGTGATTCCCATCCCCGTAGATCCACCATCTGTCTTACAACCAGAGCTCTTTTCGCCCCCACTCGTATTACCTCCAGGTTCCCTGGCCTTGTGTATTTCCTCACGGTGTTTCTTTCTATGTATTCTACTAATAAACCATTCTTATCTATTCGTCTCTATTAGTGGTAATCGCATTGGATCTTATTCATGGTCTGCAGGTGTCTTCTTCTTGGCATATATTAGTCTTACAGACCTCCACTGACCCGACACCCGTGTATAGGGAAGTGTGAAGGGTCGTAGGAGGAATAGGTGGCAAATCCCTCGCGTGGGCATTATTGGGATTTATTCCTAATGGTGCGGGATTGCTATTCCTTTTCGACATGGTGCGTTGGCCGTTGAGATAGAACCCAGGTCAAGATCCAGTGCTTTTACTTTCTCTTTATCCATTTTTTCCTATAATTATGGTTTTATTATTGTCCTCTTCTCTAATCTTTTTTAGAGCATCACAAACAGACATACAGAGAACACCGTGAACATTGAAACCTCGGTTTCACAGACCACCAGCTGCTTTATTGCCATCGATCAATGGCAATTTTCCAGTCGTCGAGACGCCCACGGCGGACGCTGGACCTCCCAGAAACAGTTTCAACGCCCAGCATCTAGCGCAGATGCACTCTTCAGCGCCAAGCACCCCGCGAACCCAAGAGGTACTGGCACTTAAATCCCTGGGTGCACGACTGGCCATCAGCTTATGGTCAATGTGCTTGATTGCGGTACGGGTTAGAGTTAGTCTCAACCCCACGCGGTGCTTCAGCTTGAGGGTGAGCGGGCGAAGAGGGGATAGATAACCAGTTTCTCCGAGAGCGGCGTGAATGTGAACCAGGTCTCCAGCTACAAGATGCCACCCAGACATCGTCGACAAATGTTTGGAGAACCCGGAGGCAAGACGAGAAGGAGCGGAGAAGCTTTTGGCGGAAGAAGAATGGCGATGATCTGCGCGATGTGGAAAAACAGTCCGGCGAAGCAGGAAACTTGGCGCAGCCAAGCCAGATCACGCTCCTTTACCCCCAGACCAGCCGCCAATTCATTTTTAGGTTTCCAGTCGGCCGGCATCGATGCCCGAAGGAAGGAAGGCCTGTTCAAAACAGTTCAATCCGTGTTTCGATGCGTTGGAAGGATGTGGCGCGCAATCCAGTGGCTCGCGACAAGACATGTGGACCGAGCTGCCGCCTTTCTCACACACAGAACACCGGTAACGATTTTCAATTTTCGGAAGGTTGCTATTAATCGATTGCCGTCGCAGCTATTGATTTTTTGGCGCCGGAAGAAAGTTGTTAATCGATTTTTGAACCAGTTTCGACTTTTTTCGAGGTGTTTGCGCGCCAGCGGCCTTGGGAAAGTCGTTGGCACGCTTTCGCTGTTCCCAGTCCATCAATTTAGGACAAAAAATTCTCCCACCCTTTTTGATCTGAGTTTTTTCTAGGCTTCGGCCATTTTTCCAGGTTCTGCCGCTCAAGATTGCTGCCAAACAGTCGACAAGAATGGATTGGCGCGCAAAGAGGGCGTTCGCCGTCCTCCCCGCCCTACCAACAGTCAAGATTGCAGCATCGAATGGCCCATCCACGAAGAAAACACTCAGATCTTCGCTCCAGAAACACTACACAGAACTACTACAGACACAAGGAGCTTTTTAGCCGCGCAAATTCGTTTTGCAAGGCTCACAGTTTCATCTTTTACGCGCATTACAAACAGCCCTTCACGTTTCTTCACTCCAGCCAGCTGAAGCATCGAAGAAAGAAGAAATCATCATCGCTGGCGCAGTTGCAGGAAGGAAGCGGCGTTCAACGACAGCGAGGCGATGAGATGGGCGTTGGCAGCAACAACACGAAGATGGACGAAGCAAAAGCAAAAGGTACGAGTTTTTTGGAAGGCTTTACCGCCGAGCTTAGGTGAAAGAGTTGTAGAGAACAGCTTGCTGTTTATCTATGATTCTGGATCCTAAAAGCTCTCGTTTGTAAGAGAATGTACGAGTTTATTTCGCTAACATTCTCGAACATTCGTTTCCGAAAACTCTTGCCATTTCGCTGCTGCGTGCTTTACATCCAGACCGCCACGCCGATCGTCTCTTGCCGTGATCCAGCATCACGAAAAGAAGAAACAAACAGATCTTCGTTTCTTTTTGTATTCACACCAGAAAGGAGTTTTCTTTTTTGCGGCGTCACTGCCTTTCCCAAAATTCACATACAGTCTCGTCCATCGCACGTTGTCCAGCTCGAACGCCTCGTGTTCCGGTTGCAGCCGGACGTAAGAAGTTACTACGGTCGACAAGCATGGAGATCAAGAAGCTCAGCCCGCCGCAGAAGGAAGAAGAGCCTCGCTGGCTACAGTTTACAATCAGAAAAAATTTGTAGAATGAATTTCACTTGGTGATTTTCATTTTGCACAGATCTTCGCCCCTTTTAATGCCCACCACAGTTCTCCATCGACGGACAATCGCGAGGAATCGTTGGCGATTGCGCGCCTTTCGCAGGTTTCCTTCCTGCGTTGGCATTAGCAATTGCCTCGAAACCAGCGTAATAAAGCACAGAACGGAGGATTGTTGCTTCTTTATCCAGGCCTTCCCTTCAGCGAACGTGGATGTTTTCAACTACAGCCACCCCAAGAAGCAGCGTTTTCATCTACACACAGCTGCTGCGGAAAGCCAGGAAGAAGCCCCGCGTTTCGAAGACAATGAAGCCAGCTTCGGCTTGGTTTCACAGGACGCTTTCAAGAAGTGAAACTCTACGCACCCCCCTTTCCCAGTCGTCAAGCATTTGAAGACAAACAGTGCCGTTACGTTGCGAGATGAAAAGCGAAGTCTTTTACAGAGTTCAATTCCTTTTTCAGGCTTTCGGTACGCGCCCTCCTCTCAGCTTTTTGCATGCTGTTGGTGTGTGTTACCGATCAAGCCCAGGACGCCGTCGTTACAAGAAAGGATGCAGCTCGCCTCGCACGTGATGCCACACCAGCCTTGGGAAAGCTATTACACACAGATCGCCTTTTTTCTTCGGCGTAACCCGCCACTTCCACAACCAGTCCGACTTTGAACCGTCGCGTTGGCGTCATGGTTCTTTGTCAAAATTTTTCTTTTGTATCACACACAGATTGCCTTGAAAAATATTTTGTTTACATCCAGATCTTCATTTTCCCATGCCAGTTCTACACTTCAACATCGACATCTGTCACGCCCGCCGGATCGCTGAAAAATTGCGTGACGCACGGTTTGACAGTATGTCGTTTCTCGTCTTCCGGGCACCTCAGACCTGCAGTGGCGAGGCTTGATACACATACAGTTCTGCCGTCCAACACCGAATCTACAGCACACCGGGCCTTAATATAGTCCAAAGGACCAGATATAACTCTGGAATCTGAGGCTATTCTCGCCTGCAACGTTTTTATAGCGTTCGAAATTGGACACAGAGCTTTTTGTTTCAAGTCTTACCTACAGCTTTGCGTTTCCGTTGGCCAACTACCAGGCCCCAGTTCATCAAGCGGCTCATAGAGCGGCGAAATTTGGCATTCCTGACCACGTGAGTCAGATGTCAAATCCACAGACGCCTGGAGCAGGAGCGAGTGAGTGGTGGGAGTTTTCTCTCGCCCTCCCCTCCCCGCCAACGTTTACACACAGCTACTGCAATGGTCTTTCCCTGCCTACACCCAGTTCTCCAATTTTTTGTGCCCACCTTCAGAAACGGTTTCTTCACTGCCGTGGTTGCTGCTGCCCCAAGTACTCAAGCTCTGCACAAGTTGGTCAAGCTCGTCATCAAGCCCGCCCCTCTTGGTCAAGCACTTCCTCAAGCCGGTCAAGCTCGACATCAAACACTTCAAGTCAAGGACGACAAGTCGATCAAGAGCCATGCCGTGCCCACGTCTCCATCCTGCAAGCAGTAACCAAGTACGTGTCGTCCCCCAGCTTTCCGATAGGAGTACGGGCTCCTTAGCGTCGGTTAGCTTCCCCCTCCCTCATTTTGTCTCCTTGAGCCCCAGCCCCTAGGACCTAACCTATTTTTCGGCCCCTCCCGCCCCAGAAAGCGCCGTGATACCTTATACCCAGCCCAGCCCTACCCCTCCACTTTACTTTGTGCGGTAGAGCTCTAACCTCCACCTATCTTTATCTCGGGTATAGGTCTCACCACCTTTTTCGTCGGGGCCCAGGTCCCACCACTCTCTCCCTGCATTCCAAGTATCCTCACGCCTTCCACCCAACACTAGACTGGACCAGGTATCCGTATCGCCCAAGTTGTGACCACCACCCTCGTGCGATCAATGTAAGCACAACCCAGTCCTTCCCTGGTCCAGACCCTAGTAGCCCCTGAAGCCTCGCGGCTGACGGGCCTCGACAAGGCGCGACCTCTCGGCTTCTTGTGGGCCGGGAGTGTCGAAAGTTATGTACAAAGTACATGACTTACGAGGTTTATTTGGTCTGTGGGGGCGGGCGGCCTTTCCCCGGGGGTCCCGCAGCGACCCTACTACGGTAGGTAAATCGCTCGGCCTAGGCTCTCCCCGCATTTCGGGCCACTTCTTCCCTTTCCCAAGGGAGTCGTTGCCGCCGGTCATATCTATGGCCGGTCGGGGATTGAATAGGAGCTGTGTGGCGGTTCATCTGCCCATAGCGACCTGTTAACCGGAAGGTGATTCCCATCCCCGTAGATCCACCATCTGTCTTACAACCAGAGCTCTTTTCGCCCCCACTCGTATTACCTCCAGGTTCCCTGGCCTTGTGTATTTCCTCACGGTGTTTCTTTCTATGTATTCTACTAATAAACCATTCTTATCTATTCGTCTCTATTAGTGGTAATCGCATGGGATCTTATTCATGGTCTGCAGGTGTCTTCTTCTTGGCATATATTAGTCTTACAGACCTCCACTGACCCGACACCCGTGTATAGGGAAGTGTGAAGGGTCGTAGGAGGAATAGGTGGCAAATCCCTCGCGTGGGCATTATTGGGATTTATTCCTAATGGTGCGGGATTGCTATTCCTTTTCGACAGAATTAAACATAGAAAATTCAAAAATTTTCCTGAGGCAATCAAACGTTTTGAGTAGATTTGAAAGGCTTAGGTTCAGACTTACGCTTGGGCTTAGACTTAGGCTCTCGTTTAGGCCTTAGAATGGCTTGGAAAATCGACCAGGCATAGACTTATTATCTTTAACCTTTGGCTAGTCTTAAATTGTCGAATTACCCCAAAATATCGTTTCATGAAAAGCCAAAAACTAGACCCGGAAGAAGTCGAAAAAATACAATCTTCCCAAGCCCAAAAAATTCTCAAAAACGCGGAAAAAATTCAGGAAAAGTGGCAGCAACGCAAGTGGGTGCTTTAGCCAACGGGGTATTATTTATGCAGAGGGTGGCTGGCAGTAAGAATACCTATTTGGCCGCCCATAGGCGCATTTTGCAAGGCGCGCACGCGGCTGTTGCCTTTGGGTTGAGGGAGGGGATAAGGGGACACCACACCAAAACAAACAGGAAGAGGCCTTTATTAGACGGAGACCCGTACACTACACACCTCCGTACACAACTAGTGAGAGAGAGAGAGAGGCTGGGGCACCCATTCATCAACACCCGCCAAAAATCCGGCCATTATCTTGTCGGTTAGGGCCAACATTTCCGGGGCCCTAACGGGGTTAATTTGAGGCCAGAGAGGGGGCAAGCGAGAGACAGAGAGAGAGAGAGGGGGGGGAGAGAGAGAAAGTAAAATTTTTGGAATGAAGCCAATATTCCAAAAAGGCCCAAATAAGGCAAAAATTTCAGAAGCTAGGCGTCAGGAGGTAGCTCAGCTTAAGCTAAAACCTAGAAGCTCAAAAGCCAGCAGCTTCAACAGAAGCCAAGCAACCCAATTTGGCTAAAATCCTGGAAGTGGTGTGGTCTTGAAGGGGGCCCATCTCGAAGGGGCCACCCCCCTGAAGAACCCTGTATAATTCATGAGTCGGCGCGGTCGGGGCCCTAAGAGAATCCACAATTCGGGTGCCCAAATTTGGGCTCTAATGCGCGTGGGTCGAAACCAGGGATGGGCTTAAGCTTGGCTTAGCTTAGATTCGGTTTAGTCGCAAGCTTACGAGTACCCAATACACCAACTCAAAAATTTTCCTCACCTGAGGCTGGCAAGCCGCTCCCCGTTGGCTGGTTTTGCATTGTTGCAACAACTGCTGGATCGAATTCTGGTCGTGGTGAAGTCGGCGTTCTCCAACAGCTGATGAAGATGAGCGGATGCCACCTGAAAGTCCAGTTTAAGCTTGGTTTTGGGCTTAGGCTTAGACTTCGGCTTGGCTTCAAGATTGGGGTTAAGCTTGAGTTCAAGACCAACTAACCTTTCCCACTGCTCCTCACAAAATGGCCATAGTCGCCAAGTTTGCCGTAGGCGGCCGTGACGGCGGTCATCGCGTGATCCGACAATGAGCTGAAATATATGGGTTTAAAGGGGTTGTAAAGAGAAAAAATCGAGCCGCGCTTCCGACTAGATCTAAACAACTACGAGGTTCCGGGGGGCTACGTAATCTAGACCTAGACGAAAGAAAGGGTAGGTTTTTCAGCTTATCTGTGCCTATAAAGAAATAGTAGCGGTACGGCTATGATGATACAGCTTTTTCGATGAGCGCGTCAAGAAATAGAGTTCAGGAATCCTAGCTGGACGCCGGGGTGAATAGCCCGAGGCTATAGGATTTAGGCGCCGCCGAGGTGCGTACAAAGGAGCGCGCGAAATTTTGTGGAAAATCCCGAAAGCCGAGCTCCTAGGGTCGAAAAAGTTTAGCGAAGAAAAAAAGTACTAAAAATGTAAAGAATACTTAAAACATATTTATGCAAATTAGGAAATTTTTAATTAGCAAGGAAAGAAAGGGTTTTGCTAATTTTTGATCGCGAAATGATAATTTTTAGCGAATTCTATGGCTTAATTCCTCAAGAAACAGCGCTCGCTAGCCCATTAGAAATTTTGATCGCGAAAAATGCCCTAAAAATCGCATAAAAGTTCTGCCAGCCGAAAAAGAAAATTTTTTGAAAAACTACTAGCTTTGCTTTGGCATGTTTTTACACGTTTCCTAGACACAGAATTCCCCAAGGAACACTTCTAGCCTGCAACCGAACGAAAATCTAAAAATAACCCTGAATAAAATATCCCAAACCTTAGCCGACCCTTTGAGAGGGTTGACTGTATACAGGTCAGGCGGTAACATCAAAAGGCGGTTCCCGGGGAGAGACGATGGATTCACTGCCTTTTTCTCTCTTTCTAGAACTCTCTAGGGTTTCCCGCTCTCTCGCCTACAGATTCCGTTCCATTCCCCCGGACAGTACCCATAAATCAAAACAACGAATCGACGGCAGGGGGAGCCGGAGGGGCAGGAGGAGCAAGGGGAGTGTTGCCGCTGGGAAACACGGCCTATTAATGGTGGAAGAGAGAGGGAGAGAAAGAGAGAGAGAGAGACGAGGGAGAGAGAGAGACAGAAACGAGGGAGTGAGAGAGCAAGAAGATTCTAATCTGACTCTCACACCCTCGAAATGTCGGTTTTTTTCTAGGTAAGGTCAATCAAATTTAACAAAATTTGGCATTTTGAGAGCAAAAACCCTGTCGAAATTAGGCTACAACACACGCCACATCTGGTTGTACTACGTACTTGTGCCAGCCCTGGCAAAACAAGACTTCCAGGCCGGAGAGAGAGAGAGAGAGCAAGAGTGGGAGAGAGTGAGAGAGAATATTTTTCATGGCCATTCGAGGTCCCAGTTTGCTCGGCGTTGACGAAAAAATTGCTGGCCTGACATGCTAAGTAGGTAGGGATTCTTGTCAGCTCCTCGGGTATGGAAAAACCTCCCATAAAATCCTAATTTTCGCTTTATAGCTTTTATAGAATATCTTTGGAATGAACATAGCAAGAAAGCATGCAAAAACTCGTTAAAATCGCCTCAAAACACGGTAATTTACATAAACTGGGATCCAAGACTTTTACCAGCAACAATCCAAAGTACAAGGTACCTTTAGTTCATAAGATTTATTGGGGGCTCGAGCTCCGCTTAAAGCTTATTCAAATACACAATAGACTCGATCGAAAACCACCAAAATTGGCACAGAAAATGAACGCCAGACCTGTTAAACCTAAAACCGACCTCAAGGTAACAAAAATTCGTCAAAATCGAGTCAAACCCCAAAATTTGCATCGAAAATAAAGGCCCAGACTTGTTGCGCCCCTAAACCCACTCGATAAGTGGGACGCGGACCAAGGTGCTTTGCCGTGGTAGTGGTGCTAGGGGGGCTGGTTGGTGTGTTCGGGGAGCTAATTGGTGTGCCCCCTAGCGACCCGATGGTGGGGCCCTGGGGGCCCACCATGGGGCCCACCATGGCCCCTCCTCCCCGTATCCCGGGGAGCAGTTGGTTGAGTGATGGGCCCCGGGGGTCGAGTAAATACCCAATTGCGCAATTCGTCCGTCCCTAATTCGGGCTAGGGGGTCCTGGGTGGGGGGAAATGCGCGAAAAATTGAAGGGGAAGGGTGGAGGGTGGAACTAGTTGATGGATTGGTGGGGTTGAGTCAAGGGTCTGGATATTAGGAAATCAAGTGGTTTTGCAAGCTTAGAAGATTAAGTTTTATCGAAAAATCTACTTTTAAAGGGGATAGGAAGTGCAAAAAATCGACCCATTAAGTCGACTAGGTCTAGACAACAACGCGAATACTTCCGATTAAATTACAGTCTTCCGACTAAATATACCCTAAGATTTACGAGGTTAGATTACGAATTACTCACTCGCTTTGCCTATAGGTGTATCTCGTAGCTGTCTAGGCCTAGCCAACGGAAAAGGTCGATTTTGACTTTTTGACAAGTCAGACCGATCAGTTACTGCCTTAAATCCGTGAAGCTAAGATTGACGATTTTGTTTAGCCATTTAAAGGGCACTTGAAGCCAGGAAAAATCACCTAGCCGAGACGTCGTCCGTGGAGATGTCCTCGAAATTCTCGGAGATGCCGCTCGACACGGATGAGCTGTCCTCGAAGCTGGAATAAAGAATTTAATAAGGTTTTATATAAATTTTCGCGCGTTTCTAAGGACATTTCCAAGTGGCACTGTGCCTTTAAGGAATGTAAATCACGAAATTGGTGAAAAATGGATAAAAATCGTTAGAAAAAATGAAAATAGAGGTTTATGGATGGAAATGGAGTTATTGGCTATGGATACCAAGTAAATCAAAAACAAAAATTGTTTTTACTTTACTACAGCGTGTTAAAGGGTCTGGGAAAGATAAGAATCGACCCGTCCCGTCCACTAGGCCTCGACAGTTACATACCAGTCCAAAAATTAGCAATAATGCCTTACACGGCCCGTTAAAGTCGCTAAACCCATACCCAAAGTTCCCATACCCAACCCATCAAAAAGTTAGACCCTGCAGAAGAAACGCGTTGTCAAGAGGGTGTAGCCCCCCGAGGGGCATGCGATAAAATGTGAAGGCATGAAGGCGATGGCGGGTATTGGCCAAGGCTGGGAATCAAGGCCATATTCCTGTCTTATAGCGCTTTTTCCGGGGCTTTCCTATCCACACCTACAGACAGAGAGTCTGTGTTGGGAAGCAGAAAAAGTTTCACGAGCACGCCCTCTTGCTCACACACACGCAAATGAGGTGCGTGCCCCCCTGCGGCCGGGGGGAAATCGCGTTATGAGGTGCCCCCCACCCCCGGGCGATGGGAAATGGTATGGCATTGTCGGTTTGTCTGTATGTATGTCTGTCTGTCTCTCTGTCTGTCTGTCTGTTTGTCTGTCTGTTTATCGGTTTCTGCCAAGGACGTGAAATAGGGATGGGAAGTTCTGGCAAAAGGTTTGTATAAGTTTTTAGGAATGAATTTGTTGTAAAATCCGTGATTTCAACTTCTAGAAAAATTTACTATGGTTTTCAGAGCAAAAATGCTTCTGAATTTCACTGGTCTAACCCAAATTAACTGAAAAATATGCTATGCCTGAACTCCAGATATGCTAGTTTCGATGTCAAAATTGGCATTTATTGAGCGTCAAAATCCGAAAAAAGCAAAGTTTCGCAGAATCCGGTTTTACGATTTTTCAATATGAAATTCATTCAGGATATATGAAATAAATTAAAATTTTTAGTTATTTTTGGTTAAAGTTTATTTGATGCATTCAAGATTTTTACGGCTCAGAATCAACCCTTTTCGCCTGCTAGGTCTCGACAGCTATGCAAAATGTAAAAATGACTGTCAAATTAATTTCGAGCTTGGAATTAACGTCAAATTTAAATAACCTATTATGCGTTTTTTAGCGTCACTGGTTGTTGTCGAGACCTAGTCCACAGAGAGGTAGATTTTCGAACCTTCCCAGTCCCTTTCAAAACTCAAAAAAGCTGGCGAGGCTTATCAAAAGGACAAAAACAACCGAAAATATTCTGCCTTGCCTTCAACGCTCCTTTAATCCATAGCCGGCGGCCAAAAGTGTGAAATCTTATGCATGGAGTGACTGCTGGCATGGCCATATGTGTTTGCTTTCTAGAGCGAGAGACCAAGCGAGGGTGGTGGCTCTCCATTTTCGGCTTTGGGGGCTTGGATTTCGTCTCTTGCCCGGGGTCGAGACACGGAACAAATGCCCACCCCCAAAACATACAATTTTCGCGCATTCACACCCAATAGCTCGGGGGGATTGGGGTCACGCCAGGGTGAGAAAACAAAATGAAAAAAAGATCGGAAGGGGTTATTTGAAGGGACTGTGCTAGCAGAGATCGAAAAATAGCAAATTTCTGGTGTCACAAGTCCCTTTAAACCTTGATAAAGGGTTTTAAAATCCAAAAAATAGCAGTAAAAATTGCCATACAAAATTACAAACTACACAAAAATCCTAAAATCAAAAATTTAAATGAATAAAACCCTGTAAAAACTGCTCCACTCTAAAAAGTATCCAGCTAGTGAGGGGTTTGTTAGGCGAACCAATAAATATGAGGGGGCTGACTGGGGCTAGCTGTCAACTGGAGTCCCTCATACCTAGCCTCCAGGTCAAGGGGCAATCGAGTGACATGGGGGCATACGGTAACCCTAGGTTTTCGGCAAATATCAAATAGGCCTGGGGGCTCATTAGGGAATCTGGATTAGCATAAAATGAGGACCAAAACGTGGCTAGATCCCGCTTTAAAGGCATGGAAATGGTTTTTTTTGGGCCATAGATTCTTTTAAGGAAATTCTGGTGCGTCCGTACGCAACGAGAAGACAGATAACAAGAGAGAAATCAAAATTTAGAAAGCCGATAGACACTTTCCAAGCCGAATTGAGGAAATGGCACACCCCTCGTCGCCCAAATCTACCTACAGTACACAGAGACGCGCGGGCGCGCTGGGGCGCCGTGCGGAAGATGCGCCGAAATGATCGGCTTACCCCAGCGCCCTCCTCCCCCCAAATATGGCCAGGTGGCCTTCCCTCAAAATCCAGTCCAATCGAATTCCCCTCCATCTGCTATATAGTGGAAAAAGATTGGGGCGCACTCACTTTTTGGCCGGGGCCGGAGGGCCCGCGATTTTTTGGAGGTCCGGAAAAAGGTGCGGAAAAGCTAGGGGTGAGCCTGGGGCACGAAATTTGATTCCGGCGACTTTTTGGCGGGGCAAGCAGGGCCAGCGGGGCCGGATATGCAAAGTGCGTGGTGTGGGGCCAAAACCGGGTCGAAAAAGCTTTCGTAAAAGTTAAAAAAATGCGAATTTTGGAAGTAAAAACGCTTGAAATCGTTGCGCTACGCTATGCTACGCTGCGTTGGATTACACTACGCTACGCGGCTTTACAATGAATTTCGTCAGATGACGTTATATACGTCCGCAAAATTACGTTAATAGGCGCTGACCCTTTGAGATATGAGACACTACGCACGCGGCACTACGTCCGATGATAAGGCTAAGCTACGCTACGTTAGACGACGTGATTCAACAAGGCGACACGCTATTAAGGTGACGCCGTGTACGATCGCGCTACGCTACACTACGCTACGATACGCTAAGCTACGCCACGTAACATTACGATTTGACAATGGAAAATGTTGATCAAAAGAACTCAAAAAGTTTTGTCGGATGGCTATCGCGCAGTATTCCGCATCAAATTTGACGGGGCTATTCCGATATATTATTTGGGAGAACGGGGGAGAGACGCGCGCGAACGCCTGCTCAAATATGCACGCCCAGGGGTCCGAGCGCCGCCGATACGCGCAGATTTTAGCACCTCGGGGCACGGGTACGCTAGCCGAGGCGAATATTCTGTTATGCGCCAAATTACGGATGTGCAATACGCGAAAAAAATCATTACTATTACTACCAATTACTAAAAATAGCCAAAATAAGCCCGTGCGATGCCGGTTAAAATCTGTTTCGTGAGGCTCCAGCATACAGAGAGAAAGAGAGATAGAGAGAGAGAGAGAGAGAGAGAGAGAGAGAGAGAGAGGAGAAGAGAGGGGGTGATAGAGGAACTAGCGTAAAAATTGTCACTTTGGCTTGTCCTGACCATGGGGCGGCCGATCAAAAAGCTCGTAGGTATCAATTTTCTAGGCGGTAGCAGCCCGGGGTCAGCTGGCCGGAAGTTGAGGGGAGTGCTTGGTCAGGCTGGGAGGTAATGGAGGTAAGTGTTAGCTTACAATTAAGTCTAGGTTTAGGCTTGGGCTTAGACTTAGGCTTCGTCTTTGTCTTAGGGTTTGGCTTGGTATCCGGCTTGGTTTTGGGCTTAGACTTAGGCTTAGGCTTACGCTTAGGCCTAGGCTTAGGCTTAGGCCTAACCTAACATGCTCAACTCCATACCGCTTTAAAACTACAACAAATCCAAAAAATCCAAAAAATCCAAACTTACGTCGATGGCAAATACAACGACCTCGTGAGCAGCGATTTATAATCCATAGTCTATTTAAGGTATCCTCCGAATTAGCTGACCATCGTAGTAGTGCCCAATTCAGGGCCCCCGGAGTTGCAGAATGAAATATTTGGACACTCGAAAATGCGGCGCGTGGGGGGTCCGCCGACTCCGCTTCACTCCCAAATACGCTACACGCTCAGGGGGGTGGAGGGGGAACAATGGCGCCCTTTCACGGAGTTGGCCATTCCACGCGGGACCCAAAAGGAGCGCGGAAAAGGCCAAAATATTAGACTTTTGGCGTGGAGAAAGGAAGCTATAGGGGAAGGAGGAGGTGAAGAAAGGAAAAGCCGATTTCGGCTTCTGGCTTTGGCATACCTGGGCACGGAATTCGGATGATTCTAAGACTAGTCTCGGGGTCTCTGGCTTTTTTGGAAGCATGCCAAGGCTAGAAACAACACCTGCACGATTTTTACCAAGGTAAAAAAAGTGGCAATTTCTCGCTATAGATACCGAATTCAAAAAAATTCATTTAGCTGTAGCCCATTTTAGCCTAAGCGTTTCCGAAAAATTTATGTTGCATAATTATCATAAGTATCGGTATACAAAATTTAACTGTTTATTCAGAAGCAAAAGGTATTGGTTGAAGGAATAAATTGCTAAAAAAAGCTGAGTTTAAAAAATTAAAGTCTAAATTTTAGTTACAAAAAATAGATCAGATTTTCTGTGTTAGTTTGCTGTTAAAAAAGTTCGCCAGGCCGCTGTAAATTTGAATAACATGCAACTAGCATAATCGCTAAATGAACAGTGGCCAGCCACTTGGAGCTGCAGCTTAAGCGTGGCTCCATAGATTTAGCAAATCGTTCTAAGCCACTATTTCAAAGCCTCCTAAAGCGTCAGGGCCTTTAAAATTAGCATAAGTTAGTATCGGCATAATTAGCATAGTTTATGAATCCGGTTTAGATAGCAAATAAGCTCAAGCCTAGCCTTAGCGAAAGAAAAACCAAGCTTCCTAAGCCGCTACTGCTAGCTAAGGACTCTGAAAAAGCGTGAGAATTTGCGTTTCCCCCAGGGGGTACAAAGGCAATTTGCATACGATCGAGGGTCTGAATGGTCCCAGATTTTTACAAGGAATTGTAAGGAGAATTCGGGGTGGTCGACAAACCCGAGTCTATAGCCTACGGCGGTGTGGTACTGCGAGAAATTCTATACGAATTCGATCCGGGACTGCCCTTCCCCCTCTTTTGCTTGATTCTTCTTGGGGGGCACGGCGCGCGCATTTGCATATTTATGGCAGCACCGGTACACTCCAATGGACGATAGAAAAGGGGGGTAGAGGGGGGATGAAAGTCAATCTTCTACCCCCCGGGTGGTTTGGGGGATTCGGGTCAAGTGGGATGAGTTTTCGGGGGAGGGGGGCATGATTTAGGATCATGTCGGGTTTGGAAAGAGGCGAAAAATTTGCATAAGGTTCTGGATAATAGGGGCTATAAAAACGTATAAATTAGAAAGTTTTAATTTAGCGGATTTCCTGGAATGTATACCATTTAATTAAGCGCAATTCAAATGTTGTGGCCAGAAATTTGTTCAATTAACATAATCAAGGTGATTTAACCATTTTTTTATTTCCATTTAACTAGCGCAAAACATATAAGAAAAAAGTTATATACTTGATTACTGAATTCAATACAAAGAATAAATGGTCTTACGGGTTTTTCAATTTTCCAGATGCAAATAACGTAATTAGCATAATTTAACGGAATTCAAGAGCGTTTAAAAGTTAAATTAAATTTAAGGTATACGGTATTCCCGGAATTCAGCCATAAACCTGTCAAATTCCGCATTTTCCATTTTACGAGAGCATCCTAATGCCAGGGCGTGGCCCCCTGAATTGAGGAGAAACTGAAAGGCCAGCTGGCCCCCGCGCGCAATGCCCACTCAAAACATGTATGGAAACGAATTTGGGCATTGGAGAGAGAGAGAGCGAGAGAGCGGGAGAGTGAGGGAGAGAGAGTGAGAGAGAGAAAGAAAAAGAGAGAGAAAGAAAAAGAAAAGATGGCCAACGAATTAGGCACCCCGGTACAGCCAGCTGGCCCTACCGTGTCCATCCAACCCAGTTAGGGCACTTTTTATGGGTCAGAGACTTCTTCTAGGAGGTTTTTATTCGGGCCTAACCGGCCACGTAATTTCTAAAGGCCTTGTGACTGCAGCGTCGTGAAAATTGTCATTTTGCGTGTAAATCTGGGGTCAGGAAGTCGCTGTCACCATCCATTTAAAACCCAGTTTGCCTGCTTTCGATGCCAAAATTTTTTTGGGGCAAGCTAGTAGAGATTCTTTGAGAATTATGGACCATGCCTCGAAAGTCAACGTGTGTTTTTAAGTGTTAAAAATTCTAAAAATTTTCGGGGCAAGCTAGCCGTGATCCCATGAGAATCGGCCGGTGTCTGAAAAATTTTGTGAAAAATGCAAATTTGTCAAAAAATCTCCACCCTACGCGACACAAGGCGCATGTCACATTTTCCGCCACACTACACACAACACCCCTCCGAAAAGGGAAAGGTCGGTGTGGGTGGCAAGGGCAACAAATAACCTTCACCATGTGGGAAGGGCGGAATTTATCGGAAACGATTACGAATTAGAAAAATGCTTAAAAAATGCCGATCAAAGTAATTTGTACGCTGGCGTAATCAGTTACGCCCCCATTAATAAAAAACTAATTTACCCGGTAAAATAGAGCCAAGACTCGGAAATTAGTCAAAAATCACCGTTCTTGGTTCTATTTTTGTGGCGGGTAACCGATTACGCAAAATATTAAACAAATTAAAGGCAAAAATTCATTAAAATTTAGCTTTTGGCAACTTGCCAAGAACCCATATGACAACCCACACACAACCATTTGTCAACCGGAATTAGGCGTACGGGGTAGAGGGGTGGAAGGAGGAACATGGCGGAATGGCTCGGCCAGCGGGAGAGGGATTGAGAAATTCCTACTTCCAAAGGGTTTCTAAGGGTGTCCCGTTCCCCCATCCATTGACTCATTCCACTATTCCTATGCACCACCCTCAGAAGTGCAATTTGTAATCCCGCGTAGTCCCCCTAGCTTGGCCCCGATGGCTGCCGTCAAAGATCCTATCGCCCCAGGGTCCCCCCGGGGCCTATCGAAATCGCGGCGGGACGCAAAATTTGAAGAGTTCCGATTTGGGTATGCAAATTTCGGGGAATGGGGGGTTATTTGGGAAAGGTTTTTCTGTAAAGGACGGGGATGGCAGAACTATGATTTTTCTATGGTTGCGTGCGGCGCGTAAGAGAGAGAGGGAGAGAGAGGAGAGAGCGAGAGCCAGGGAGATAATGTGATGAGCGAGAGAGAGCCAGACAAAGATAGAAGCAAGTGAGAGAGTCGAGAGACGGAGACAGAGAGAGCAGGGAGAGAGACAGCGACAGACAATAGCTATATTCATGCTTGAAATTAAAATGTATATACATCGAAATCGAGACTTTTAAGGCATATATATATTTTTAAAACGAACCTATCCTGGTAGTATCCATTTACTCGCTCCCGGCATTCCCTCCACCTCGCCTGCATCTTTGCATAAATCGCGATACCGCCCTCAGGAATCGAAGCTGGGTTTTCGGGTTCTAAAGCAGTGGTTTGTAACAAAAATTCGAGAAAAAAGTCGATAGCTATGAAGATAAGATTTTCGTTAAGTGAGGGATCTTTTTTCGACTTCTCAGTCTCTGAAGAGTGGGCCAAAACCGCACCTTTACTCGACCCAGGCCTTCCGCCTCCTCCTTCCCGTGCCAGGGCCCGACTACTCGAGCCAGGTGGTGGCCGGACAGCGCGGATCGTCGTGGAAATTGAGTCGAGCGAATCGTCGGAGGGTGACGGGCCCGCGATACCTTAAATTGAGGTATGTTAAACTTGTATATTTTGGTCTACTAACTATTGCTGCAAAAACCCTAATGACTTTCTATCAAAAATGACCTAAAAACGGACCCCAATGCCAAAAAAAACGCTAAATATCTGAGAAAAAAACTAGTTTTTTTATGCAGAAATATAATTTCTCCACACGGCATATAAATGAAAAATGGAAAGCTTAGGGGACAGCAAAAACCGAATGCCCAAACCCCGATGGCTCCGGAACCTATCCATAGCACATCTGGCCTCTTGGTGGTAGCTCCCCGGGGTGGGGGATAACGCAATAAGCATATTAGCACCTTGTCCTCGCCATATATCCATCCCTTCCACCCCCATAAACTAATCCCTATGCCCCTTCAAATATAGGGGTGGCCCTGGGGGTGGCTAGCAGGGGTTTTTGAGGAAATTTTAGGGCTAGGTTGGAACCAAAAATATTCAATAAAAATTGGTGCTAGTCAAAATCAAATTAAAAACGCCAAATTCGAGCTATTAAATTAGCATACAAACTTAAATGACTATTATATAGACAAATCAGGCAAAAAACAATATTTTCTTACGATACAACCGGCGAATCTAGTGCAAAATAGCATAGCATAGCATCCTCTCCTCCCCTAGCGGGGTAATTAGTTTGGGTCAGCGCACAAAATGGCGTCTAATTAGTGGGGGAAAAACGGGGAGGCCACCAGTCTTGTCTATGTGTCGAGATTTACGAGAAAACGAGGGTAAAAAAGCATTAATGGATTAGAAAAATACCGAAAATTAGGGTATCAACTACAAAACCCTGCTTTAAAAATTTAAAACGCTCTCAAAAAGTTAAATTGAAGGCTTTAGGTTTTTGTCAATCGTTTAATTGAACGGAAACCAACGTAAAAACTTATAAAATTCTGTTAAAGCGTATCAAAAAATAAAAAACAATTAAAAAGATGAAAAACTAGGAAAAATCTGGAACCGCTGGAACTGATTACGCCATGCAACTCGTGGCCAAAATCCTTATATATTTATAGGTAAAAAATATGTAAATCCTAACACGCTGAGCTCCAGGCTACGCTACGCTCCTATCGGCACCGACACCGAAAATGAGGCCAATTCGGGCGGTAAATCCCAAAGTCAACCCATAATGCCCCCAATTCCGCACCCAATGCATCCCATCGACAAAACCCATAAAATCAAACCCCCGCTAATGGCCTCGGGGGTCATATTATAGCCTCGGAGGGCCTTTGAACAAATTTTAGGCATATTAAGATCTTTAAAAGTATTTAAAATACTCTAAAAAATTTCCTAACCTCGTCCGGGCACCACTTTTCCTTGGGTGACCAATTTCTCGTAGGAAGGCGGCGAGCGGGGCTTCTCTGGTTGCGGAGAAGCGGGGTTGGCCTTCTGAATGTTTATTTTTGAGTATTGAAGACTTAAAATTACCGTAAGAATCGGTCCTTCCAATTGCGAATCGCCGCGGACCGGAACGGGTCTAGAAAAATTTTTAGAAAAGTGGATGTTGGAAAGGGATTTGGAATTCTTCTGCGATTTTTGAAATCCTTAAAGTTGATTTTGATTTTTCCCACACTTTAAATACCTTTCAAAGGATTGAGAGACTTATATTTTATCAGATCTATCTTAAAATTTTAACTTGCGCCAAAAAAATGCGATTCCTATTAGAGAAATCGGCATTTGATCTTCTATTTTCAAAACCTTCCCCTTAGCTCTAAAATCCAAAAACAAGCAGATAGTGAAAGGAGAGCAAAATATATAACTTACGGCTTCTTCTTCTCCGCGTTTTCTTGGAGAATCGTGGAAGGGATCGGGTCGATAGCTAAAGCACAAATTCCGACATTTGAGAAACTGCCTCACCCTGCGGCTGATGTTTTCTGGTGGCAAGCATCGGGCTTACTACCCCGACGGTGGGGCTCTGAAGCGATTTTTGGCGCACCAGGACGGGCGCGCTTTGAGTGGAGGGCTAAAGGTGATGTTAAGGTACCTTGAAAATGCAATAAAAATTTAACATATATTTTTACTGTAAGAGTTTACCTAAATTTTCCATGCTATAACGAATTTATATTACGCGTCTTTAGCTTGAATTCAAAATCTAACAAAATTTTGAGTACTTGTCGAGTGCCATTTAGAAAATACCGACAATATAACCAAATAGCAAAAATATCGACAATTTAGTCCCTTCGAAACATTCATACCTCCCTAACCGGCGACGGCACCTCATTCTGAATCGGCTTCACCTGGCCCTTCGGGGCGGATATCCCCCGAACGGCCAGCGTCGGCTTCTCCTTTTCGTGCTGATCGTCATTGGGAGTATCGTGTAGCTCTTGGCTGGTTGTGGCCGAGACCTAAAACGTTGGATTTTGAGCAAATTTTGATACATACCTGCGTGGGACCAGATTGTAGAGACATGCTACTGGAGGGTGAAGTAGATGAGGTGGGAGAAGTCGAGCCGAATCCGGCGTACGCCGAGTCCTCCTCCGACGACTTGGAGCAGCTAAAAAACGGGTTTTATCGGAATTTTTAGCGTTAAAAGCATTGAGGGGTGATGATAGCTTTTTCACCCCGCGTGTCGCAGAGACAAAACAAATCGCCTGGCTTCTAGAGGTCAGGAGATCTATTTCTTATCTGTACGGAGGATCGCAATGGCATTTTTCTCTAGCTCAGGATTTTATAAAAGTTGGATTACATCGATACCGTATTCACTCGAAATAACAGTTTTTCAAAGCTACGGTTTTTACAAAAAATTCTACCTGGATTAAATAGCGTAATTAAACGGTAATACTTCAACAACCATAAGGTTATTAACGAGAATTCAGAATTTCTTCTTCAAAACCACAAGGAAAAAGCCATTTTAAATTTTCTAATGTAATATTCAAAAGCCAAATGAGAAGCTTAAAAGTTGGTTTTATACCGTACCAAGAATGCGATATTTTAGGAGCCTTATACAAAATTAAAGAAAGCGCAAAATTACGTAGTCCCAATAGATTTAGGTAAAATGAAGGCGTTTTTCTAGTGAAAAAAAATATAATGTTTTTTACGATTCTAGGCGCAGTACAGTACACAGTATACAGTACCAAAACGTACCACCCGGCCGTCTCGCCCACCAAAACCTGGCAATTCACGGCGCGTGATAAATGGCCAAATATTCAATGAGGATCGAGGCGTCAAATGCGACACCCACAAAATTTAAGAGGGGCCCTTCCCTGCTGCCCCGATTTTATGGCAATCCGGGGTGAAAGAGAGAGAGAGAGAGAGAGAGAGAGAGAGAAAGAGAGCGATAGGGAGAGAGAAAGAGAGACTCGGAAAAAGTGGTGTGGGACAAAGCATTACGGAATGGGAGGAGGAATGGAATCGGAAAAGAGGGGCCAAATGGTCTTGTTGCGCAGGGGCAAAGGATTGTGGGGATCTACAGCGAGAGAGCGAGAGAGAGAGAGAGAGAGAGAGCGACGGACACGAATTGTGTAATGCCCATTGAAATTTGTCGCGCCTCGCCCCGGATTCCCCTCCGGCGTACCACTTTTTTGCCATGGGGGAGACATAATTCGGCAGTTAAATTTGAATTTTATATAGTTGAATCATGGCCAAATACAGACAAAAAGCAAGAGAGAAAGAGAGAGAGAGAGAGAGAGAGAGAGAGGGGGAGAGAAACTCTTCAAAACTCACCGCTTCTCGGGAGTGACTGGCTGTTGGCTCGGCTCGCGCTGCTTGATGGGGATTGGAACCTGAAAATATGAGACATTTTCTATAATTGTAATAAATTGTAATAAGTAGGAACAAAATTGTAATAAGTATCGTTTGGAAATTTTCCTTTCCGAATTGATCCTATTTCCGGAACCGGAAGTGGATAGGCCGCAGAAATCTAGGCCGGATTATGGCAGTCGGGTAAAGGTTATCCGGGCCGTTGACGTAAGGATAAGCCTAAACCAAGCCGAAGCCAAGCCTAAGTCAAGTCTAAGCTAAGCCTAGGCCAAGATCAAGCCAAGCCCAAGCCAAGCCTTAGCTAATTTTGTAAAGCCATAAATCTTAACTAATACGAAGTGTATCGTATAGCCCCAAAAAACCCGAAACCCTAAAGGCCCTAAAGTGTTCCGCCGCCGACCGACAAACATCTGGAGTGTATCACGGCCCGCGGGTTGTGTTCGACCCCTCAAGGCATTGTCCCCCCCGCAAAGAGAAAAGAGAATGAGGGCCCCTAGGGAATACAGTACCCGTTTAGTGCCCTTTCACTCTTTTACTTTTCCGTCGGGGCGTCCAAAGGAATGTGGTGGACCCCGGCAATTCATCACATGGGGAGGGAAGCTTAAGTTTGAACCTTGGACGTAGATTAGGCATAGGCTTGGGCTTAAGCTCGACCTATGGTTAGAGTGACGCTTCGGCTTCGTAGCTCAGGCTCAAGCTTAGGCTCAGTCTGAGGCTTGAGCTTGGCCTTGGGCTACCTAGCTCAGCCTAATCCCAAAAATTGCTTAAATCCCACCTCCTTCTTTGGAGTGATGATCCGAGTCGGGGGCTTCAACCCTGTAGGTTGCTTCAGTTTTGCCTCTGTCTTCGGTGAAGCCACCGGCTCCGCCTTGCGATTCTGAACGGAATTTGTAGCTTACCTGGATTTACAGTTATGCGTAGGCAAAAGCCGAATTTGGTTTAGGCTTCGGTTTATCAAAAACACCAACCAAGCTCGGGCTGCTCTTCGGCGACTGCTTCTCCTTGTCTCGGGAGAATAGTTTGAGCTTCAGCATTTTTTCGGGAGCCTGAGGCTGATGGGTTGGGGTTGAGGAGTTGGACGGTGGGCGGATGCCGCTGAAATTTAAGGGGAAAGTCAAGGCAAAACTGTATAGAGGCTCAAGCTTGAGTTTAAAGGTATCCAAATTTAGCCAAAAACACATACCTTGGGCTTGAATTCCTCGAGTTTGTGGAGGAATTAAGGGTTGAAATGCTGCTCGGTGGTCGGACTCCAATTTTAGAAGTGGCAGTGGGTTTTTCCTAAAAATATGCTTAAAAGTTTGTGCTGAAATTACCGTAGCCTGCTTCAACGGCGACGCCGAGGGGGGCTGCAGGCGTGAGGTCGGTTTGGCGGTTGGGGTATTCCGATTTGCGGATACGGCACTGGCTGCTGTCGATGGGATCGAAGCGTAGGTGGCAGAGGAGGATACTGAGCTGCAGCCGGAAGAGATCGTCGACCCGTTGTTGTTGCTGAAAAAGGACTTTGATGTCTCTCTCTCTTTCTCTCTCTGTCTCTCTCTCTTTCTCTCTCTATATTGCGCAGGTAAGAGCTCACCCAGAAGCCGTTCGCGAAGACGGTAGATGGACTTTTGTAGGGGCTCGAATACCCGTCGACGGCTTGTCCACCGTTTTCGGGGTGGCAGCGCTGGGAGCCGTTGCTGAAAATAGGACATATAAATAAATATTACGCAAAAAGTCTTTCAAAGCTTGTCAGGATACACATAGAAAATGTAGGGGATTAAAGTAATGAGCACGGAAATCAGTGAATGATATAGGGTGGTGAAAATCACATTTTTCGGGATAGATTTGGCGTTCGTAGCAAGACGGGCATCCCGTATTCCGACTAGTGGGACACGGAAACCTAAAACGTTCGTCTTGGGACCCAAAAGGGACGGGGGGGGAGGCGAGTAGTGTATACGAATGGTTGATGAGGAGTTGATGGAAAGGAGGAGGATTTTTGGCTACAGGTTTAGGAGACGAGAGAGAGAGAGAGAACGAGAGAGAGAGTGAGAGATAACGCGAGAAAGGGAGAGATTTAGCGTGAGAGGGCGAGAGAGATAGCAGGAGAATGAAAAAAGCTAAAAAATCGGAATACGGGTGCTCCAAGCCATTCACATCCCCAAAAAATATGGCCCTACTATAAGCCCGAGACGACATATCAACACATCCTACGACCAACAAAAATTGGTGCCCCCTTCTGGGCCCTTCAGCTAACCCAGCCATATTTCGTGAAAATTATCCCGCCAGAAAAAGAGCCTCCCCGTCAGAACTGGGGCTTTATGGCCCCGCGCTCCCCTCGCATCCCCCCTCGAAGCCACTACGAGAAGCCGCATTTTACGGGACCCTTAGCCCCATCATTTGGGCCGGGGGCTATGGATATACCCTGGCGAGGCACTACGTTCCACAACATATTTACGGGTTGCATTAAAGGGGGTGGGACAGCTAGGAATTACCTAGAAAAAATATAGAGAATTTTGCTGGAAAGTACGAAATAGCGTGAAGAGCTATGGAAAGCATTCTTCACTAGCTTTTTTGCTTTATAACTCGAGGATAATGAGGCTCCAGGTGTGATTCAGGTCAGGAGAGAAAGAGAGAGAGAGAGGTAGAGAGAGAGAGAGATAGAGAGAGAGCGAGATAGAGTGATAGAGTGATAGAAAGAGGGAGAGAGAGCGAGATAAAGCGATAGAAAGAGAGAGAGAGAGAGAGAGAGAGAGAGACAGAGCGCTAGAGAGAGGCGAGAGAGACAGAGAGAGAGAGAGAGAGAGAGAGAGAGAGAGAGAGAGAGAGAGAGCGCAAGCGTGAGAGTGCTACCGAGAGCGAGAGAGAGCGCGCGAGTGAGAGCTACAGCACTTCATCAAACCCCAGAACAAAATTATTTCCAAAACGCAGAACGAGTACGACTCGTTCCACCCTTCCACTCTTCTACCCAGTCTGCCCAGTAATCCACGGGCCAATTGGCAGCTTGGGTTGTTGGGGTGGGTGGGTGGGAAGTGCGTGTTCCCCAGGGAAGCGTAGAACTAGTGGCAGAGGTAGAACTCTCCCTGGTAATTGGCGCTTCGTTAGCTTCCATAAATTTATGCAAAGTGGTGAGGGTGGGAGGGAAATTTGGATGAAGCGGGGGAGTTCGCGAATCAGCTTTTCTCTTACGGTTTTTATTGTAAAAATATGCTCAAATTCACGCCTAAAAATCACTAAAACTGTAGAGCAATAAATTGCGCTAGGAAAGATCGCAGGCCGCTTTTTGGCCGCGAAAACAAGACTCCGCTAGAAAATCCCATAAGCCGCCCTGAGAAATAATCCTGCCGATTTGCAGTGCCTACAAAATACAAATTTCTGACTTCAAGTTGCCAATCAAATAAATGGTTTTTTAAAGCGATCCAAGATCAATTTTTTTTTCTTAAATATGTGAGGAAGCAAATTCAAAGCTGTTGTAATCCAGCAAAAACAAAAAAACCAAAACAATAGAAATAAATACATATATTTTGAGAAATCGAATGAATCAGCTGGGTTTTTAAAGGGACTAGTAACCGGAAATTGACCCTAGCGTTCACTAGATCTCTACAGCCACCAAGGGCGCCACATGACGTTTAAACGCATTCTAAGTAGAATGATGCGTTTTCCGGAACTGGGTCGATGCAAAGGGTCGATCCTAGGGCTTCCTAGAGCCTTTAAATGGCCTAAAAAGACCGGAAATAACTTTCAACCAATAAACATCTGAAGTTCCGAACCATTAATTCCAGAATTTCTAGGTATCTACAATTGCCATATCGAGTCCTTAGGCCCCAGAAGTGTGGTTGGATGGGTCCTAAGAAGTCGGGGGGATGAGGGCAATTTGGATAATTGAAGAGAAGCCGATGCCCACCCCCACACACCCATATAGGCACCCACCCCCAGCCATGGTAATTGGAATTTGTGGGCGCCGTTCAAAGGCACAAAGTTGTTGGCAGATGCATGGGGGGAAAACTGGGCAACAATTTCCGGAATTTGCATAGGAGAAAGAGAGAGAGGGAGGAGAGAGAGAGAGAGAGAGAGAGAGAGAGAGAGCGAGTGAGAGAGCAAGAGAGTGGGAGAGAGCGAGAGAGAGCAAGAAAGAGAGAGAGGGAGATAGAGAGAGAAATAAAGAGAGGGAGAGAGGGAGAGAGAGAGAGATAGTGAAAAAGCTAGAAATCGAGCGCCAAACAGAGAAAGCAACAGATTTAAAGAATCGAGTTATAACAATTAAAATCTTTCGAAGTCCGGACCACCCGGCTTCTGTTCCATGTCATTCCCGTGAACGGACTTCGAAGGAAAAATTTATGACGCGCCAAATGGCCCTTTGTCAACCAGTTATCACCCCGGTCTCATATCAAAGGGTAGCCGGGGACTTTGTCCCAGGAAATTCAGAAAAAACTTATCTACTTTTTTGCACTCTAGCAAAACTGTGCAACGGGTCTCACGTGCCAATCTACATTTCAGGAATTTTTCAGGGAAGGCAGAACGATCGAAAACCGTGGATTTCTGGATTGGCAATTCCTTTAAAATGGCCGGCTGATTCCTAGAAAGCACTATCACCGGGAAAACGATTGCTTAAGGCTGAAGCCTAGACCCCCAAAAGCCGTGGTCCGGTGGGTCAACACGGGTTTGGTCCGGGGCCCGAAATTAGATGCCCTGCACAAGGAGGATTTCGGGATTAAGCCGAGTGCCCGTTGAAATCTGAGCGCTGGAGCTTTGCGATGAGGATAAGGAACGCTTAGAATGGTCAGAGATTAGGGATTTTGACGAAAATGGAGAGAAAAAGGAGGGAGAGAGAGAGAGCTAGCGAAAGAGTGATATACGGAAAAAAGTAAAAAGACTGACCCTTTGGCATGGCAATCTTTGTCGGGGTGGCTAGTCGACTTCCGGTTGCCGGCCGCATCGGCGATTGGATCCTGAAAAAAAACATGTTACTCCAAAAATAAAAATTTATAGAGAGCGAGGGAGTGCGAGAGAGAAAGAGAGAGTGAGACCGAGAGAGAGAGGGAGAGAGAGGGCCGAGGCGAGAGAGAGATCCAGAGCCAGAGCGAAAGAATATGAAAACACAAAAAAAATCTGGTACCATTCAGTAATATTTTCCTAGCCAACTAACGCATAAGAATTTTCACCCCCGAAAATCGAGAGCAGCGCCGAACACACATCCCGATTGCCCGTGCCGATAGGTGTAAAGCAAAAACACCCGTACGACGGGTCGGGTCGGGGGTCGAACCGGCCGAAAAGATGCCCGGGGTTGATATGCATGAGGTTTTGCCATTTTTTCGGATTTTCCTGACTCTCCGACTCTCTCTCTCTCACCCTCCCTCTTTCTCTTGCCAGGCTCCAAACAAGGCCCACGGCCAGGGCCCTGATTCCCCAAATTTTGCCCCGGGGAATTGGTGGGCGCCTCAAGGCAGGGCAGGGAAGGAAAAGACGAATTTTTGCGTGGGCTTTGTACTTTTTGAGCTAGGGTTGAGCAATGGCGTTGGCTTGGGCTTAAGCTTGAGCTCGGGCTGTGTTGAGCAACAGCTTGACTGAACTAACTGAGCTTGGACTTGGGCTTAAGCTTAGCTGGTGGCGAAAGACTTTAAAAGCAAGGAAAACTCGAAAAATGCCAGAATCGAACACAAAAAATCTAGTTTAAGAGTTATACGAGCTGTGTTATTTTTAAGAGAGATAAAGTCATTTTTGACCGCGTCGCCAACGCTAGCATCGAATGACTGATTTTAAAGGGACACGACGTGGCAAAATGCAAAAAATCCGATGCCTCATACACAGAAATCAAGTTTTCTGGCGCGTAGCGTAGCGTACTCTTGAAAAGCTGAGCGTAACATACCAAACCGAGCGAATGCCAATGATGATCGGTAAATGCGATTGCGGCGCTGATTTTAAAGGGACGGCATCAGTTCAAACTTCAAAAGTCCAAAAGTGCAAGGAGAAACAAACAAAAGAGGGTTTCTAGCGGGTTTACGCTAATTCTAAAACTAAAAAAAGCTGTTTTTAACATTTTGAAAAAAGACGGAATTAA